ACTAAGAAAAGACAAAACAGTGTTTCCAGGCAGAAGGAAGATAATCCCAAACGGAGGGTCAGACACACAGGAGAGAATGAAAGAGCCAGAAAAAACAGCCACTGTGTGGATAAACCTACATGAGCATGAACCGTATGAAACAGCAACAGTAGAGAGACTTAAAATATGTATCAATGGTGTGTGACCAAGAAGAGAGACACCGAGCTAGAGTGTGCTGGATTGGTTCTTGAATCGTCTAGAAAGAAGAAAAAAGTACTAAAAACATTAGATTTTCAGCAGTCAAGAAGGCAAGTTGTTAATCTCCAGGGAACCACTGAATAGGACAAGAATGTATGATCGCCAAGCTAATAGAGAGGATGAAATGGAATAATGATAAATAATTGATCGAAAAGGAGGCAGGAAAGGAGAGAGAAAGCAGCATCTGCCTTCTAAAGTGGGACCAGCAGACAGCAGAGTGAGACGGTGGATTCAAACGCAGGTCTATACAATTTTTAAAGTGATATTAAATAAATGGACTAAATTTTCTAGTTGAAAGACACTGTCAGACTGTATTTTTTTTAAATCTATGCTCTGTTTACAAGACATATCTACCTAAAACATACAGAAAGGTTGAAAGTAAAAATACAGAAAAAGATAGACTCTGCAAATACAGCCCAAAAAGGTTGGCACAGCTCTGCTAATATCAGATAAAGTAGGCTCTAAGGCAGAAAGCATTTCTAGACTTACAAAGGGACATTGAAAAGACATAAAGTACGCTCAGCGGGATGATTTAACAATTTCTAAATATGTATGCATCCAATTACACAGCCTCAAAGCATCCACAGGAAAGGCCAACCGAACTCCGAGGAGAAAGGGACAAATCCGTGACCCGGGAAGTTCTAACATGCCTCTCTCAGGAACATGTAAGAAATAACTCTAACCTCACACACTTCCAAAAACAGAAAATGCGAAGCACTTCCCAACCCCTGCCATGGGGCCACACAACCCCGGTTCCCAAACCACAACAAGAATGAAAACCACAGCCCACCTTCGCTCATAAACACAGATGCAAAAATCCTACACAAAATATTACCTGGATGTAGCAACAGATAAAAAGGCTAATACATCGTGATCAAAACGGCCTTATTCCAGGACAGAAAGATTGCTTTAAACATTTGAAAATCAACACTCAGTCACCACGTTAACAGAATACATCAGATAATTTTCTCAGTAGATATGTGAAAGTAATTTAATAAAATTCAATATGCATGCATGATTAAAAGAAAATTCTTAGCCAGCTAGGAATAGAAGCCTGCTTCCTGAATCTGAGAGAGGATATATATATATTTTTTAAAAGCAGAATGTTGAAAGTCTTCCTTTGGAGACTGGGAGAAAGATAAGGTTGCCCACAGTCAGCACTTCTGTCTGCACTGGGCCGGGGGGCCCAGCAGGTGCAGGAAGGTGAGGAAAAGACCCAGAAGGCGCAGGACGGGAAGAGAAGATGAAAACTCATGATATACATACCGTATACTGTATAAACGAAAATTCAACAGAATCTGCAGATAAATTACCAAAATGTAAATGAATTTAGAAAGGTTGCTGGCTACAAAGTCAAGAATCAAGAATCAATTGCAGGGGCCGGCCCAGTGGCGCAGCGGTTAAGTGCGCACGCTCTGCTTCTCAGCGGCCCAGGGTTCGCCGGTTCAGATCCCGGGTGCGGAGATGGCACTGCTTGGCAAGCCATGCTGTGGTAGGTGTCCCACGTATAAAGTAGAGGAAGATGGGCACAGATGTTAGCTCAGGGCCAGTCTTCCTCAGCAAAAAGAGGAGGATTGGCAGCAGTTAGCTCAGGGCTAATCTTCCTCAAAAAAAAAGAATCAATTGTATTTCTGTATACTAGCAAGTAACAAAAAAAGAAAAATAAAAAAAGATCATATTTATAATAACATCAAAAAAATAAGAAACCCAGGGATACTAACAAAACATGCAATATTTCTGCACCAAAAAATCAAGGGAAACTTTTTAAAAGACATGCTAAACAAACAAGGAAATTCACCGCGTTTGTTGGAAAACTCAACACTGTAAAGATGTCAGTTATCCCCAAATTAATCCATAGATTTACAGCAATCACAGTCAAAATCACAACATTTTGGTGAAAATTAACAAATTCTGAAATTTATTATGAATACACATGATTTTAAATGGCCAAGACCCTTAAAGATGGTGGGAGGATTTGACGTACCCAATCTCAGGACTTACTACGAAGTCCTGGTAATGAAGTAGGATAGCGAAGCATGATAGTGACACAAGAATAGACATGTGGACCTCTGGAGTCTACTCCAGGTGGGTGGCAGATCCGAATGGAAAAATAAACCAGGAAAGCTTCTAGATCTAGACGATAGTAGAAGAGAATATCTTCATGACCTAGCAGTAGAGAGATTTTTAAGTCACAAAAAGCATTACCCATAAAGGAAAGGATAAGTTTGAATATATTAAAACTGAGAACTTCTTGGGGCCAGCCCAGTGGCACAGTGGTTAAGTTTGCGCATTCTGCTCTGGCGGCCCGGGGTTTGCTGGCTTGGATCCCAGGCACAGAGCTACAGCACATCAAGCCATGCGGTGGCAGGCGTCCCACATACAAAATAAAGGAACATGGGCATGGATGTTAGCTCAGGGCCAGTCTTCCTCAGCAAAAAGAAGATTGGTGATGGATGTTAGCTCAGGGCTAATCTTCCTCAAAAAAAAAAAGAAGGGAGAGAGAGAGAACTTCTTTTCATCAGATGACACCATTGAGAGTGAAAAGGGAAGCTAAAAAGTGGGGAAGGTATTTGCAATACCTGTATCTACCACAAGACTCCCATCTAGCATACATAAAGAACTCCTCTAAATTGATAAGGAAAAGACAACCCAGCATCAATATGGGCACACGGCTTGACAGGCACATGATAAAAAGAGGTACCCAAACAGCTGATACGCAGATGACAAAAGGCCGCACGTCATCAGTCACCATAGAAATACAAAGTAAAGCCACACGGAAACACCATCACAGTTTTAACTTCCAGAAGCACTAAAACTTAAAAGACGGATGAGTTTGTGCAGCAACTGGAACTCCCATCCATGGCGGGTGGGGATGCAAAATGACACGAACGCTTTCGAACGCAGCATCTCACTGGATCTTAATGTTAACATATTCACAGCTTCCTCAGGAAATCCCTTCTCCACCGCTCTCGCAGGTGGAACCTCCGTGCCACACGAGCGTGATTCTGAGACACACACATTCTGACATCTCTGACATCGGGAGGCGCCCTAACTTAACCTGAGCTTTTTCTCAGCTCGGACACTGTAGATTTGCCCCGGCCACGTCTCCTTCACGGTGCTTCAGCACAGTTGGTAGGCGCACCGTCTGATAAATGTCTGTCTCCCACACAGGCCTGGAAGCTTCAGAAGAACAGATTGGCTTCTTACTGCTGTGAATCCTGACACTGCAAGAGCTGGGTCAAAAGGCATGCACATTTTCTTCAGTTATTTTTTAATGACACAATGCATAAATACATCTTTATTTTAAAATTCAGCAACGTATCACACAAACCCTCCGGGCCCATCCTCTCCCCGGGGACAGCCACCATCAGCAGTTTGGAACACATCCCTCTGGAGTCTGTTCCTTGCACCACATGCATATACATATATGGCACGCGTATTATTCATGGATACCGTCCATCTACTTTCCACAAAGATTGCGGCAGCATCCACCCACCAGTCGTAAATGAGCACGTCTCTGTTCAGTCCTTCCCCAAGTCGGGAGGTATTCAGTCTTTCTAGTTTTTTCCCAGTCTGATAAGTGAAGGTCATCTCACGTTTAAGTCTGTACTTTCCTGAAATACAGAACTCAAACCTATCAGTCTTTCCCTCTCCGGTTTTCCAGATTTTAGAAGGCCCCCTTTCCGTGTTGCCACCACACCCTGAAGCCGTACAACTATCCCCCTACGATCCCTTCTAGTAATAGTTCAGCTTTACTCTATCCTGAGCTCTTTAACCTGGAAGTTATCTTTGCACACAATAGGAGAGTAATTATTTTCCCAACCAGATAGCCAGCTCTGCTTATTATGAGCCCTCCTGGACTCACTCATTTAAAATGCCATTGTGATCAGATGTTAACTTCCCGTACATATGCGGAATGTTTTCTGGACTTTATTAATAATTTTTCACTGATCTCTGGCTGTGGCAAAGCCATGCTGTCTTGATTATTGTAGCTTTATGGTAAGTTTTAATATCTGGTGATGAAAGTCTCCCCTCATTAAACTTTTAAAAATTATTAACAATTTTCTCACATTTTCCTTCCATATTAATTTTTTAAAACATTTTTGTCATACTTTGTAAAGCTTGGTTTTCTTGTTGGAATTTCATTAAATCTCTTTGACAAAGCTAGATATTTTTATGACATTACATTTTCTTTCTTTTTTGTTTTGAGGAAGACTAGCCCTGAGCTAACTACTGTCAATCCTCCTCTTTTTGCTAAGGAAGACTGGCCCTGAACTAACATCCATGCCCATCTTCCTCTACTTTATATGTGGGACACCTCCCACAGCATGGCGTGCCAAGCGGTGCCATGTCCGCACCTGGGATCCGAACCGGCAAACCCTGGGCCACTGAGAAGCAGAACGTGTGAACTTAATCGCTGCACCACCGGGCCGGCCCCAATATTACATTTTCTTATCCAGATATTTTGTTCAGATTTTTTTTTTCTTTCGGTGATTTAAAAAAATTGTTTTCTTCATTTGGATCCAGATCTTTCTCATTAAATTTATTTCTAGATTTTACTGTTTTTATCAGTATTATGAGTGGAATTTTTAATTTTTTTCCATTTTTAATTGATTAGTCTCATTGACTATTGTGTATTTCCTATCCAACAACTTTTATTGAGTTCTCTTATTCTGATTTTGTCACTGACTCTTGGATATTCTAGCTGGAGAATCATTTTGTCTCTTCTAGTTTTTATGCTACAAATACCACCTTGTTTTTTACATTAGCTAGACCGTCGAAACAATGCTGAATCACAGAGACGCTGGGGAGCGTCACATGGCTTGGTCCTGGTTATAATGGTTCTTAATGGTTTGAGTCATTTCCTGCTTAATGTGCCATTTGCTGTTGGTTCATGGACCAGCTTCAGCATCACTTGGGAGCTCATTAGCAACGCAGCATCTCGGGTCCGACTCACTAAATCAGAATCTGCATTTTCACAGGATCTCCCAGCTCTTTCATATCCCTTATAGTTGGAGGAGCACTGGTCGAAATGATTTCTTTCTATTCTGATTTTACTTAAGTGTTTAGTAAGCACAGCTGTGGCTGCTGGACTCCGCCAAACACCTTTTGGCATCTGTCAATCCCCAGAAGATGGTTTCCTCCTCCTACTTTGTGGCTGTCATGCATTTGAGCGTTTGAGATCCTAATTCTGGACCAGCAGAGTGTCCTAGAACATGAGGCCACCTCTCACTCTCCAAGCGTTTCGCTCCTCACTGACTCCCTCGTCCGGCGCCTCCAGCTCCCGGAGCATCTCAAGGGCTGAGATGGGATTTCTGCTTCAGCTCCAGTGCCGGGCCCAGGGCTGTGAGCAGCGCACAGTGGGGTTGCAGAAAGCCCCCAATTAAACTTGAGCTGTCCACCTTGTATGGCTTAGTCAGGGGCCCCTTCCTCCTCTCTGTATAGATGGTTTTTAATCTTTTTGAGTCGCAGGCGCCTTCAGGAATCTGGTAGAGCTCTGGACCACCTCCCCAGGAAAATGTCCAATAACGGATCCCCTCTCTGCTGCCGCGGAGGTGCCTGGCTGTCCCGATGCTCATGGTAAGACCCCAGTCCCTGCTGTCCCATCACCTTTGGCCGTGGGAGGCCCTGCAGAAATCCGCCATCAGCGCCCAGCAGCCCAGCCCGAGTGCTCACCAGAAGCCAGGCACCGTGCTGCACTGTGTGGGCAACAAACAGGCCCTCGCCGGGCTGCCCATGTGCAAAGAGCATCCCAGAGGGGCCGGCGTGGGAGCCCCAGGGCCCAGCTGTGGACAGATGTTTACCGCTCACCCTGACAGGGAGCCAGGAAGTAGCAGTGGCCCCGCAGCAGCAACGTGAAGCTCTGCCCAGGGTACAGGCTTTTGTGTATTGACCAGACATAGTGGCCTCGGTCTCTGGATGTGGGGTCAGCATGAGCCCTGCCTCCTGGATGGGGCTGGGTGCAGAACATCCAGCCAGGAGCTACCAGGGGGAGAGGAGGCCACTGCTCCCAACTTCCCCTAGGGAGAGAGAGATACCGGCTGCTCTGCCCTGCAGTCACAGGGCTGGGCCGGAGGTGGGGCATGCTGGAGGTGGCAGTGTCCTTCCAGACGGCTCTGGGGACAGTGAGGGCTCTGGTCCCTCCAGTGGGCTCCCAGGGGTGTTAGGTGAAGGCGAGGACCATGGGGAAAGACCCAGAGGAGGAGGCAGTGGGGAAATGGGGCTCCAGGGGGCCGCCATCCCACAGCTGGGCCTGAGCCCTGGGGCCACCTCCCATTAGGACTCTGCCTGGGGCCACCTACAGGGGCCGAGGCCCAGCCACATGCGCCGAGGGCTGCAAAGCCCACCTTCTTCTGGCCCCGGGTCCCTTCTACAGTTGACAGAGGGCCACCGGCAGGGATCAAAGTCCGCAGGAAGCGTCTGGCTGGGTCAGGCGTCCCTGGAGGAGCCCCCAGCCCTCAGGGGAGGTAGAGTGCCACCACCACGTAGATGACCCAGCTGGTGGACACAAAGACGCCGAAGAGCAGGCTGAAGAGCACGAGTGAGCGAGCCTTGCGTGAGGCCTCCTCCGCCTGCGCCAGGTCGCCCCTGCTCAGGGCCGCGCGAGTCTGCAACGAGACGGGCGGGGGCAGGCGGTGAGCGGACACACAGCCCCCCCTCAACATCATCAAGGCCCGGCCGCAGAGCACAGACTGGAAAATTGACACCCTGAGGGGTTCGGGGACGTCCCCCGGCCACAGCTCAGAAAGGAACAGGAGGAATGGAGTGAGGGCTGCCAGCTCTTGGGCACTTGCCACGGCCTGGCACAGATGACACCCTCGGCCTCATCTCCTATAATCCTCACGGCAATCCTGAGTTTGTTGTCATTGTTTCCCCCACTTCGCAGATGAGGAAACAAAAGCTCAGAGAGGTTAAGTGATCTGCTCAGGGCCACACAGCTGGTGGTGGAGCCAGAATTCACAGGCAGGCAGCGGCTTCCTGAGTCCCACTTCTGAGCTGTCCTGAGAGCTCCCTTCCCCCCACAGTCCTGGCTTGCTTATGACTGGGGAGCTTGACCAGCGGCGGGAGTCAGGGCTGTGGTCAATTCAGCCTGGAGCAGAAGCCCCCAGAAGCCTGCCTACTTGTCTGTTAGAAGGTCTTCACACTGGCATCCCTGAGCGCCCAGGGCCTAACCCCGTGCCTGCAAATGGTCAGTCACATCGGCGGGCAGGGGGAGGCTGGACATTCTCGAGGCAGTGGGGGCATGGACGGGTAGGGATGGGAGATAGGTGAGTACACAGATGAGTGGGCTGATGGGTGAATAGAGGGGCGGGTGGATGGACGGACAGATGGAGAGAGACTAGAGAGACAGTAGGTGGAACGGTGGGGGAAGAAAGCGGTGGGTGAGTGGGTAAATAGACCGGCAGCTAGATGGATGGACAGCTGGAGGTGGGCAGTAGAAGAAACGAGTGACGGATGGATGGCAGTCTGCACCCCGCTTAACACAAGCCCCACTGGGGGCAGTTCCTTGGGCCTTGTCAGTCATTCACACCTTCCATGTGAATTGTTTTAGCCAAACTCTCTAGGGCAGATCTTGCAGAGGGGGCAGAGATGGGGGAGGGGAGGAGCTGTCCATCCAGTGGGGGCAAGTGGACACTGAGTTCCCAGTTCCTGCCACCCTCCTGAGGAGGAAACACCAGACCCAGCTGGGAAGGGGCTATGCAGACCCCGCCTGGGGCACCGGGGGCTGCGTGCTGGGAGGCCATGCGAGGGCCTGCCCGGGCCCACCTACCTCGTGGGAGTAGACGATGGCAATGAGCCCGGTGAGCAGGCAGCAGAAGAGAGTCACCAGCACGGACTCCATCATGTAGTCCTTGGGTGGGGGCCGATGCTCCACCCCGGCGGGGACCGGCCCGCCCGCCACGGGGCTGTTGTACTGTGGGGACAGACGCCACGGCGCAGTGAGGGGGCCAGGCCTAGCCCCAGAGGGAGCACACAGCCAGCCAGCACCACGGAGGGGTCACTGGGTCTGCCCCCAACCCCCACCCATTGAGGCTGCAGGTGCCCAAGGGGTGGCGGGCCCCCTTCTCTCTCCCTCCACACCCCAGCCGGTCACTCAGCCCCAGGGAGCCTTCTGAGTTCCGCCCGCCGCAGATTGCTCAGCTCAGGGTCCACCCACCACGTGTCTCCCTGTCCTCACTGGGCTCCCCACCAGGGGGGACCTCGAAGCGCTCCTCCACAGGCAGCCCAGGGTTTTTTCATTTTCTTTTGTCTTTTCTAAAAATGTAATCAAGTCATCTCCCACCCAAAGGCCCTGGGGCCCCTCACCATGGATCCCACCTTCCCATCCTCCCTCCCCGCTAGCTGAACACTCCACCATCATTCCCAGGGCACACCAGGCTTGTGCTCTGCCCTCAGCCCAGAGCACCCTTCCTTCTCTCCTCTGCCTACACTCAGAACCCAGCTCAAAGGCCCCCACCTTGAGTAGGGGGAAAGCCTCCCCGGGCGCCCACTCCCCAGGCTGAGGGAGCCCTTTCCTTTCCCTCCTCTGGGCACAGAAGCCCCCTCTGCAGGTTGGTTATGGTGACCTCTCGTCTGTGCACCAGACTCTCCCACCTAGGGAGGGAGGGGTGAGTCGGGGGAAAGTGGGGGAGCAGGAAGTGGGGGGCTAGAAGGGGGTGGGGGTGAGCAGGGGGTGATGGGAAGCAGGTGGTTGTGGAGCAGGCGTCCCGGGCACCGGGCGGGCGGGGTGACCTGGGGGGCGGGGGCGGGGCCGTGCCTACTCACCACCGGGAAGGGCGCGAAGAGCGGCTGCGGGCCGGCCGCGGGGTAGAGCGGCGCGGGCGGCGGGTACAGGGCCTGGGGCGCGGGCGCGGGCTGGAAGAGCACGGGCGCCTGCGGGAATGGCGGGTAGAGCAGGTGCACGGCCTTGGGGTCGGGCGGCGCGTAGGGCGGCGGCTCGCCCACGAAGCCAATGTTGGGAACCCCGCTGGCTGCCACCTTGGGCCCCTGCCTGGCCTCGCCCTCGGCCTGGGCCTGGGTGGAGGGAGCTGCCGAGGCCTCGGCCTGCGGGGCGGCCGGGGGGTCCTCCCCGTCGGCGGCCGCTTCGTCGCTGGGCCCTCCATCCTCATCCAGGAGCTGCGGGCGGCGCGGGAGCTGCGGGAGCTCGGGGTGCGCGGGGCTCCGGGGGTCCTCCGGGTCGCCGCCCCCTTTCCCTTTCGTGTCCGCTCCTGGGAAGAAATGGCAGGTGCCCTGAGCCCCAAAAGGCCGCTGACCCAGGCGGGACGCCTCCCGCCGAGCCCCAAAACAGAGCCCCTCTAAGGAGAAAGTCACAATGACCCTGCGGACCCTGATCCTCCGTGTACCCCATGCGCAGGCCCCTCCACGTGGGCCCTCCAAGATATCTTTACTCAACAGACGACGGAGGTCAGAAGACAGTGGATCAACATGTTAAAGAGCTGAAAGAAAAGAATGCTCAACCCAGGGGCTGGCCCCCGTGGCTGAGTGGTTGGGTTCCGGCACTCTGCTGCAGGCGACCCAGTGTTTCGATCGTTCGAATCCTGGGTGCGGACATGGCACTGCTCATCAAACCACGCTGAGGCAGCATCCCACATGCCACAACTAGAAGGACCCATAATGAAGAATATACAACTATGTACTGCGGGGCTTTGGGGAGAAAAAGGGAAAAAATAAAATCTTAAAAAAAAAAAAAAAGAATTGTCAACCCAGAAATTGATATCTAAAGAAAATGTTCTTCCAGAATAAGGAGTGCATTTGCTTTCTATTGTTGTATAACAAATGACCCTAAATGTGCTGGCTCAAAACAACACCCATCCACCTCACACCCGTCATAAGGACTAGGCTGAAAAACCCAGAGGTGAGGATGTGGAGAAACTGGAACCCTTGTGCACCATCAGTGGGAATGTAAAATGGTGCAGCCACTGTAGAAAAGATACGGCAGGTCCTCGAAAAATTAAAAATAGAATTTCCATATGATCCAATAATTCTACTTCTGGGTATATACCCAAGAGAATTGAAAGCAGGGGCTCTAAGAGATAGGTGTACACCCATGTTCATAGCAGCATTATTCACAATAGGTAAAAGGCGGAAGCAACCCAAGTGTCCACTGACCAACAAATAGATCAGCAAAATGTGGTCCATCCATACCATGGAGTATTACCCAACCTTGAAAAGGAAGGAAATTCTGACACCTGCTACAACGTGGAGGAACCTTAAGGACATCACGCTAAGTAAAATAAGCCAGTCACAAAAAGACAACCACTGCATGATTCCACTGATATGAGGTCCTCAGAGTAGTCAAACTCCTAGAGACAGAGAAGAACGGTGGTTACCAAGAGCTGAGGGGAGGGGGAATGGGAAGTCATCGTTTAAGGGGTTTAGAGTTTCAGTTTGGGAAGAAAAGAGTTCTGGAGATGGATGGTGGTGATGCTTGCACAACAATGTGAATGTGTTTAGTACCCCTGAACTTAAAAATGGTTAAGATGGCAAATTTTAGGTTATGCGTATTTTACAACAATTTAAAAAATTACCAAAACACCCATATATTATCTCACGCCCCATAGCCGAGTGGTTAAGTTCATGTGCTCTGCTTCAGTGGCCCAGGGTTTCGCCAGTTCGAATCCTGGTCCCAGACATGGCACTGCTCATCAGGCCATGCTGAGGTAGTGTCCCATATGCCACAACTTCCTCACAAAAAAAAAAAAGAAAGAAAAGAATGCCAATATTACAGACTTTTTTAAAAATAGAGGAGGCGGGATCACTGCCCAACTCATTTGATGAGACCAGCATAAACCTCATACCAAAACCCAAAAACTTACAAAAAAGGAAAATTACAGACCAATTTCCCTCATGAAGATAAACACAAAAAAACCCTTAATAAAATATTAGCAAATTAAATCCAGCAATATATAAAAACTATATCATGATTAAATAAAATTATGCAAGGTTGGTTCAACATTCAAATATCAGCTTAATTCACCATGTTAACAGAACAAAGAAGAAAAACCATATTATCATTTCAATGGATGTAGAAAAAACATTTGACAAAATCCGACACCCATTAATGGTTAAAAAAGAAACTTCTAGTAAACTAATAATAGTAGAGAATGTCCTCAAATTGATAAAAGGCATCTATAAGAAACCTACAGCTAATCTCATACTTAATGGTAAAGGACTGAACCGTTTCCATCTCCTCCCCAAGATCAGAAGCAAGGTAAGGGTTTCCACTCTCCCACTGCTACTTTACATTGTGCTGGTGGTCTTACCCATAGCAATAGGGCAAAAAAATGAAATAAAAATCATGGAGATTGGAAAAGCAGCAGTAAAACTGTCCTGGTATGCAGATGATGTAACTGTTATGTAGAAAATCCTAGGAAATCTACAACAACTCCTAAAACTAATAAATGGATTTAGTAAGGTCTCAGTTTACAAGATTAATATACAGAATCAATTGTATTCTTATGTACTAGCAGCAAATAATTAGAAAATGAAATTAAATCTAAGATCCCGTTCACAGGAGCACCAAAATAATTGGAAAACACTTAGGAATAAATCTAACCAATGAATTCCAAAGCATCTGCACTGAAAATTACAAAGCATTGCTAAAAGAAACTAAGGAAGTCCTAAATAATGGAAAGATATACTATGTTCATTGACTAGAACACTCAAACTGTTAAGATAACAATTCTCCCCACATTCATCTACAGAGTCATTGTAATCACAGTCAAAATTCCGCCAGGCTTTTTTTAAAATGTAGAAAGTGACGGGCTAATTATAAAATTTTTATATGAAAATGCAAAGCACCTAGAACAACCAAAACAATTTTTAAAAGAAGAACAAAATTGGAGGACTCTACCTGCTTGCAAGACTTACTATAAATCTACAATAAACCATTCAGTTCATTACTGATGAAAGGACAGACACACACATCAATGGAGCATTAAAATATTACAGTACGGAAATAGACACACGCATATTTGGTCACTTGATTTTTGTCCAAAGGTTCTAAGGCAATTCACTGGGGAAAGTCTTTTTAATAATTAGCATAGGATCAACTGGTTATCTGTGTGGAAAAAAGTGAATATTGACTCTTTCCTCAACATATACAGAAATTAACTCACAAACCCAAATGTTACATCTAAAACTATGAAACTTCTAGAAAAAACATAGGAGAGTATCTTCATGTCCTTAGGATAGATAGGTAAAGATTTCTTATATATAACACCAAAAGTATGATCCATGAGAGACAAAATTCATAAACTGGACTTCAAAAATAAGAAACTTTTCCTCCTCAAAAGACACTACTAAGAAAATACAAAAGCAAGTCACAGTGGGGGAAAATATTCACGACACATGTCTCAGACAAAGGAGTGTATCAACAAGGCGGGAGAGCTCTCACGACCCAGTCGTAAGTCAGACACCCCAAGGAGAAAGTGGACAAAATATCTGTAAACACTTCACCAAAGTAGCTATTTGAATAGCCAATAAGCACAGAAAAAGACACTTAATGTTATTAGTCATCAGAAATGCCATCAAAATTAGAAAAGTCAATTAAAACCACGCGATATCCTCACACACCATTAGATTGGCTAACATTAAAAAACAAGCCAACCTGACCTTTGCGAGGTTTGGCAAGTACGTAAACACAGTGGAACTCTGAGACACTGCTAGTGGGAAAGTCAAAGAAAACAACCGCTTTGGAAAACAGTTTGACAGTTTCTTTTCTTTTTTTTTTTTTTCTTTTTTTTTGAGGAAGGTTAGCCCTGAACTAACATCTGCTGCCAATCCTCCCCTTTTTGCTGAGGAAGACTGGCCCTGAGCTAACATCCGTGCCCATCTTCCTCTACTTTATATGTGGGACGCCTGCCACAGCATGGTGTGCCAAGCAGTGCCATGTCTGAACCCAGCATCCAAACCGGTGAACCCCGGGCCACCAAAGTGGAACGTGCGACTTTAACCGCTGTGCCACCGGGGCGGCCCCTGACAGTCTCTTAAAAAGTTATATATCTACCGTATGAGGCAGCTATTCCACTCGTAGGCATTTACCCCAGAGAAATCAAAACCTAAGACCACGCAAGCCTTGTACACAGATGTTTACAGCAGCTCTGTTTCTAACAGCCCCAAAGTCCGCAGACAGGAGAATGGGGAAAGCGGTTGGGCTCCAGCCACGCGAAGGAATGTGTCCACGGTAGGCAGCCTCCACAGGGGCCCAGTGAGCCCTGCCTCCTGCTGTGAAATCCTCTCCCCCTGAGTGGGGCCTGGACTTCATGACTTGCTAATGAAGAGAATATGGCAGAAAACGTGGGATGTCGCTTCTGAGATTTGGTTTTTCAAAGACTGTGGCTTCTTCTCAGTCGCCCTCCCCCTCTCTCGCCGTGTCCTCTCTCTGCCTCTGGTAACTCCGAGAGGAAGCACGCCCTCGTGTTGTGAGCGGCCCTGTGGAGAGCCCGCGTGGCATCGCATGGCACCGAGACCCTGGGTCTAAGAGCCCGCATGGAACTGAGACCCCACGGCTGACAGCACGAGGGACTGAAACCTGCCAAGGAGCAGGGGAGCGAGTCTGGAAGCAGCCCCGTCAGCCTCCACTGAGACTCGGGGCGCCCGCATCCTGGCTGATGGCTTCACTGCAACCTCCTGAGAAACCTCAAGCCACAGGCCCCCCACTAAGCCCCACCCAACTCCCGACCCACAGAAACTGTGGGGTCCTAAATGTTTGCTGTTTTCAGCCTAAATGTTTAGAGTAATTTGTTCTGCAGTAACAGATAACAGACGCAACTATGAGCAAAAAGGAATCAACTCTTGATACACAGAACACAGACGACTCTCTAAATCACGATGCCGAGCAAAAGAAGCCAGCCAAAAAGATGGTGCGTGCTACACGATTCCGTGTAGAGGAAATTCTAGAAAATGCAACCCAGAGGGACAGAAAGCCAGTCAACGGTTGGCGAGGATGGGGTGGAGGCAGGGATTACGAAGGGCACGAAGAAACTCTTGGGGGTGATAAAGAGGTTTGTTTTGAGGTGGGGATAGCTTGACAGATGCGTAATATGTCAAAACTGATCAAAATGCACATTTTAAATATGGGCAGTTTGGTGTACTTCAATTACACCCCAAGTAAAGTCAAAACGTTCTCTAATAAAATTCTGAAAGCACTTGCCCGTTGGGGCTTGCTCTCTCTTGTTGCTGGGAGGCGTTCGGCCACCATTGTGAGGGAGCCAAACTAGCCTGCTGGACAAGCCACAAGGAGAATGGGGGCTCCCAGCCAACAGCTCGCCAGTCCCCAGACCACCCCACCCCAGGGAGCTGGCTCTGACAAGCAGAAGCACCCAGCCGACCTACAGAGTCCAGAGAAATAATAAATGCTTGTTGCTCTAAGCTGCCCAGTTTGGGGTTGTTTTGTTACACGGCAATAGCCAATTGATAAGTGATTCAGAAAGTCTCCCCCAGCAGCCAGTGCCAGGGGCATTGAAGTGACCAGCATGAGGGCAGCAGCGGGGGAAGGAGGCCGGGGCTGAATAAACAGAGACAATGGCCTGCGCCAGAATGGAGGCAGAGGGCAGGAAGGGCTGTGGACAAGCAGATGGGCGGGTTGCACTGAGGAGGGGCACCGGGCCTGACAGCATGTGCGGGGGAGGAGGGGAGGGAGTTGTCCTGAGCAATAGGGCAGACGGGACCTCTTTTACATCCTCCCTCAGGGCCCAGGGCAGAGCTGGGCAGCTGGATCCGGGCTGGGGTTCCGTGTCACAGTCAGGGGCTGGAGCTCTGGGGCGAGGCTGCCTGGGCTGCTTCACCCACCTGGGCCTCCTCGCTTTCCTCGCTTTCCTCATCCTTACCGAGGGGACAATGCCACCTCCCGGGGTGGTGGGGATTAAATGAGCGTCTGTAGGTAAAGTGCCTGGATCACCAAGAGTAGCGCTCAGCTAACACTGGCTGCTGTTATCTGAGGTCAGGAAGGGACTAGAAGAGGAGAAAATGGAAGCGTGTTCAGGCCAGTTTGAGGGAATGTACGAGAAGCAGGGGAAATGGAAGCCAATGAGAAATAAGCTCCTCGCTTAAAGTCAGAAAGTTTTGTGATGATAAAGTCTGGTGCAGAGAGCTGGGTTCTTCCAGGAGGACCCCTATTGGGGGCCTAGGGCTTGCAGATCTGTTGGAGGGTGGGGGAGGTCTAAATATCCCAGGGGGGGGGCGCCCACCAGACCCCAACCCCCTAAGAGGCCTTGTTAGATGCTCTCAGGGTTTCCGGGGCAGCTCCAAGCCCCATCTACCAAGCCAAGGGCTTGAGTTAAAGAATCAAGACAACTACGGAAAGAACAGTGTAGGAAAAGGAGAAGCTGTGTTTGCCGTCTGAGCCAGAGGGTTTTCCCCGCACCCCAGTGCCACTGGCTGACTGACTTGGGATGCTGTCAGCCAAAATCCAGCACCCCTGCTCCACAAAGCCCCAAACCACCCCCTGAACAGGTGACTACACAAAGGCACCCAGCCAGCCGAGCATGAAGCCCTCACATTTTTATGGAGCACCTGTTACGGGCCAGCGCTCTAGGCTCGGGAATACAATTTTGTACACAAACACTATGAAAACACCATGGTTTCAGCGGGTTCGGGTGCCTGTGGGGCTGGCAAGTGGATGATGTCCCAGTAAATGGTAATGACAGTGCCATGAACAGCAGCTACCACCAGTAAGCACTTAGCAGGCGCCAGGCTCTTCGGGCACAGACATTACACCTGCATTTACATGGGACCAGCACTGCCCACACGTGAACTCTGGCGGTGTGACCTTACAGGCACATCACTTAAACTCTCCATGCCTCCTTTTCTTCATCTGTAAAATGAGGATAATATTAGTAACAATCACTGAAAAACAACAGCCGTGAACAATGACCGGCTCCGTTCTGAGAACTTTGTTACAGCGCCTCAGGGCACCCTCAGGTGCGCTTTTGTTTCCATTATCCCCATTTCAGAGATGCGAGAACCGAGGCTCCCAGCAGGTAACCTGAGCCTTCGCCAGCGGATCCACCCGAGACCGGCCCCTCCGGGATGCTGGCACGGAAGGCCCTGCCCCAGTTATCATAACAAAAACCGCAGCTTCCCGGGGCCGCCAGGGCAAATACCTGGCCCGATCGCGCGGAGATAGGCTGCAGAGTAAATAAATTTGCTGGCGGGGCTGTCGCCTGTGGCCTCTGGTTCTCGAGTTCTCGACACCCGAGCCTCCGCGGGACTTTGCAGCTAGGAAGGGGGGCCGGGAGGTGGGGTGGGGTGGGGCGGTGCTCAGGGTCTGGGGACGTCCGGGGGGTCGGGGGTGGTGGCGGCGGGTACAGCCAGGCCCGGCCCCGCCCCTCTTCGCCGCGGCATCCCCTGGGAGCTGGCGGCAGAAATCTAGGTGCGCCCCGCCCGCCCCAGGTTCCCGTGGGGGGGCCAGCCAGGACTGCACGGCCCGTGGTCCGGTCCCGCTGCCACCTCGGCTCCTCCCGCCAGCCTGGGACTCCCGAGGGCAGGGATGGGGAGGTCTCCGTTCCCCGGCCCCCGCCATCCCCCTCCGGTGGCTGGTGGCGGTGGGGGCCGTTGGAGTTCCTTGCAAGTCTTTCCGCGCCCCAACCCTTGTCTGCCCATCTCTCCAGCTCGCTCCCCCCACCCCGCCCCACCCCACTCCACCTCTGTGGGTCCCGGATTCAGTCTGTGGAGTCTCCTCCGGGCTCTATCTCCCTCCCTGGGCCCTTTCTCTGTCCCCCCTGCCAGGGTCGCCCCCTGCCCCCCGCTCTAAGGACTTCAGCCCGACCGGAGGGGTGAACAAAGTCACCAGAGCCAGGACGGGGCGCGGGGGAAGGAAGCGGAAAATGCCCCCCAAACCGCCGCTGCTCAGACACCTGCTGCCCCTCCCCAGCTCTCCCGCGGGGGCGCCCACAGAGCCCGAGGGGGGCACGGCCAAAGCTGCCTGAACTTTCCACGGCAGCCTCCTGGTTCCCCCAGTTCTGGGGCGGGGCGGGGGACAGAGGTGTCCCAGGGCAGGGCCAGGTCGGGACCCCGCGGAGAGAGCCTCGGAGCCCAGGCCGGGCCGTCCCCGTCTCGCCCGCCCCTCCGCCCGCAGCCGGGAGCCCGGACCCCCGGGAGCCCGGGCCGGGGGCGCGCCGCGCGCATCGGGGCCGCCGCGCCTACCTGCCTCCATGGCGCGAGCCGGCGGCGGGCTGCGAGCTGCGGGCTGCAGGCGGGGGCGCTGTGCCCGGAGCCTCCCGCCGCCGTCGGGCCCCGCTCCGCTTTCGCCGCCGGCTCGGGTTTCCTGGTGCCGGCTCGCGGCCGGTTAATAATTGACCGCCTGCATCGCCCACGGCTGCGTCAACAGGTGGCTCCCCGTGCGCCCCGGCGCTGGCGCCGTCCGCGCCGCTGCGGACCCGCAGGGAAGCAAGGTCGTGGCGGCGATTTTCAGCAGAGCTGTAGCTGAGTTGGAGGCGGGCGGGAGGAGGGAAGCAGGGCGGGCTTGGGACCTGGGAAAGGGCAGCGGTATGAATGCAAATACCCACAGGGGCCAGGAAGGCCCGTGGGAGGCAATAAAGGAGTGGTGGGGACCCGGGCGAACGGCAGAACACAGCCGACCGTATTTGTGGCCAACAAGGACCGCGGGGAATCATGGTTGCCGAATCTTCCTTTTAATTTTTCCCAGCAAGGGAAGCTAGAAATGCAGATTTCCATGTGAAATCTCCTGAGTTTTAAGACAATGTGAGTGAGGCTTCCATTCCCTGAAACTTGCCAGAAGCAGGTCTCAGTCCAAACACCTACCTAGAAATGCTAGATAGGCCACCCCAGCATGCGGGGCATCTTCTCAAAGTCATAGCTGAGCTCCCTAGATAGCAAGTGAAATCCCCAGGAGCCAAGGAAGAGGGTGGGACTGACCCTGGAGGGAATCGGCAGCCCCGGGGGCTGTGCACTGTGCTGGGCTGGTGGGCTCAGTGGCTCAGTTTGAGTTTGACACCCAGATGTGGACAGGAGATGAAGCCTTGGGTCTGTGGAGCAGGGAGCTGGGATGAAGAGAGAACAGAAATAAAGTCCGCCTGCGGCTCATGGAGCTGACAAGGAAGCCGGTCCGACCCAGCCTAGGTTCTGGATGAGGAAATAAATTCTGCCCGGGAGCTGTGACCACAGGCTGTCCCTCACACGGGTTTGGGGTTTGAATTCAGCCTATCCATGTGGCCCAGAAACCCCTACACTAAAAATTGACGTTGAGGGGCCGGCCCAGTGGCGTAGCGCTTAAGTGCGCATGTTCCGCTTCCGCAGCCTGGGGATCGCCTGTTCGGATCCCGGGTGCGGACATGGCACCACTTGGCAAGCCATGCTGTGGTAGGCGTCCCACATATAAAGTAGAGGAAGATGGGCATGGATGTTAGCTCAGAGCCAGTCTTCCTCAGCAAAAAGAGGAGGATTAGCAGCAGTTAGCTCAGGGCTAATCTTCCTCAAAAAAAAAAAAAAAAAAAAAAAATTGACGTTGGAAAAAAAAACCACTCCAGGAAAGCACTCTGGGATTCATCCAAAGCAAAAGTAAAACCATTCTGTGGGACACAGTCCCCATCCAAGCTGAGAAGGTTCTCACAGAAGAGGCGCCCTTGAACACGAGCCCACAGTCCCCGATGGCAAAGCGCTCCATGGTGAGCGAGAGTCTGCAGCCACGACAACAGCAAGACGGGATACAGGCTCGATCAGGATCCAACCAGAAAAGACAAACCACCAGGTGCATTTGAAATAGAGGAAATTTGACACAGAGAGCCGGCTTTGGAGGTGACAGAAGAGACAAAGCTGACCAGAGAAGAGTGGAACAGCCCGGGGGGGGGAGCATGCGGAGGAAGGTGTGACTGAGCGACACCCGAGGTCGGGAGGGCAGGAGTGGTCCACCCCACAGGTGCCTGCAACAGGGGCTGCATTGTTTGAAAGGGATTTAAAGACAATAGTAAAAGTGACTAAAGGTTGGTCTGCTTTTCATCACCGTGTGACAGTAATTCTATACAATGTCAGTGACAGAATACTCCATCCTGAAAACAATATTTTGTTGGTCTACATTCTAAACAGTTGCTGCAGTTATTGCTGGCTCACAGAAAGGCAGCAGCTAGGCCTTCCCCTGGAGGCAGAAGACGAGCAGAATCCTCTCCCGGCCAAGAGAAAAGAGGAAGATATAGAAATATCAGGCTTTCTTCAGTGAAAATACCCAGCCAGATCAACCTCACCTTGACGCTTGGAATTTCTGACCATCTTGCTAGTCCCCTGCTCTTAAGTATCAACCGAGAGACCAGGATCACCCACTGCGGTTCTCCCCTGAAAGAGACAAATAAACAAACAAATGGAAGAAAGTAACTATGAGGAAACATGATGCCGGGGAAGAAAACTTTCTAAAAAAAATGCTCTTTAGTATCCTCAGAGGGATTTGAGGAGACATTCAAGAAACAAGAACAGGACACTCCAAAAAAGGAACAGTCATCAAACAAAACAAAAAAGCTCTCGAGAATTAAAAAGTTGACAGCAGAAATGAAAAACACTGAGGAGATTCATTCAGGGAGAAGAAATGTCAGATCAGGCTGAAACATGGCTCTACACAAAGAAGGGAAGAGTGCTGGAAATGGAAAGCTCAAAGCAAACTAAAATGGAAAATGCCCCAGTCTGTAATTGTGCTAAAAGGTAACAACAAACTAAAGCCAAAAAACAGCAATACTCTGTATGCTTACGGCACATTTAAAAGTAAACTGTAGGACAGTAATAGCAATAGCACAAAGGATGGGAGGGAAGAATTGGGACTACACTGCTTATACGACATGTAAAAAAAGTCCACCACATGGGAGCATTAGAATATCACTTGAAGGTAAACTCTGATTAGTTAAATAAGTATACTGTAAACACTATGGCAACCAGTAGTTTTTTTTAAAAAGAGGTATAAATAATAAGTCAATAGAAGAGATAAATAGAACCATTAAAATGCTCAACTAACCCAACAGGAAGCAGAAAAAGAGGAAAAGTGAAACAAATTACAGATGGAACAAATGAAAAACAGCAAGGCTAGGACTACAGTGAGGCAAGCAAGGCCCCTAAGTACAAAATGTAAGGGGGACTAGCCTTTAGGGTGGTGCAAGCACAGAGTTCAGCACTTGCATGAACATGAGAGTAAACACCTTTTAAACTTTTGTACCCTAGACATCTTGCTTCCCCTAGTCCTGATCTTGGAAAAGAGCTGGAAAGATGGTAGAATGTAATCCAACCATTTCAATCATCACATTAAATATGAATGGTCTAAATACACCAGCTGAAAAACAGAGATTGCCAGATTAGATAAAAAAGTAAGAACCAACTATATGTTGTCTACAAGAAACTCAGTCAAATAGAAGGACATAGATAGCTTAAACGTAAAATGATGGAGAAAGACACACTGTGCAGACACTAACCAAAAGAAATCAAGGCTAACAGCACTAGTAACACATAGGACATCACGTACACCTGGCGAGATGCCCTGGGAGGGGCACCTGTCATCTGTGCTCCCGCTCCCAAGAACAGATAGACACAGGAGGAAACCTCAGACAAACCCAGAGTGAGGAGAACGCTGAACAACATTTTGCTGTCTTTACTTTCCACACTTAGAATTTTCATTTGGTTCTTTTAAAATCTACACATTTTTCATAACGTCTTTCCTGTTGTTTTGTACTCTATTCCATGTGCTTTCTCTTCAAAGCACTTTTAAAACTTTTTATTTGAAAATGATTTCAAACTCAGAGAAAAGTTGCAAGAATGGAACAAATGACCCAATAATGTCTTTTCTAGCATATTTTTGGCCAGTATAGAACCTAGTCTAGGATATATGTTGCAGTTAGTTGTCATGTCTTCAAAGACTTTTATACACCTTTTTTTTTTAAAGATTTTATTTTCCCTTTTTCTCCCCAAAGCCCCTGAGTACATAGTTGTATATTTTTAGTCCTAGGTCCTTCTAGTTGTGGCATGTGGGATGCCACCTCAGCACGGCTTGATGAGCGGTGCCATGTCCGCGCCCAGGATCCGAACCAGTGAAACCCTGGGCCACCAAAGCAGAGCGTGCAAACTTAACCACTCGGCCACAGGGCCCGCCCCAATACACCTATTTTAAAATCCTTCCTGGGGCCGGCCCCGTGGCCGAGTGGTTAAGTTCGCGCGTTCTGCTGCAGGCGGCCCAGTGTTTCTTCAGTTCGAATCCTGGGTGCGGACATGGCACCGCTCATCAAGCCACGCTGAGGTGGCGTCCCACATGCCACAACTAGAAGGACCCACGACTAAGAATATACAACTATGTATGGGAGGGCTTTGGGGAGAAGAAGGGAAAATAAAAAAAAAATTTTTTTAAATCTTTAAAATCCTTCCTAAACTGGCGCATCATCTCTAGTTTCCAGATTCAGCCCATCTGCCACCCCTGTTGACTAGTCCCAGGTGGCTGGTTTCCTCCCGGCCTTGGTAACCTTGGAGAGTTTGTCTTCAGCAGGAGCTGTCTTCTAAAGGCGCCTGCGTGTGCCACGAGTGTGCCCTGGGATGTGAGACAGTTTTGGATTTGGCTCCTCATGGAAGTCACCGGCTGTGGACCATTTTTCATGTTAGTTTCTCCACTTGGGGTTTCTGCACCACATGGGCAGCCACGTGCAGCACGGGCCCAGGCTTCCACTTGCTCAGGGATGACCCTTTCTCCCCAGAGCCTTCAGTGTGGTGGTTTGCTCCAGTTTCACAAAAGGGCAGTCCCTTCCAGGCTCCAGGGCCAGTTCCAGGACCCCGCTGCCGTGCTCGGGCTGGGCTTTGACTCCCACCCAGAAAGGCACAATCTGGTCCTGCTTCCTTTATGGGCAACTCGGTTTCAACCACTGGCCATAAAGACCTTCCTCAGCCAGGGGCCTGGACGGCGTATTTGCCTTTCTCGTTTGGGGACAGGGAGACCACGCCCTTCTGTGCGGCAGGAGCGCGGATGTGTGCGAATATGGGCGTGTTGGCTTCCTGCACCTGCTGGCTCGGCTGGTGTGACTGGACGGCCATTGGCCACCACAAGCCTTGGGCAAGCCATGTAATCTCTCTGCTCTTCAATTTCCCTATCAGGAAAATGGGATAATAATGGTACCCACATCATAGAGTTTGTTAAAATCAAAAACAAATGGAAAAATTTTTCAGCCTTGAAAATTCCCTGAGCAGACAAAACCAGTTTAGTCACACAAACAAAGCTTGATTTACCTTATTTTGCAACAAGACTAACTTGACCTGGGTCATTTCTTGCTTACGCCTCTGGAAATCATTAGCAAAACTTAAACTGTTTCCCAAAATTGATATGAGGTAACCGCTGACCAATTCCCTATCATTTAAGGAAATCCTAGCTTATAAGTAGTCGCTGTGAAGCACGCACAGTCCCCGCCTCCCCACTGCATTAGCTGCTTTATAACAACGCACCCCAGCCTCATTCCGTGTTTTGGTGTGCGTGCTCCTGCTTCTCGAACTGTCTTTTTGGTGTATGTGCAATAAACTTTCACTAAGTACTTCTTCAGTGATTCGTTGGTTTTACTTCTGCTATTTCTGAACTTTTGACGGGCTGTCCCGAGGCTTTACTGCTATTCGAGATATGTGGCCAACCTTGTTACACTTCACGCTATCTAGCCACAGCCTTATCGGACCCAGAGAGCAAACACCAGAATACAAGGCCATGGTTTTCCCTGGGTGAGGGGTTACGCGTGATTTCAGTTTTATTAGTGTGTGTGCATTTCTGCAACGAGCATGGGTTACTTCTGTGATTAGGAAAATGGCTATAGATGCTACTTAAAACGTCAGGCACCTGGAGACTCAAAGAGCTGAGTGGCAGCCGTGTTCAACAAAAGCTTAAAGATGGGATTGGAATGAACTGACATTCTGCAGGCGGTTGGGCTGGCTAAGGGAACGAGGAGGAGGGCAGCCCTGGAGAGCTGTGTTTCCTGTGCTCACGTGAACTCGACGGGGTGGGGCTGGTGAAGACAGGAGCGGAGAATTCCAGAGGGGAGTCACTGGTCATTCGTGCAAGTTCTGCCTCACTGGTTCTGAGAAACCCAAACCCCAAGAGCTACGAGTCTCAGCCCCACGCCTCATTCTGTAACAATAAATGCTTACTGTGCATGGCAGAGAGACTCGGCGGAACAAGCCAGCCACGGCCCTGGCCTCACGGGGCTTCTGCTCTCCTGACAAACACAGAGGAGGTGATTGCAGAACCTACAACATAACTGAGCTGAGTTAGGTGCTTTCCTGAAATTCCAGGGGCCGGTGAGTACCCAGACGAGACTGGCCTGGCCCAGCTGGGGAGGGGCCGGAGTGTCTTCCTTAAAGGATGCTGGGCAGAGGATCCTGGGGGAAGGCTGCCCAGGCTTGGTGGGAGGGTGCGAGAGTTAGATAAGAGGGGGCAGGGATGGGTTGGTTTGCAGATGAAAGAGGTGCTCCCTTTGCTATCACTAAGAGTTGGGCAAGCCTCAGGAAGGGGAGGGTCTGTCAGGCCCCCAAATGCCAGAGCATCAAGAATACAAACCATAAGAAGGGGCTGCCCCGTGGCCGAGCCGTTAAGTTCGCTCTGCTTCAGCGGCCCAGGGTTTCATGGGTTTGGATCCTGGGCGTGGACATGGCACTGCTCATCAGGCCACGCTGAGGCGGCGTCCCACATGCCACAACTAGAAGGATCCACAACAACTAGAATATACACCTATGTGCTAGGGGGCTTTGGGGAGAAGAAGAAAAAAAAAACGGAATACAAACAATAAGAAAATATAGTTAATAGAATTGGCCCTGTGATGAATGGATGCCAAACAGACTAACGCAGAACCAACGAAAACACAGAATAGGCGCCTCTCGGGGGCCGGGTCCCGCGCCAGGCCCTTTGGGTGCTCTAGCGTGGAAGCCTCTCCGTGTGAGCTGCGTGTTGCGAGTTTGGCCAAGCCGCTCCATGGTCTTGCTGCCTCGGTATTCATCGTGTTTGGTCAAGTGGCCTGCAGAGACTTTAAACTGACACCAGCCCCTTCACACAGGCGCGTGCCCCGGACAGCAGCCAGCAGAGTCACAAGCAAATGTAAGTTCCAGAGGTGACTTCCCCAACGGCCCTTGGGGGTCAACAGTCTCCCCTGCCCCCAGCGCCTGCCCCTTAGAGCAGACCCCCTGGGGCTTACCAAAACCTGCTCCTTCGGTTTGCATCGACCAGTCCCGCCCAAGCCCAGGAATCCCACAGCATTCTGCTCATGGACCTTATAAAGGCACCTGCCCCAATCCCCTCCACCTTCACCTCCCCGTGTGGCCCCTGGAGGCGTGCGGTTTGCTTCCTCCAGGCCCTGTGAGCAATAAACTTCTCTATTCCAGTTTCTCCGGTGGTCTGTTGTTGAACCTCTGCTCACCATCCAGCACCCTGTGCTCCACTTAAACGCTAATTTTAAAAAGTCAGGCCTTCCCATCTCGCGGCAGCCACCAGGTAAGCCAGGATGGGGGCTCCCAAGTACATCCAGGAGCTGTGGAGGAAGAAGCAGTCAGGCGTAACACGATTTCTTCTCAGGGCGCGGTGCTGGCAGTACCGTCAGCTCTCTCCGCTCCACAGGGCCCCACGCGCCACCCCCCCGCCCCCCAAGCAAGGGCATAGACTGGATACAAGGCCAAGCAAGGTTATGTCATATATCACATTCCTGCACGTCACGCTGGCCACAAACACGAGTTCCTAAGGGTGCCACCTCCGGCAGGCCTGTCCATCATGGTGTTAATGAGCTGAAGTTTGCTCAAAGGCTGCAGTCTGTCGCCAAGGAGCAAGCTAGATGCCGCTGTGGGGCTCTCAGAGTCCCAAACTCTTACTGGGTTGGCGAAGATTCCACATACAAATTCTTTAGAGTTATCCTCACTGATCCATTCCATAAAGCTATCAGAAGAAATCCTGACACCCAAACCTGACACAAGCACAGGGAAACGCAAGGGCTGACACCTGCAGGCCGCGAGAGCGTGGCCTCGGGAGGGGCCACCACACGGTTGGTGGTTCTCACTGTGCAGCCTGGAGAAGGCGCAATACTCTCCAGCTTCACCGTTACCGCTAATGTAAGTAATGTCTGTAAAACTCTCACCCAATAAACAATTCAGGACAGTCAAAAAAAAAAAGTGATAACATTCCCCCATTTGGGAAGGAAATGACCACATCACTGCCCAAGGTCACCCAGCAGAGGCAAGGTTTGAACCCAACTCTCACCCCAGAGCCTGACTCCTAACCTTGCCATGCTCACCATGAATGGGTGAATGGACTTTCCTGTTTTGAGCTCCCATGTAAATTGCTCTCAGTTAGACAGTGGTTTTCTCATGCAGATCCAGCTGCCCCTTCATCAGCTTCCCCTTGTCCGGGTCCACAGGGCTCAGGAGGCCCAAGCCCCCTCACATGCCCTCCCCCTAATCAGCAGAAGCTGCCTGTAACCCCTCCTGAGATGGGTTGACACCTCTGAAGTTACAGAAACACGACTTGTTCGACGTTTGCTCGTTACTCTAGTCTCCTGCATCGTATTTCAGCATCATCAAATATTCATGGAGTGCTCACGATGCCTTAGGAGCTAGACGTGCAGAGTCTGACGCCTTGGGGGAAATACACAATTTGAATGGATCAGTATTTGCCTCCTCTGCCAGGCGCCGAGGGTGTAGGTGGAATCAAACAGACCTGGTCTCTGCCTTCCCGGCTCACAGCCCAGCTAGTGCGGGAGTCTGAAAAGTCATCCCATGGGACACCTGCCCACCACGTGCTGGGGAGGTTGGGGAGGGCCGGCACTTGCTGCAGAAGGCAGTGGGGAGGCAATGAAGGCTGCAGCGGGGGAGTGGGTGGGTGACGCGACCCCGGCAGCGTTAGGAAACTCGGGTGGTCCGTGTGGAGGAAGGGCTGGAGCACGGATGAGCCGAGGCAGGGCTAAGGCTGTGCCTGGCGAGAAAGTTCGGACTCGGGTGGTGGAGGCAGGAGCTGAGGGCGCGCTCTCTGGGTGACCGCACAGTAGGCGGCAACGCCGGTTCCGGGTTCCGACCCCAGTCACCGGGCTCAGGGTCTGCCTTGCCGGCGCTGGCACTGGTCCTCCCGGCCAGGCCCCGCAGTCCCGGGGGCTCATCCACGAAGGCCCCATGCACCGGAGGTGCATGAAGGGAAACTTCCCGACCACAGGCCTCTGCTGAGGAGGCCGCCAGATATCTGGAGACTCTCGCAGCCGGTGGCGATATTGAGCGACTTTTCTTTTCGGCAGCAAATACGAGGCGCGACCGGCAGCATGCCAAGCGGCCTCCGTATCCCCCAGGGACAGGGGCCCTGGCCGCGCATGCGCGGCGCCCTCGGACTACAACTCCCGCCGCGCCACGCGCCGCCCCGCCCCCCGCCGCGCCACGCGCCTCCCGGAAGTGGAGCTCCGGGGGGCGTCTCCCACCTCTGCGCGGGGGCGGGTGGGCCGGTTTGTTTGGGGAGGCGGCGGGAGCGAGGAACCCGATGCGGGCGAACGGGGCCGGAGATGGCTTCGGCAGGCGGCGGCGACTGCGAGGGCGCCGCGCCCGAGACGGACCGTCCTCACCAGCGGCCCTTCCTAATCGGGGTGAGCGGCGGCACGGCGAGCGGAAAGGTAAGGGGCTGGCGGCCCGGCGGGGCCTGCCGTGTCGCCGCTCACCCCGGCCCCGGGCCCCGGGCGCCCGCCTAGCCTCGGTCCTGAGACGAGACCCCGGGCCCTGGCTGCCCAGGGCCCTCTCCCGGGCGGGGGCGGGGGCGGCGGGGGAAGGGCCGCGGCCGTGGTGGGCCAGGCCTGGGCCGGGCGAGGGGCGCGCCGGCCCTCGGGCTCCCCGCAAGCCTCCCCGCTGGCCTGGCGCCTCGGGCCCCAGGTCCGTGCTGCCCCCGCCGGTGCCCCGCGGCCGTCCCGCCAAGTCCGGCCACACCTGTCGCCGGCCTGCCGGGCAGCCCCTCGGGGCCGTGGGTCGGTGGCTCCAGAAGCCAGCGCCGTGCAGAAACGCTGAGGAAGGGCCCCGTGCCCGAGGCGGGATGGGCGGTTCCAGGCGGGGAATCCTGTTTCTGTATTCCCAGTCAACTGTGTGTGAGAAGATCATGGAGCTGCTGGGACAGAACGAAGTGGACCACCGCCAGCGGAAGTTGGTTATCCTGAGCCAAGACAGCTTCTATAAGGTTCTGACCCCAGAACAGAAGGCCAAGGCCTTGAAGGGACAGTACAATTTTGATCACCCAGGTAGACCACCCGGGGAAGGAGGGCAGGCTGCGGGACTGGGATGGGGAGGCAGAGACCCAGGTGTTCCCTGAAATCTCCCGGGTGGCCCGAGGTGGAGTGGGCTGGGCGGTCAAGTCAGAAGGGCTTTGCCCAGCTCTCTGGGCCCCGGGCAGCCCTGCAGGAGCTGTTGGCTCCCCTGGTTGGCACTGGTCAGAAAGTCTGCACAGCCGAGGGGCCTTCAGGACCACTGCTCTGCCGCACCATGGTCAGGGAGAAATCCATTCAGCTTCCCACTGTGAGGACCCTCTGCACACACCACTGTCCACAGTGGCCTTTCGTTCCCCCTGCTGTGGGGCAAAGTCCTCGGGAGGCCAGCAGTGGGTAAGCGGGAGCTGGAGGCCTGAAGCTCCGCTTCCTGGTCTGGTCAGGGGCCAGGGGAACAGGTGGACAGGGAGGAGATGAGGGAAGAGCCAGGCTGCCCCTGCCTGCAGCTACTACAAGATTCCACTCTGTGGCTGGCTCCTGTCTTCATTTCTTTCCCAGGGATCCATGGGAAGAAGGCCCAGGAAGTGTCAGTCTCTGGTTATTTCCCAGAAATAGAGAGAAGCAGACACTGATGGACCTCCCTCCCAGTGCTGGCCGATCAGGGAATCCCTGTGTTCAGACTTAGGCTGGGATAGCAGCCTGGGCCGGGCACTGCCTGAGGGCAGCAAGGACAGGTCCATCCTGTGGTTTGTGGGACTGCAGGGGGCTCTGCAAATGTAATCTGCATGGGCAGCTTCCAGTCCCAATGTTCCTTAGGGTCGTTGGTACCACTAGCACCCAGCTGTGGCTGGGTGACCCCAAGGCAGAGGAATTTCCTTCCTGTCCCCAGCACAAGGACACCTGGATTGTCTTGCTTTTTGTTCCACTCCTGCAGATGCTTTTGATAATGATTTGATGCACAGGACTCTGAAAAACATTGTGGAGGGGAGAACTGTCGAGGTCCCAACCTATGATTTTGTGACCCACTCGAGGTAAGCAGGTGGTTTCTAGGGGAGAGGGGCTGGGAGCTGGTGAGGGCGGCCCCTCTGGGCCTTACACAGACCGCCCCACAGCAGGCCCTGCCCCACTGGTTTCTGTGCATACCTCTCTCCCCCACCGTGATCCATCCCCTCCATGGAGTCGGTGCCTGGGGATCAAAGCTGACTGCGTGGCCCAGAGACTGTCCCCAGCAGGGCCCACTTCCTGGTCTTGCCTCACAGGCTGCCGGAGACCACCGTGGTTTACCCTGCGGACGTGGTCCTGTTTGAGGGCATCTTGGTGTTCTACAGCCAGGAGATCCGGGACATGTTCCACCTGCGCCTCTTTGTGGACACTGACTCCGACGTCAGGCTGTCGAGAAGAGGTAAGGTGGACGCGGGCCAAGGCTGTCTGCCCCTGGCCGAGGCTGGCGATGGCTTCGAGGTCTGAGCGCGCTGCCTTGCTCCTGTTGCTGCAGTGCTCCGAGATGTGCACCGCGGGCGGGACCTGGAGCAGATTCTGACCCAGTACACCACCTTTGTGAAGCCAGCCTTCGAGGAGTTCTGCCTCCCGGTACCTGCCGTCTGCATCCTTGGGAATGCCTGTCCTCCCTTTTCAGAAGGACACGTGGCGCCCGGTCTGAGAGCGCTGACTCAGGAATGGAGAATTTCATTTGTTAGAGCCCAGCCCCCAGGGAGCAGTTCTCAGCTCCACGTGTTCTCTGTGCTTGCCCCTCCTCTGCCTAGAAAAGCCCTAGTTCCCGTGTCTACACCGGCTCCCTGCCTCCTGCTTCAGGCCTTCACCCAGGTCACCTGCCTTCCCAGCATGACCCCGAAGGCCCTCCACTCCCGCCTGTCTGATTTCTGTCTTTCCAGGGCACTTGTGGTCGTCCGACCAGTGCTGTCTTTTGCCTACCTCCCCTCACAGTGATAAACTCCACGAAGACAGAGATTTTTGTCTTCCCTCCAAAAATGGTATCTGGCACGTAGTAGGTGCTTAGTGACTTCATCCACCCCATGTGTTTCTCTGCGCTGCTTCTGGCCGGCACTCTGAGGTCCAGCTGGCTTGCAGAGAGAAGGAATTCACATGTTGTGTGGCCGTCTCCCCCCATCTCACATTTCTAACTAGATGGGACTTGTGGCTCTACTCAAATTGGAGCTTTTTAAAGGGAAGTTGAACAATATTTTGCCTCTTGAAGGTAAAAATCCAGCACAAAAGAACTGGAACCAGGATTTCTGCTTTGGATGAGTAGGACGAATGAGTTTTATCTGCTGCTATTTAAAGAAAACATTTTTATTTTACGTTCTCAAGTTTCTGGGAAATAATTAGAAGAGTAAATTGACCATTTCAGTCTTTCTCTTATTTACAGAAAGACATTTGGCAAAGTAGGTAGTTTGCAGTAAAACTTTGGACTCCAAATCTGACCCGGTGAGCCTGTGTGGAGGCCGCACTGTCCTCGCCCTGAGCGCCGTCCTTGAACTCCCTCCCCCTCCCTTTTGCGTGCGCCCACGTTGCTGGCTGAGCCGAGCACGTCCGTCCCCCATCCCTGCAGTTAAGACCCTCCTCAGCCCTTCTCTGGGCTCCATCTCCTGCCCCGCTCAGCCCACTGTCTGCACCCCACCCCAGTGAGCAAGCCCAGTGCAGGCCAGCCCTGGCGCTCTTGTGCTCAAGTCTTTTGTGGGTCTCCACTGCCTGCAGACACAGCTGTCCCCAGGACTCAGTCCCTACCCCCTCCGTGGCTTGTCTCCTGTGACATGCCTCCTTGGCCTGCATCCACATGCCAGCAGCACCAAATGGTTCACGGGTCTGTCCCTTGGGCAGACCATTTCCTCCTGCTCCTCCCTCCGCTTTGCCCGATTCAGGTCTGTTCCCCCCCAGCAGCATCTGTGTGGGGCCCCTTCTCGGCAGCCCTGCACCTCCTGGTGTCTCTCTCTGCTTGCCCCTAGCCAGGAGAGTACCTGACGGAGTCTGTTCCTCAGCGCGGGAGCATGCGATGGGTGGTGAACAAACGAATGGGAGCAGGGCCTGCAGGGGTCCTTGCCTGCGGCACAGCTCTGTGATCAAAGGATTCAGCACGCGGCGTCCTGTCCTGCTCGCTCCCCCAGGGTTCTCGTAGGTTTCTAATTCCACAGGAATACCATCCTGTGTTGTGGGAGGGCACACACTTCACTTGGCCCAGTGAATTATGCTGTAGGCACAGAGAGCTGGCCCCTATGACAGTGTGCAAGGAAAAGAACAAGCTAAGCGAGCGTTTCAGAGACGCCAGGAGAGAAAGGCAGATTCTTCTGGCCACCTCACTTCTTGGATCGCTGTCTCTCGTGCCTGGTTGATGGGTACCCCACATCTCTACCCTACCCCCCAGTGACAGGCGTCCAAACACCCTTGACTTGCTACCCTGCCATTGCTTCTAGCCTGCAGCAACTTGAAATCCCCTGGGGGCGGTGGGCAGATCCTTACGAGACCCTCCTTTTTGCCTTGCAGACGAAGAAGTATGCCGACGTGATAATCCCGCGAGGGGTTGACAATATGGGTAAGAACCAGGCCTCACGGGCTGCCCTTACCCCTCAGTCAGCATCCCCGAGCCACAGAGCAGGCACTGCCCCAGCCGAGCACGGTTCCTGAGGACCCCCGATGCAGGAGGCCTGTCCGCGTACATTTGTGGCACAGGTTTCAGACATACTTATGTCAATTATATCTCAGTAAAACTGGTGGAAAAAGTCCATATGTATTGAAAACTATTTGACAAGGAGTTGTTAGCAGAAAGTATTTTAACTGGGCTCTTAGTTAACAGAAACCCTCAGAGACCAAGCCAGTAAGTTTTACTGTGCTCATTTTTGTGTCTGCTGAGACTTGGCACCAGACAGATGCCTCCATGGAAAGACCTGTGCTTCCCAAGTGACCGCGGGCTTTCAGTGAGTGGGCAGCCCTCCTGGCCAGGGCCACTGCGGGGAGGCGCCGCCAGTCAGCCACAGCAGCCCTCTCGCTGGCCTCGGCCATGGGGGCCAGTGGCAGCTAACCCCGCTCTTGTCTCTTTGCTTCAGTTGCCATCAACCTGATTGTGCAGCACATCCAGGACATCCTGAACGGTGACATCTGCAAATGGCACCGCGGAGCATCCAACGGGCGGAGCTACAAGAGGACCTTTCCGGAGCCTGGGGCCCACCCAGGGGTGCTGAGCTCTGGCAAGCGCTCACACTTGGAGTCCAGCAGCAGGCCCCACTGAGGAGTGGGTGCTCAGCCTCCCAGGCGGGGCCCGGACATGGCTTCAGGGTCTGGACCTGGACGTGCCTGCCTGCCCCTGAAAATGCAGTCACCGCTCCCTCTCAGCGGGCGGCACGGGGGTGGTGCTGGGATCGAGCGCCCCACACCCTCGCGGGGAGCTGGGCATGTCCACACTGAGTTTGGCGGGACACTGGCAGGCGCTCCTGATGGCGTCACCTGCTTCCTCACTTTGGGGGGATGAGTCTCTAGGTTGCTGAGAAGAGCCACAGTGTGTGGCAGGCCTGTGACACTCGCGTCCAGGAGGGACGTGAGGCACGTGTTTGGGGAACACTGAGGAGACAGCCGGGACGCTGGCTGTGCTGGGGTGTTCCTGACAGCGAACCGCAGTGAGAGCTGCTTTATCTAGTACGATCTGGTTCACACGCACTTACAACCGAAACAAAGGTTTGAAGAGATGATACTTTCCCTTTTCACGTTATACATCCAAATGTTTTCTGTTTTATTCTGTTTCATAACATCGTTCTAGTTGTGACCTGTTAACCCAATTTCGTGACCCGCCAGTGGGCTGGGATCCAGGCACCCTGACGTGAGGGGCCACATAGTCACGTTTCCTTCCTCCTGGCCTGCGCGGGTCGGGCAGGAGCCTTGGGATCAGCGTTTCTTAACCAGCACCAAGCACACACGTGGGGCCCCCGCGGGCGGGGCAGAAGGCGGGCTGGCGCGCACAGCGTCCACAGTCCTACCCAGGACCCCCAAGTGCAAGGTGCTGTCTGGGCAGGTGGTCCCTCAGGTGGCCCTGGGCCAAGTGCAGGGTGTATGCTGGAATGGAGGGGTGGAAGCAGACGCTGCTGCCCAAAGCCAGCCAGTCCCTGCACCCCCCAGGCCCACAGCCACAAGCACCCCTGCTCTGCCCACCTGACTCTAAAAGCGCCCCTTCCCCTTGCCATTGGCCACCTGCATGGGCACTCTGGTTTCCTCACCGAGTAGCAACTAGTTACACGAGACGACTGAGCTCCATGGCTGGATTCTGACTATGTGACAATTTTGTCAGGCTTATTGTCCCCTTTTGGAAAGAGAGTCAATAAATAACACCAAACATGGGTGCCAATTTGTCCCTTTTTAATTACATTAAAAAGCAAATTCAGGACACGGAGATGCATGGATGACACAACCTAGACTGCTGAAGATGCAGCCCACTCGCACACGTCAGCAGTCTCCTGCAGGGGGTCTCAGCAGCGGTGAGGACTGACACGGGCTTCTCAGTGCCCAGAGGGTCCCACGTCTGCCTCAGCAAAGGCTCGTCGTTCCAGTAGCTTATGTGACACTGACCTGCTCAGGGCGATTCCTTAAGGCCTCACTGGGGACAGGCCAGCGGGTGCTTGGGAGGGAGGCCCAGGCCTGTTGGTCGCACTCACACCCGCATCGGTCAGCTAGGCGGGGACCGCGTCTGCTTCAGCCCTAACACCCTGTCGCTGCCAGCCCCCCGCCTGCCTTGCCGTCTCCATCACAAGTCCCACACCAGCCACTCAACACTCAATGTGTCCTCAGCTCTTAGGAGATGGACGCGGAGGGCATGTTTTGTTGCCTGGAAGAATTAGACTGCTCAGGATGAGGTGCTCATCAGAGAGCTGTTTCAAGAATGAAACCAGAACAGAATCCTTGCCGAGCCTGGCCAGTCTCCACCAAGCTTAGAGCCACTCTGCTTGTCAAAAATAAATACAAAAGATGGTTCTACCTGTCCTGACCCCAGCCCACGCGTCCTTCCCTGGCTTGTGTCCTACTGGTGTTTTCGGATCAAGATGTCCCAGCTCTCTTTCCAGCGAAGTGCCCTGAGTTCGCCAGGTGAGAGCGACTTGTCCCCATAGGTCAGTGGGCGCAGTGTGTTGAACACGTGGCAGGCGCAGGAGTACCACGCCACCACTAGGGCACTGAAGAGGCTCCTCTGGAGCTGGGACCTGCGGTGCCAGAGCAGAGCGTGGCAGGGCGGGAGGCTGGCTCCTCCCTGGGACTTCTCCCCCGCACGTCCTCTCAGCATCTGTCATGCACTCAGTCACCTACCCCAGCCTTTCTGTTCCTCCCACCCTGCTTGTCACCAGCCCTTATTGCACCCTGTCCACTGCACGGAGATGACCCTCCTCCCTCCTCTGCTTCTGGAATCTCCCCAGCTTTTGCTCCATCTAAACTTGGATGTCAGAGTATTGTCCCGAAGCCCAGTACAGTCACATCACAGCCCTCCTGAGATGCCCTGAGGCCCCTGACTACCCAAAACAGTCCACGCCCTTTGCTCTGCTTCCCAGAGCTGTCTGGTTCGTCTCTGCCCCACACCATGAGAGCCGGTCAATGACCACTGGCTGTTCCAGAACACAAGGCTGCCCCCTGTCCCTGGCCTTTGCTCCTGGTGTTCTCCAGGCCACAAACATCCCTCCTGGTCCCCATCCACATCGGTTGCTTTCGTCTGCCAGCCGGCCTGAGCCTTGTCCTCTGAACCCTGTGGCACCTTGTCTACGCCTCTTTTGTGATCTTAACCCATTCCACGTCACACTGGAATCATCAATGACTCCCCTGACCCTGACCCCGAGAGGGGCGGTGTGAAGGCCGCGTACCTGCACAGGTGGTCGCTGATGTGCTGCAGAACCACGGGGAGCAGGAGGATCTGGAAGGTGAGCGCGGGCAGGTAGTGGTACAGGAAGAGCGTCTTCTCCATCAGGAAGAAGGGGAGGTAGTTCACGGCCCAGCCGCCGGCACACAGGGCCCCGGCCAGCACCCAGCGCAGCCAGGAATCTGCGGGGAAGGTCGTCTCACAGCCGTGCTGTGGACTTGGGCCCCCTCTCTCTGTAAAGGCGCTCTGCCTGTCCGCCCAGCTGCTTGCTCATCTTTAAGGTACACGCACATGCTCACAGTTCTTGACTTCTCTTCCTCCCCACTCCTAACCCTGGGTCCTCACCATCCCTCTCCCCTGAGAAACCCCAGCCCCTGGTGGGCCAGGCCCCTGCAAGCTTACTGCTGGATTCCCCACTGGCCTTGGCTCATCTGGGAACACCCAGCTGGGAATACTCCTCTGGGAGTAGTGGAGGGGCCGTATCTGGCCACCTGCCTGGTGGAGCAGGGAGTCAGCAGAGAGAATGGACCAGCTCCCGGAAACGGGCAGGGAGAGGGTGCCACACGGCTCCTGATGGCCTCCGGGGCCCTGCCCTGCCCTGCTCTGCGTCTTTATTCCTTTTCTGTTTTAAGACGGGTTTCTTTGTTGTTTTTTTTTAAAGATTGGCACCTGAGCTAACAACTGTTGCCAATTTTTTTTTCTTTTTCTCTCCAAAGCCCCCTGGTAAAGAGTTGTATATTTTAGTTGTGGGTCCTTCCAGTTGTGCTATGTGGGACGCCGCCTCAGCATGGCCTGACGAGCGGTGCCATGTCCACGCCCAGGATCCGAAATGTCTAAACCCTGGGCCGCCGAAGTGAAGTGCGCAAACTTAACCACTTGGCCATGGTGCCGGCCCCTTAAGACGGTTTTAAGTGGGTTTCTGTTACTTGCAAACCACCATCACCCCAGACTAAGCGCCTGCTGGCCGCTCTGTCCTCTCCAGCCACTTTGGGGGCCGCGGGAACTGCAGCACTAAGGCTGTGCTCTCGTCTGGGGGTCAGGGAGCAATGCCTGCCCGTTAGCCGCACTTCCCCAGAGAAGCCGCTAACACAGTGTGGGAACCAAAGTGCAACATTTTGTCTCCCGGTGACAAGACTAATTTAAGTTCCCTTGATCCAGAAGCAAAGGGGTCGCCTTAAGGTGCAGGCTCCTGGTGAGGTTGGCTCTCACCGGAAGCACAACGAGCTCTCGGCAGAACTAGAAGGCAGAGGCATAAAGATGCATGCGGGCAAGCTGCACTAACCCTCGGGGAGGTCACAGATGCTGCGCCGGCGTCTGAGCAGGTACCAGCAGAGGAGCAGCACGTACACCACCGTGGCGAGGCTGGCCGATGCCCAGATCACTATGTTTCCAAGCAAGTGGATCTGAGCCTGCAGGGGCACAGGGAGACATCATTGGCTCTAGTCTCCTCCACCCCTACTGCCAGGACGGGTGGGCCTGCTCCCGACAGGTGTCTAGAGAAGTGCTGAGGCTTCAACTTTGTCAGCTGAAACTGAAAGCTGGGAGCAGAGGGACTCTTTCTTAAGGACAGAGCTGACCTCAGAGGGACTAACACAGAGCTATGCGGAGCGAAGCAGGAACTCCTGGGCCCACCCCACGGGCAAGATTTCATCTCAGACCCTGCTTCAGAAGGAGCCATCTCTCGACTCCAGGTGGGTGGGAAGGAGAAAGGTGAGCACCCTGAGCACGTGCTCCTTCAGAGCCTAATTGCTGAGCACTGATGCCGGGCCAGCTCCAGGGCCGGGTCCCGGGTGAAGACAATGTGGATGTAAACGAAGTGCCCGCAGGCTCGGACCCGGTGCCATGCAGCAAATGAAGGGGGAAGATTGGGAAAACCACCTTTGCCAGAGGGGAACAATGCACTCCTGCAAAAGCAGTAAAGCCCGGTTTCCTCCGACATGCAGACATGCCAGGACCTTCCTCCTTGGCATCTGACGGTATTTAGAGAACAGCCAGCCAGGCTTTGTTAGGACAGCTCTGGAGAAAGCCAGACTTGGGAGGATGGAATGGCTGCTCTGAGCACCAGAGGCGCCTCGGGGCACCGGGCACTCCACCTGCAGCTGGCATGGCCGCTCGGCTTACACTGGTGGTGGGGTGCAGCCAATAGGCGATGTTGGTGTCCAGGGTGACCCAGTCCAGCGGTGTGGAGCTGTACTTGTGTTCGGAATCATCACTCCTCACCGTCAGCATCCTCCACTGCGAGAAAGCCAGAGCGCTGGGTCAGACAAACAGCCAGAGGCCTCACTGCTCAGGGGTCTGTCAGAGGGTCAAAGTCAACTGCTGCCCCTTCGCATGGGGTGTCCAACCTCAAGTTCACTGGGATCAGGAGCAGAGGCAGCGTGACAGGCCGATGGGCATGCTCGTCAGGAGACTTGAATTCTGAGCCGGCTGTGGCCCCGGGAGGTGCCCACCCCAGGGGCTCCAGTTGCTTCGCCTGGAGGTTAAGTAACTGGACTTGGTGCAACCGGCAGTTTTAGATTTGGGACCCTGAGTTTCTGGCTCTGAGTTCTCTCGGGCTCCATCATGTTGACCCTGGCCCCTTTTGACCTGACCTGGGGAGCCTCAGAACAGACCCTGAATGTGGCAATGCGACATTGCTGCAGAACTTCCCTAGGTCCTGACTATTCCTGCCTGCAAAGCCACAAGGCAGGGGACCAAGAGTGCTGTGCGCGTCACTCACAGTGGAGAGGGAAATGGTCCTTTACGCCGCGCCAGGTCCCCCTGGAAAGACTGGCGTGGGGAAGGAGAGCATGCTACAGACCACAGCGCTCCCTGTGGCGGGGGCCAGCTCCAGCGAGCCGTCACCTGCAGCTCCGAGAATCGGGCCATGAAGCTCAGGTTTCGGCTCAGGTCCATCTGAGTAGGTGAGTGCAGCTCTAGTTCCCGCTCCTTCTGTTCCTGGCCTGACAGAACATACCAGAACCCAAAAAAACATGAGTAGAGTAAGGTCAGGGAGCTCACTACAGAAGCTGTCAGGTGGGTAAAAAGCTGACTTCCCGGCTTTTCAAACAACTCACAACGACTCCGTCAAACCACTTAGCTTCCCCCTTCTGCCATACACCCCATCAGATTCGGATCCTTTGACCCTGAGAGCTCAGCTTGCCTTCCATCGGCACCTCAGAGTAACACCGGCAGCTGCTGACTGCTCCGCCAAGCACAGGGCGGGGGTGTTGGTAACGGAGCGTGGGAATGCGGTCAGTCCCCACCCAAAGCAGAGCTCTGTGCTGGCGTCCTATTAAAGCAACTCACAGGCGGAAGCAGCCTGGCCAGGCGGACTCACTTCTGCCGTAACGGTGCTCCTCCACATTCCACACCATGCTCTCATGGTAGCCCGGGGACAGCTTCTCCCCGACGACCTCCAGCTGCCGAAACCCCCAGTCAGGCAGGTGCGCTCCGCTCAGCTAGCAAGACCAAGGAAGATAAGGGGCGCCATGGGAAAAGCCCGAGTCGCTGGGTCCCCCAGGCCGGAAGGGGAGCCCCACCCGGCCACTGTCGGCAGCCAACAAGGGCGGCGGACTCTGTGGTGGGCTCTTCAGTTAGGATTCAGTTCTGAGCAGTTATAGAGACCCCACCTTCGGTGTAAACACGGCAACGACTCGGACCAAATGTCCTGCCTGGCAAGAGGCCAGCGAGCCTGAAGAGGTCCGCAGTGGACTTGGTGAGCGAGCCCCAGCTTCGGGGCCGGGCCAGCAGCCGCGCTCCTTTACCTTCAGGATGGCGGAGGTGTTCACGTGCACGAAGCGAACCTCCGACAAGATGGTCTTCCAAACCTCTGTACTGGATTCTCTGTTCACAATGTCCTGTAAAAGCAGGTCTCGACAATCACTCCATTCTTTCTCAAGTTTCCTTAAATGTACAATGAAGACCAGTCATCAAACAATGAAACCGACTTGGTCTGATGTAAGGGGACCAGCCCCTGAGGGAGCTAAGGGGCTGATCCTGGATGGCGCCTGCGCCCTTCTTCCTAACACGCCTGCGTACATGCCTGGGGCCAGGCGGACTGGGGGCGCACCCCGCTCCGTTGAGGCAGCACACAGAGGCTTCACGGTGGAGACCGAAGAGACGGAGGCCCTCCCCACGCGCCTGTTCACGGACAGGCCTCAGACCGCGGCCCCACGCGGAGCATTTCTTAGTCCCTATGTGGCAAATACAAAGCTGGCACAGAGGAAGGACAGAGCCCGTCCTGAACGATGCCCTGGGAGGGGAGTCCTGCTGCTGGGTAATAACACAGTAACACCTGAAGAGCAGCCGGCACAGCTGTCTCAGCTTCTCGGAGCCTCATGATGACCCTGTGAGTCACACGGCTGCTGTGAGAACCAGCGAGCCCCGGGCCTAAGCGGGAGCAGGACGGAGCAGGCACACTCTGTGGTCAGCTGTCCTCCCCCTCTTGCTCCATGAGCTCATTCCTCAATTTCTGGAAATGTGTGTATGTGGAGCCAAAGGTGCCAACAGCAGGGACTAAGGAGGCGGAGGAGGAGGAAAGGGATCAGCAATAAGCTGGCAGCAGCCAGGGGAGTAGGGGGACCTTCAGTAGAAATTCCACCAGGAGAGCTCAGGTGACAAGGAGCAGGTACAAACAACCCCCGTCAAGGCAGGAACATGGGAGGAGAGGACGAGGAGGCAGAATGTACACAAGTATCTGCAGCACAGAGAAGGCAACACGCGACAGAGGTGCTGCTGTGCACAAAAGGGCAAGGCAGGCCTGCAGAGCCCTGCGTGGGCCGCGAGCCCCTCTGAGCAGCACAGCATCCGGGAGACGTGTCATTGACCCTATCGAGAACCCAAATGGGGCGGGGGGGAGGGGAGGCTGGTGTCAAGTGGGGAGCGGCTGCAGCCTGCTGGAGGCTGGGAGGAGCCCGACTGTCACGGAGAGAACTGCAGGGGAGTGCCACTGCATTTCACTCACAGCCTTGAATTCCCAGACGGCGCCGTGGCCCCGTAACAGAACGCTTCCCTGCTACCTGCCCAGGACTCCGTGGGCAGCCCTGAAGAGCGAGAGTGATTCTATCAGGGGAGCACGTTCCCGGGTCACTGGCAGGAAGGCTGCCTCAGGAAGGGGCAGTCCTGAGGAATCCCCCACGGGAGGGCCAGGCCCCTCCCAGGGCATCCTGTGACGAGGGCACTTGTTACTGTCAGGCAGGGTTGACAGAAGAGGCTCCCTGGTGAAGGGAGGGTGGCTGGAGCCCCCGACCCTGTGTGTTCAGTGACCTGATCTTCCGACTGAGCAAGTGACCACGCCACAGGGAACCTTCGCCTGCAGGGCCACGTGCGTCGCACAGAGCCCAGCATTTAGCAATCATTCTGGAAACTCGTTCCTCAGAGAGAGGAAAACCACCCAGATTCTCACATTCCAGGGGAAAGGAAGTCTATTCCCTGTGACACCATTTATGACTTTTTCATGACGAACAATCGCTTGCCTAATTTTACATCTGAATCAGAACTAGTCTAAACGGCGGTTCTGAACACTCTGCGTTAGAAAGTGCGCACATCGATGGCCATCGCGACACCGTCTCCGGCTCGGACTCACCAGCCTCCAGAGGTTCTGGGCGGGCATGGAGATGTTGTAGTCGATGTAGCAGGAGACCTCCTGCGAGTGGGGGCTCAGGGGGGCCGCGACATCGTGCCTGGAAAACCAAACCATGCTTGCAGAGGGACCGCTTTAAGGGGAAAACGCTGCTTTTCAGAAACAAAGCCAGCTCAGCCTTAAAGGACAACCAGGTCTCCTAGCTGCCACTACACAAGGACACACCACCTAAGGGCCTGGGGAGAAATGGAAACTGACCAGGCAGAGACCCTGCAATGACCTCATTCCTGGGGGAAAGCACACATGACGTGGGATTCACAGATGTCAGTCTAAACTGTGCAGGTCTCGCCATCCCACTTTCAAAGGACAATGCGAGTCTCAGAGGAAGGTGCCCACTGTCCCAGGAGCACGGCCATGTGCAGGCTGGCAGCTCCCTGATGGCCAGGACTCAGAAATGGCTGAGGCACCAGGAACATTGCTGGAAGACAAGGTGCCCACTGTGACACCGACCTCAGACATCCAGACACACGGTCCCACCACGTGCTACTCCTGCTGTGTGACACCGAGCGCTAGGCACTGTGGAGGAGCTGGAGGGCCCCAGTGAGCCATGAGACCACCTGACGCCCCCAGAAGACAGACCATCGCGCGAACGGACCAGAGAGCCCGGGCTGCATGAGCGCCACCAATAAAATGCACACGGTGGGGACGGCCCCTGGGAAATGCTTTCTGAGGAGAGGACAATTCAGCTGACAGCTGAGGGAAGTGAGCCAGTGGGCCCTGGGCGATCTGAGGCAAAGACCATTCCGGGCCGACAGCCAGCGTGAAGGTGTCAGGGGGGCTGCACTTGGCCGTTGTGGGGATAGCAGAAAGGCTAGGGTGACTGGAATGAAGGTCACCAGGGCATCACCAGGAGCTGGGTCCCCAGGGTCCTGCAGCCAGGGGAGAGTGATAGTCACACCGTGGAAGTCACTGGAGAGCTTTCTGCAGAGAAGTGACATGAGTAGACGGTGTTTCCTCAGAGGGCGCCACGGGCTGCTGCACGAGGAGAGCGGAGGTTGGAGGTTGGTGCGTCGGCTCCAGCAGCACAGGGCAAAAGGGACGGGGCCTGGCCTGGGAGGGGGCAGGGAGGGGGAGGAAGTGACCCATCTGGGGTCAATTCCAAAGGCCGAGGCCACAGGATTTCCTGATGGAGTAAATGCAGAATGGGAGAGGAAGAGGGGAAGAGGAGGAATCAAGGATGCTGGCTGAGCGACCGGTTCTTTCCAGGGAGAAGCGGGCCAGAGGCCAGACTGCTAGCACCCCAGAGCTGTGGCCTCAAGGGGGAAGCCAGGACTTGAAGCCACATATGGGAGTCGTTAAGACCTCACAAGATGACCCAAGAGGCAGGTGGGGTAGGTCCAGGTACGTCAATACGCAGAGGCCGGTCACAGGTCAGGTCAGGTCAGGACCAAGGGCCAACATTGGCGATCCTTCCTATGTAGCCCCAACTTCCATCCTTCTAGACTCACTCATCCTTTGGTGGGTGCCACTTTGTGGAAGGGTACATGCTTCGTTCTGTGCAAGCTCCCTAGTGCTCTCTTGCTCACCAACCACATCCTTCAAAGCTCCCGGGCCTCCTACTGTGGGATGGATTAGGTGCTTCCGTCTTCCCTGACTTACCTAAGCTCTACCGCCACCCCCAGCTGCCGTCACTGGGGTCCCCTCCGCACACTGAGTGCAGAGGACAGTGCTGCTCCACTCGGGGGTGGAGAGACCAGAGTCGGCGAGCTCTGCTCGGAAGCAACAGCAGAGGAAACTCCACAGGCACTCACGTGTTGAGGAGGCGGGTGGTCATGCCATGTACCAGCTGCACAATGTCCCCATGCCGCACGGGTCTTGGAGGGCTGTTCACCACCAGCTGATGCCTGGAAGACACAGCGCGGGCTGGACGGTGCCCTTGCGAGACAACCACACTCACGGGGCAGCAGGGCTCTGGGCCTCACAGCAGGGGAACCTGGAACAGTGCAGCTGCCCATCAATTTGCACTGAGATGAGGTGAACTCGTATAGGAACAGAACACATACATTTCGTTTAACTCTTTCCTGAAACCCAAGGTCACCGTCCAAACTTCCAAACACGGTTCCGTTTGCCACGATCACCTTTCGGTGCCCTCCATTTGCCTATGAACGCCACGGCGATAAAGGCTCCCACCCAGAACTCCTCCTAACAGACAGGCCTTCTCGCCCACTATCTGCTCCCTGGAAGTGTGCAAGGCCTTCCCAACATTGGGCGCTGCTGCGCCTGGGCCCCTGCCCTCACGTTACTCAGTTTAAGGAGAGAATGAACACGCCAGCACACAGATCCAGTCAGCAGAAGACAGACCATGGATACGAGGGAGACGGCAGGACAGGGACAGAGAGGGGCAGGGAGCCTTGGAGGGCGGCCAAGGCAGCCTCCCAGAGAGCTGACCTTCGAGTCTTAAGCAAGAAGGAGCGGCAGGCAGGGTGGTTCCAGGCTGAGGGGACAGCACATGCACAGCCGACGGCAGGAGTCTGCCTGGCTCTAGAAATCAGAGGCGGGGCAGAGCCGAGCAGGAGCGGGCAGGAAGGAGGAGGAGGCTGGGCCGACTGCACAGGCCCTGCTGGCCACCACGAGGGGCCAACAGCAGCTCAGGAGGGCTTTGAGGAGGAGGGTGACCCATGTTTCAAAAGACCACAGGGCGGGGGGTTGCTGCTGAAGCCAAGGGGGGACGGCATGGGAGCAGACTGTCGGGGGAGGCAGGAGGGGGGCAGATGGACACCAGGACGGTTCGAGATTTTGTCGGGAGGCAGAATCACTAGGACTGGCTGACGGACAGAGGCGGGGAGTGAGAGCAACGGGGACCTCCATCTGTGAGGCCTGAGCAAGAAGACACCTCTGAGAGAGACTCTTGTTTCATACGGAGGGGAGAGGCAGTGAAGGCGGAGGAGGAAGGGAGCTGGGACCTGTGTGTACAACCCCAGGAGGAGAGGCGGGGCAGGCAGTTCACTGAGGACCGGCCCAACCCAAGACAGCAGGGCCAAACGGAGACAGGAGGGCCTAACTGGGGATGGCAGGGCCAAACCGAGATGGCAGGGCCTAACCCAAGATGGCAGGGCCTAACCCGGGATGGCAGGGCCTAACCCGGGATGGCAGGGCCTAATCAGGGAAGGCCTAACCCGGGACGGCAGAGCCTAACCCGGCATGGCAGCGCCAAACAGAGACAGCAGGGCCTAACCGACACGGCAGGGCCTAACCCAGGATGGCAGGGCCAAACGGAGACAGCAGGGCCTAACCCAGGATGGCAGAGCCAAACGGAGACAGCAGGGCCTAACCCGGGATGGCAGGGCCAAACCTGAGATGGCAGAGCCAAACGGAGACGGCAAGGCCTAACTGAGATGGCAGGGCCAAACGGAGATGGCAGGGCCTAACCGAGACGGCAGGGCCAAACCTGAGACGGCAGAGCCAAATGGAGACGGCAGGGCCTAACCTGGAACGGCCTAACCGAGACGGCAGGGCCTAACCCGGGATGGCAGGGCCTAACCCGGGAGGGCAGGCCAGCAGCCCAGAGCTGGTCTCAAAGCCGGCGGGGAGGGAGGGGAACGGGGAGGAGAGCTGGGACTGAGCACCGGGGCCTCCTCCGGCAAGCCGTGCGAGTCCAGGACCTGTCCTCACCTCCCAGGATCCTTCACGATCCACCAGTTATTGACATCCTTGAAGGGGTAACAGGTCACCTGCTGCTGGTGGGAGCTTCCACGGCCATTCTCGTATCTGCGTGGAGGAGCCAAAAAGAGATGCATCTGCGAGTGGCCGGCGAACAGCCAGTGGCCTTTCTCCTAAGCTTCCTATAAATACTACCTAGCAAGGTGTTCAGGGGAAAATAGGATAAAACGGGCGAGTTGAAATCTCAGCGGGGCCGGAAGGCATGAAGCTGAGCAGAACTCCATCGGGAGCGAGCGCCCGTGCGCGGGGGTCGCACAGCCGACACGGGGAGCGCCGGGGCCCTGTGCTCAGCAGGTCCTGCTCACCGTCTTACACACAGAAATAACAAGACTCCTCGATAGTCAGGATCTGAGAGTGCAATTTGTTTTTGCCTCTTAGACTTCTTCATTTAAAGTGAAAGCTGCTAATGGCAAAAATGTGAAAAAACAAAACATTTTAGCATCTTGGAATTCAAACGGTCACTTTCCTTACATCATGGGGTAGGTGTTCTGATGGGAATGAAGCCAGCAAGGCACTGGTTTGCCAAAGACGTTCCTCAGGGTGACCTGGGACCCATAAGCCACCTCCAGGGGCTGGCCTTGTGTGATCCGAGCCAGCCCTCCCTGAGACAAAGCGAAAAGGTGCCGCGTGAGTGAGACCAGTCCACATCCGCCGACGGCCGCTCCTCCATGTGGGCGCGGTTGGGGCGCTGGAATTAGACTGCGTCGTACAGCCAGGAACAGGCGTGTGGTACCACATTACAGAATCCCGACCGGAGCTTCCGGGGACTGACTGCCTCGGGGGCAGGCACCCGGGGATCCCTCCACACCCCTCACAGCCCCCACAGGCCTCCTGCGGTGACAGCAATTATGGCTGTTCAAGAGATGAGAACCCTGACTTGGCTAAGTTAGGGAATTTGCCCAAACACACAGAACTGGCCGTCAACAGAGCCAGCATGGAAGAGCAGGTCTGTCTGAGTTCAGAGTCAACGCTCCTACCACCTCAACTGGGACATTTTACTATTTTTGCAAAATCAGTATGAACGAATGCCAGAGTCGAGCTCATCCTATGAAGCTTCTGCAACCGCCCAGAATGTGCAGGACTTCACACCTTTCTCCAGCAGTGAAGGGAGCAAAGCCCTGCATTTATTTCCATACCACCAGGATATTCAGCGTTAGTTTAAAACACCGAAGTGGATGGAGTCCTCATCTCTCGATTGGGTTTTTCCTCCAATGCTCACGTGATGGTGTTTATATAAGAAAACTTTGAGTCGAGCATCATCCTCTTTCTAGGGCCTCCGCGGCATCCTTTCCTACCTCCAAGCTGGCTTGGAAAGCACTGGACATGATCTGGTCGTGGGGCCCAGAGCGGCAGAGCAGAACCAAGTGGACATAGAAGAAGAGCAAGTACATGATGACCGGGATGACCAGCAGAGCCACTGCTCGGGCAAGCAGGTGACAGAGCACACAGACCTGCAGAAGATGGAGGGAAAGTCACTTCCTGCTGTATGGAAAGGCGTGCCACCTCAGACATCGCAGGCTCCGCGAGAGCGAGCAGCGGAAACTCTGACCTCCCATGCGGACAGGGACGCGGAGGCTCGCCCAGGCCCGTCTTCTTCTGGAACCTTTTCCCCAAACGCCCCTGTGACACCCACCTACGCACCCCACGTGGGCCAGCCTCACCCCGCACTCGACACCCGCACCTACATTTGACAAAGTCCGGTCTCCTATCAGGTGCCAGGCATGGACGGCAGCAACTCCCAGCACGAGCAAGTACGTGAAAACACCCATGTATTTGATGCTGAAAAGACACGACGGACACAGAGTTAAAATTAAAATGAGACAGGGCACGAGGAGGACGCGGACACCGCCTCAGACCCATGGACCACTCACCCCACGGCACAGGAGCACGCCACTCCCGTCAGCGTCAGCCAGAACCACCAGCTCAGAGAGAAGGGCCTACGGCGAAGCAGGAAAGCAAAGCTGGGAAGAGCTCACCAACTGCTTCCCGAAGGCCGACAAGGCCACGTTTCAGAGCTCTCTTGGGGTCGGCTGGTTGTACCAGGCTTCAGGTATAAGAAAAATGAATCCTTATCTCCCAAAACATTAGTCCTGGTAGAATTTTTCTTTTTGATCACAACAATTTCCCAGTTAGTTTAAGTTACAGAAAAATGAGGACGTATTTATGAAGTCACAAGCCAAGGGCCGCTCTAGGCGACTGAAAGACAATCAGCGAGCAGCTCCCCAAAGTGAACGGTATCAGATGTTCTCAGGTCAACAAACCACGGAGACCCTCCCCACTGATCGGGAGGAACGCGCCCCATCCTCCATACCTGTGCTTCTGGGAGTTGCAGAGCTTAAGGTAGGACAGCATGGCCAGCAGGTTAAAGAATATCAGCACCGATTCCAGGAGCATCAGCCTCGCCTGAGTGATCAGAGCATTCTCTGTCAGAAGGACAAGCCACAGGTCAGTGGTAAGGCAGCAAGGGCAAATCTATAAAGATAAAAACTTTCACAGAAACGGACAGATCCCGAAAGTCACATAATGTGAAGGAGGGAAGTTCAGAATGGGGTGGCTAGAAGGGGGACATGCTCCAGAACCGCGAAAGCAAGTTCTTCAGTGTCTAGCCCGCCTACCAAGACCTGTGTGACCTCAGGCAAGTCACTGGACTTTGCTGAGTCTTCGTTTTTCTCACCTGCAGTAACACCGACTTTGCAGGGCCACCGTGAATGTTGTAGCATCATATCCACACAGGGCCTCAATTACAGTCATCACTTAATAAACACCAATTCTTTTCATTTTCTAGTCTAACTTTTCATCAGATTTGATTTCACTTGTTCATAAATCTCGGCTGAAAGATCCTTTCTGAGGAATACCCACTAACCCCTGAGTGCATCTCAGGTGGTCGAGGCCTGGGATGTGGCAGAACGAGGTTATCATTTGGTGACAGACTTGGTTGGAGGTGAGGGTGCTCGTGGCGGATCCAGGAGCACTGTCTGGGCTGCCCCCTCTATATGGCCACACCCCCAGAATGTTAAAGTCTGACCACACAGCTCCATAGGCCCACAGCCTGGAGCAGGAAGACTCCCAGAGTCAACTCTCGTGGAACTGGACGTGCTTCCTTCCTTCCTTCCTGTGAACACAAAACGCTGCAGGGGCACATCTGCTAAACCCACCCACTCCCCTGGGCCGCGGGCTGAAACGTAGCGAACATCGGGGTTCAGTTCCTCCCTGCGCCGCGACAAAGCAGGCAGAGGCCCAGGTCTTACCGATGAGCACCAGCAGCGCAGCTCCCATGGCGGCACAATGAGAAAAGCGGAGCTCCCACACTATCTGGTAGGCCATGGGCACCGACAGGGCCCCCGCAAGGGCCGGCAGCAGGCGCAAGGACCACACGGGCACGTTGCTGCTGTATTCTGGAAAAGCAACCACAGCGGAGCAGGGGGCACCATGCACATCCCACCTTCATATACTGCAGGTGTGTTTTCCAACGGAGTATCTCGTTCATAGACTCTCAAACCCAAGTTTACAAGACTGGGGACCACGAGAGAAACTGAGTGCAGGCGAAATTAGCTTTACGTAGTCATCAAGCACAGGCATGAGAACTAAGGATTCTGAAATTAGTTAATGCTTTACTTATACATTTACCCCACCTATTTCCAGGAACGTGTGGCAACATGCAAAATTTATGCATACAAAAGATAAGTGCAATCAGATACCATGTAAAGAGTGTGCTACATGTACCAAAAACCAGGGTTAAAATAACCACTGTCAACACTAAGATACTGACCAGACTTATGGGAAGTCTCTCACTTGTAAGACAACTTATCATACGCTGGACTTAGGTTAATAAACCGTTGTCAAGCCCCATGAAAGCCACTACCTCCCCATCATAATAGACGCAAACGAGGGAAATGAAAATGATCTTTTTACCTGCTCCAATTCTGTTCCACAAAAAGTTACCATCGAATCCTCCCAAATAACCTAAAACAGAAGATCCATGACTGTCCCATTCAGCAAATATTTCTGGAGTGCCAAACTGTGGCAGGCTACGGGGAAACCATGATCAATGAATCAAGAAGACATGGCTTTGGCCCTCAAGAAATTTCACTTACAAGTTTTAAAGGGCTACGTCTGTTACTGACGAATCCTACCTCCCAAGGCCAGCAGCATGTGGCCGAGCGGCGGACCACTGCCATCCAAAAAGAAGAGCCGCTTCATGTAGAAAGAGACGTACTGGCCGTAATATACCTCATCGAAACTGAAAAGCAAACCCACATTGTAACTCAACTAGAAATTTAACTGGAGACAAAAGGGGCAGGGAGAAACGCACACCTGCGTTTCCTAACGACTTTCGGGAGCGATGCCCCAACCGCGTGGCATCCCCAAATATTAAGACACGTGCCCAGCGTCCTCCACCCATAAGGATGAGGAGAAATTCGCCAAGCACAGCCGGGCACGCAGGAGGCTTCTCCGACACAGACTCTGTTTCTCCCCCTAGTTTCTGATGTCGGGTGCACTGTCACCCAGCCTCCTGAAAGGCCTCACAGACGCAAGCCCAGTCCCCCGGCCCCCAGCGCAACTGGGGCTGGGTCAGAGTCAGACCTGGTGACCCAACGAGGCAGCTGCAGGTGGAGAGGGGAGACACGCAGGAACCAGGCCCAGCAAAACATGTGCAGACAATCAGGGACATTTGCTGACACAAAGGAATCGCTGTCAACTTCCCAGGCCTGAGAATGCTACTGTGGTTACGTGGCTTTTAAAAATCCTGATCTTTCAGAGATATATACTGAACTATTTCTGAATGAAATGTAATGTCTAAGATTTCACTGAAAAAAACCCACTGCAGGGAGGATGCTGGCTAAGAGTTGCTACCTGTTGAAGGTGGGTGCTGAATACTTCAATGGAGGATCACTACGCTATTCTCCCTACTCTACTATGTTTGATGTTTTCCATAATAAGAAGTTAAACGGAGAAGGACACATGTATTAATCAGATAAAAAACAGCCCTTTAATAATAACAGCAATCATTTCCCATTATGACAGAGTACAGTCTAAGGTCAATGAGAACTCACTTTCAAATTCCTCAACCTTCCACTCTCCACTCTCAGACTGTAAATGGTCACGTAAGGCTACTGCACCTGCTACAGACCGTTGGGGCAAGACCAAACAGGTGGGCTCTGCAGGGGCTGGCCTGGGACAAGCTGGTCTGTCCTCTAACTGCCCACAACACCCATCACCAAGAAGCCTAGAATTTTACTCTCCCATTTACACTGTTTAAAAAGGGAATTCCTGTCACCGGTGCACTGAACAAATTACACTTCTTTCCGATTCACCATGAATGGAGTTGCCTGCCTTACACCACAGCCCTTGGATAGGAGAGTCGCCACAGCCGGCTCAGTAACCCCAGGGCAGTCAGAGCCACGACGTTCAAGTTGATGTCAGCCGTCACCACTACAGGGCGCTGCAAAAACCCCAACATCTTGTACAAAAGCAGGCTGGGAAGATGCCCTGGAAAAGAGAAGAACTGTCATCAGTAAATGGGGGGCAACCCTGAAGTCTCACCAGAGGCTGAGAAAAGGACCCCAGATGCATCAGGGAGAACCACGTTGTGGGGTCGCCAAGAAAGTCAGGAGGGCATCAGCAGTCAGCCAAGGTGGGAATTCAGGAATCTCAGGACTGAACAGGCACTCATTCAATAACTCATTCCATGAACACCTGCTCAGCACTTCCCGGGAGGGAGGCCGCCTTAATGAAATGGCCTCCCCTGCCCGCCCCACCTGGGCAGTGTGGCAGGCTTACAGCCCAGTGACCTCGACCTTCAGAGCCTCAGAGCCTCCTCATCCACCTCACGTGCCTTCTCCCATCCCTCCTTGTGGCAGCACCATCCCCTGGGCGTCCCCTTTCTCACCCTGAGGGTGCACCTGCACCGAGGCGCCCCCGTTTCCTCCCCGGGGCTTCATTTCCCTTAAGCTCCACTTGTCTTAAGGCTGCATCTACCTTGGGCGCCCCTGTTCTCGCACCAAAGCCCCGTCTGGCCTTTGGCAATCCCCTTCTATCCTTAAGGCCCGTCTATCCTTGATGCCCCCCTTCCCTCCCTGAAGCCGCATCTGCCTGAGCACCCAACTCCTCTCCAGAGACCTCCTCTACCCTGGGAAGCCCCCACTCCTCTTCCCGGGCACTTCCTTTCTCTCCCGCAGGCTGCAACTGTCCGGCCACTGTCTTTCCCGAAGTTTTCATCTGCCCCGGGGTGCCCTCCCTCTTTCCCCAGGCGCACCAGCCCCGGAGACCCATTTTCAAGTGGAGACTGCGTCTAACTGCAGGCCCTTTCCTTCCAGGCTGCACCCGCCATGGGCGCCGCCCCCGGTTCGGGCAGGACCCCGACGCCCCCGGCGCCAGCACGTCCGCAGGCCGCGCGCGCGTCCTGCACCGACTCTCCCAGGTCCCGACTGGGCTCTTTGTCCCCGGCGCCCCAAACGTACTCGCGTTTCTTCGAATCCCCGTAGAGCCGCCCCCTGCACCAAGCCAGGCGTCGGATCCGCCGCGGGCGCCGACCGTTGGGATCTCTGGCCGCGCGCGGGGGCGAGGCCGCTCGGCGATCTGCGCCGCCCTCCGCCCTGCTCGACGCTCGATTCACCGCGCCTGCGGGGCCGAGGGGGAGCGGCGCGCGTGCGCACTGGCTCGCGGCCCGCCTCTCCCTGCTGTTAGCGGCTCCGGGGCTCCGGGATTCCTGCGCGCGCTGCACGCGCGGCGCCTTTACAGCACGGCGGGCGCTCGCCCGCGGTCCGCTCAGTGGGCGCCGGCCCAGTGTGTCCGGCGACCAGACCGCGTCCGCGTTTCTGTCCCGAGCGCGGGGGTTTCTGTGTCGGAGCCCGCTTTGGGCGGGACACGGTACCCTGCGTTAAGGGGACCACTCCCTCCCGTGTTCTCACTGGACCGGCGGGGCACAACCCTTCTCCCCAGCCCCACCCCTTCTTGATCCCCTGGTCTGTGTTAATACTCACGCACAAATAGTGTACTACTGATTTAATGACTGCAATTAGGGCTCTAAAGTGTTTGCAAGGACTTTCTCCCACGTGTTGGTCAACCCAGAATTAGATGACAGCGGTTAGAATGTAGTGAAGGATACTTCTGACTTGGCCTTGAGCCACCCACGGTTGTAGAGACGGAGGGAGCCGGTGTTCACCCCGCCTGTGGCAGAGACGGCTCCCTGGGCCCCTGGAGGAGTTGGGCCCGACTCTCCTGCTTTGGTCTTTCGTGCAAGCAGGGGCCGCCTGCAGGGTTCAGAGCCCCCATCTTGTGGGGCGCTCAGCCTCCTTCCCGGCACTTCTGTGAACCTCCTGTCCCTAGGGCAGTGAACCCAGGGGAGGGTGTGGCCTGTCGAGCTGACAGCATGGGCCCGGTCCCATTCTCCCACAGTCAAGAGGCTCAGAAGGACAGGGCGGGCCGGCTTCCTCATGGAAACACTTAAACTTACTTGGGGATAACTTCTAAGTGGTGTCCAGCGCTATGCTAAGCGCTGCCCCTTTGAATCCTCACTACCGCATGAGGTAGGTACTGTTACAATCCACGTTTTAAGGAAACTGTGCCTGGGAGGAGTGAAGTCTTTCCCAGGGTCACACAGCCAGGAGGCGGCACAACTGAGAACTGCCGCCTGAACCCAAACGCAAACCCTTGACCCTTCAATGCCCCACGCCTGGCTTGCTCCTCTTTCCCACCTGCAAATGCAGCATAATCCTCTCCTACTTCCAGCAGAAGGGACACCAGAAGTGGCAACAAAACACGACAAATCAATCACATCTCCTCGGATGCACCTACTTCTCAGGTGAAGTGGGGGGCGGGAGTGGAGGGCACACAGATGTCGCACACCCTCAGTACATCCACTGGTGACGAGAGGGTGGGGACTGCTATGCCAACAACCCACTTGGAAGACGCACCTTAACCACAGGTTTCAATCTCCTCTCCCCCATGTTGCTTTAAGGCATTTCAGCCAAGTCACCCCTAATCTCCAGGGAAACTGACCCTCAAGAGTCAAAGGCTTCCATCTGTCAGTCTGTCCAGTGAAACGACAGAGAATCGACGGACACGGCCTGAGAAAGCAAGTTCAGCTTTAGTTTTTTTTTTTACTTTTTTTTTTTTATTTAAATAAGGAGAATTCTTTCATATGGAAAGAGCTAGTACAATCACATATTTGAAAGGAGAAACAATAGGTACTGAACCGGAGGGAAAGGGCGAAGGGTGAGTGTGCCGCCACGGCCCGGTGAATCCATGATTCCATTTCCCATCCAAGGTAAAAGCATCCCCAAAATAACGTATGAACAAGCTGCACGTTACACCTTTAGCCATCGTCTGCCCTTTCAAATATCTGGTCTACGTGGAGACGAAGAGAGGAAAGGCCAAAATAAAAACAAAAGGAAACAACAAAACACAATCCTCTCAAGAAAACCCCAAACCCCTTTTACTATGCAAGGCATGAGGTCCAAAGCTTAGAGTACAGTAACCCCTTTAAACAATGTAAGAAAGTCATCCACAGAGCCTTAATAGAAATTCCCACTCCAAGGCTTCGTAACATGCTGAAGACAGGGCCCTGGGGACGTGCTACCATCTTGGAGGCCACCCAATCGGGGTGGAGAACTGGTGAGCAGCAGGTCAGATGCGCCTGGAAGATCACTAGCCGGGTATGCGCTGGTGGTTCCGGGGAGAGCACGGCGGGGGACAGAGTCTGACCCCAACACTGAGCTGCTCCTGTCCCGGGGGTCTGTTTGTCTTAGAACCATCTCACATTTTCAAACAGGAAGAGCTGGCTTTCTGGAGGTCCGCATTTCCCATTCATCACAGAACACAACAAAGCACAAACACTAGTGTCCTTGGTTGTTGAAGGCCGTTTCCAACAGACCTTCTAACCCAGGCTTGCTCTGCAAGAAGTGAAAAGGGACAAATATAGATTGGAGAGAGAACATGCAGCTACTCAGCAGAGGGGAACCAGACAGCAGGGAGGGGCTCTACCAGTCTGCCACACACTGCCTGTCTCAGTGGGCCAGTTCTGAACATGGCCATGGGCACACCCTCAGCCTAAGGCTCTGAGCATCAGTCACAAACCTCATCAACCATCCAGAAGGCAGATCCAGAAGACAGGAGGGCAAGGGCATGGCTGGAGAGAACTGATGCCAGTATTTAATGACAAGACACCCCAGTATCTCTAGAAGTGGCTGGAATGACCACGGCTTTGGAACCAGACGAACCAATTTTTCTGTACGTTTAAGAGTCATCCTTTGTTTTCTCCCTTAAGGAAGCTAGAGCCAGAAGTGTCGGAATTCCAAGTTTGAAAACAATAATAATGTGGATAAAAAAGGGGAAGCAACAGTAAAGAAAACCAGACCAAATACAGCTGGCAGAGAAGTCTTCAGTGGGTGGACGATGCCTCTCGGATACACAAGCCCACACTCTGGGATTTCACCCCCAAGTAGTTGACACTGGAGGGACACTATTGCAGGGTCACTGGTTGCCAAGCAATGGGCTGCACCATCAATGGCCAGGGCAAAGCTGCCAACTTTAGAAGGGAGGGTGATTTTAGCAAGCAAAGGTGCAGTGAGAGGGGGCTCTGACACCCCTCGCCCCCATCTCAGCAGCAGAAAGGTTAAGTGCTGGTCTTCACCTGTTTGTGCCAAAGGCCCCACGGACCCTGGCAGAGGTCTCTGCATGGATTTGCACTCTGATGGGGTTTGAAACCAAAACAAAACCCTTAGTCCTATTACCTTGAGCTTGGCTCTAAAACCACATGAAAGGAAGAGAGATATTGCACCTTAAAACATCTCTGCACTAAAAACTGTATTTAATCAGACCAAGGAAGGGATTGGGTGCTGGCCAGGCCCGAGACCTGCCCTCTGCCCCCACAGTCCAATTTAACATCTGTATCTTAGCGGGAAAGAGACCGCAGCACGGGCACATGGAGGTGGTGAACGCACTGAACTTCACATGCAATTTCCTGGCCTTTCCTGCACAGAACAATTCAGACATTATATATAAATAGAGCAGTGAAACATTTACTTGTTTCCACCTAGACCTACAACATCAATACATATAAATAAATTCTAGTGTTTTCTGTTTTTATTGGGGAGGGGGGATACAGAGATAGAGAAAGGGGCTGGAGAACAGGTGACCCTTTTGTGTTTATTTTTCTCAAACAGGAAGTACTGTCACTCTGACGGCAGGTTCACCTGAAGGGTACATCTTGAGTTTGTAACAGCATCCAGGACTGTTCTGTTCAATTTCCAAGTGAGAAAATCTTTTTTCCTTTTGACAGACAACGTGCACTGGACCTAGGTGAGGGGTCTGGCCGTGGTCCTAAGCGTGCAGGCAGCGGGCCGTGTGTGGCCCAGCGGGGGCAGCAGGGCAATGGAGGCAGGCGGAGGGAGTGGAGCTGCAGTCAGACGCTGCCGGGGAAGAGGGGAAGAGCAGGTGAGCACATGGCAGGCGAGCGGGCAGCTCCTTGAGAAGAGCCTTCAGAGTAAAGATTCAGGGGATGAAAAAGAAAAAAACGTCAAGCTGGTAAGAAATGGGGTCTGCGGGTGGAGGCCAGAGGGGGATGCTGAGAGCTACAGACTGAGCAGGAAAGCATCTTTCAAGAGCACGGCCCTCTCCAGACGACACCTGGCACCCTGCTAGGAGGCTGTTTCCCCACTTCCTCAAAGCAGTCAGAGCAACAAGGAGTTACCCCAGCGGTTCCCGAGGCGCCTCTTTCCCCATGTTCCACACTACACAGAGCTTAGAACCACAGCCTGAGCGACTGTCACACACCCACGGTGACACCGAGGGTGGACTCTGCAGGGCACATCCCTGCCTGCTACTGCTCGTCCTCTGAGCCAGGCCTTCCCTGGGACCACCAGCGGTGGCAGACAGCAGCTCCTTTAAGTAGATGGCCGGTTAGTTACTCTGAAGAGCATGTGCAAAACTTGAAATTTCCCCTCCCCTTTCCGTGGAATGACAGAATCTGGGATGATTTCCTTCTAGTTCTTATTTGAAAAACAACAGAAAAACCAGCATAAAATGGCTCACACAAACGCTTTGCTAGAGGCGGCTGTGCAGACTAGAGAGGCTGTCATTTTTCGGAGGCTGCCCAGGCTTCTGGGAACCACGGTCAACCCTGCAATCCATCCTCCCCTTGGACCCTGCCCCAAGCATCTGGAAAGACTGATAACCACTGTGCAGCTCAGGGCCCTCTGTCCCAACAGCTGGGCCTCTGCTGGGAGTGAAGGAGAAAAAGAAAGCCCTCCTAGCAGCCCCACGGACAACACGCCTCTGCTGAAGACCCACCAAACAACAGTCTGTGCACTCCAGTCACCACGTGGAAAAACCTCGTGGTTTCTAGTGACCAGCTGCGTGAGAGTCGGAGGGACAGGAGGATCCAGAGGATTAAGAGGCAGGCACAGGAAGGAGGAGGAGGGTGTATTTTGGAAGGCTTCCAGGAATGGGAGTATGTGTAAAACAGCAGCCCCTAGAGGGGCTGGAGCCCCAAAGCAGGGACACAGATGGGGTTATGGTGCGGTCAGCTGGCCCCGTCCAGGCCAAACTAGAAAACACCAGTGACTTTAAATCTCCATGATTCATCTTGGGTGCCCAGCAGTCAGCGTATCCACTGGCTTTAGAAGAGTCCAGGACAGAAATTCTGTGTAATTCTTATGCTAAAAAATGTCATCATCTTCACTGGGCTGCCCATAAGCTCCCTGTGCTCATCAGCCCAGGGCGTGGAACCCAACTGAGGCGCCTGCTCCTTCGCCTCCCACAGCAGGTAGCTGGCCATCAGAGTGCTCACGAGGGGGATGTTAGCACCCTCCACTTGTTTTTGCAAGAACTCTCAAAGGTTAACCAACTGAGAGCAGGAGGAGACGCATTCTTGAGTCAGCTCTTAAGGTATCGCAGTGATGTATAAAACTAAACAGGAGAGAGATGAAAGGAAATTACCAGAAACAGAAGTGGGGGTCAGGGAGAGGATGGAGAACAAAGTAGAAAAGTTTAGCTGTACAGACGTAGCTTGTGTTTTTGTTTTCCTTTCCTTTCTCCTTTGACAAAACCTTAGCTGCTTTTTAAAATAAAAAGCCTCAAATTAAAATGACCCTGCTGCCAAATCACTGTGCCTGGGGCCCAGAGGGCCGGGAGGGCAGGAAGCACTGCTGAGAAGGTGCCCGGCGGTGCGGAGCGGAGCGGGCCAGGAGAGGCAGGAGGGTGGGGAAGCTGCACTGCACGAGGCTCCAGTCACTCCAGGGCAGGTGGAAAGGAGGTGGGAATGGAGTCGTTTGCTCATCTGTTTGTTTGTTTCGTACTAAAGCAAGCAGGTCAATGCCGTAAATCCACGGTGCAAGCTGGCTGGACAATGGAGCTTTCAGGAGTGGAGAAGAGAAGGGAGATCTGAGTCCGGCCGGGTGGTTGGACGGGGGCCTGGGGACACTCCTGGGCATCAGGCTGCACAGAGGCCGAGCGGTGGCACTGTCCTCACGCCGGGCGAGGTGTGGCCGAGCACCTTCAGGCCTTGCTCTCCTCCACTTTCACTGCCCGAGGCTTGATCGCTCCGGTCCGCTTCATCTGGGAGGTGGCCGCAGGAGCCTCCTGCAGTTTCACGGCTCCCAGGCTGGGTTTTTCATCCACTCGTTGCTTTGCCTTTGGACAGATGAATGGGGACAAAGAAAGTTACCCTGAGTCAGGAACACCTGTCCAGATACATAGTTCCCACCACCCGCTTCCTGCTCCTGAGTCACAGAGAAAAGCTACGCTAAGAAGGCCATCCTTTGGTTGAAGGACCTTAGAAGTAACTCTCCTAGGAAGGACACTGGCATGAGGCTGCTCTGCTCCCTCCCACGGGCACTGAGTGCAGTGATTCGGAGAGGCAGGGAGGCACTGGGTACTCCCTCCGGGAAGGCTTCTGCGATGCCCAGGGGCCTCTGCAGGAGCAGCACATCCAAGGCCGATGGGAAGAACCTTTTCAAATCAGTGCACCCCACGCCCCAAGGTGAAAATGCCCCGAGCAGATCCCAGCGCAGCCTATGAGCTCAGAACCCCCGACTGTCTGCACAAGGGGCGTGGGGCCACGCGGCGGACTGCTTCTCCCAGACCCTTCCATTTCCCGACCCCCACTCTGTGGAAACCTTCCCCCAGGACCCTTGTTTGAGATCCCCAGTCAGGGTCCCATCAGTCTGCAACTCTGCACAGCGGAGCGTGTCACAGAGTGACCAGCCTCGATCCTGCCTCACACAGTGGGGTGAACTCTGGAAGAAAGCCCTAGAAGCTCAGTCCAAGCAATCCAAGGAGTGACCCTCTGGGGAGCCCAGTGAGGAGGAGTGAAACGAGCCATCAACCTTCCGCCTTCACCGGCCAGGAATCCTGTTCTACTAAAACCCTCGCCTGCCGTGTCTGAGCTCTGCAGCCCCATCGAGTTCTGGAGCACTGTGGAGAGAGCAGCGCCTGCAGGCAAAGGCACTGAGACATCCCTGGCATCATACGATGGGGAACTGCCACTGCATCTGTGACCCCACCCGGCCGAGGACCAAGAGACACAGCACTCACTGGAGTGACACCGCGCACACACACGCGCACACACGCCCCGGCTTCCAGAGCTGACCCACAGACCTAACCACGTCCAGCGCCTTCACAGCCCAAATCACTAGCAGGGATAGTCCACCTTCTGGCGTCACCTCCTCAGAGGAATCCGCATCCTCCCTTCTCTGCAGGACAAGGAAGGATCCAGACGCCCGTCAAGAGGAGAAATGCCTTCGCCAGGAGGGACTCGGGCTGCCCGGCTCCCGGCGCCATGCTCTAAGCGCTAGGGCACGTCTCTGTCTGAGAGCTGTGCTCAAATGGGCTGGACCGTCCCCTCTCTTTTGGCGCCTGGAGACGGGCCTAAGCGTCCGGGGCTGGAGGGCTGGAAAGCCATCTTCTACCTGGTGAGCGTAGTGTCCCTGCACAGAGCCCATGTTAACTGCTGATCCAGAGGGCTTCCCACTGGGGCTAGCAGAGCTAGGCCTGAAAAAACCAAAGGCAGGGGGTGAGAACACACGCGTCACCACAGAAACGGAGTCAAGCCTAGCACGCGGCGCAGACCTCTCCGCAGCGGAGACAAGGACCGCAGCACCGGAGTGCAGAGGGCCACGGCGGTCAGCACGGCCTGCCCTGGCGCCGCCAACACAGCTCACGGAGGCACACCCGAAGGGACAGAGGCCGAGGCTCCCACTGTGGGCAGACACCGACCGGATGGACGGAGGACACTAACCATCTCTCAGGGTTTGGAGGGTCTGGAGCAACGTGATTCTATGACCCAGAAAAAGGTCTATAAACCTGACATGAGAATTATGCCGAATATTTTTCTGGTCTTCATTTGGGGGGGAGGGGGTGGTAGAGAGAGATACCAGGAGGGACAAAAATGTAGAACATCTTTCTAAATTTGTTCCATTGACGAGACACTAGTTCTCAGGGGTGTTAATCAGGCGCTATGTGAGAAAAGAGTCTGTGGTCAAGAAACGTGTGGCAAGTGCTGTGTGCCGAGCTGAACAGGACTCTCGACAGGGAGGCCGTGTAGACGCCAGGCTGAGGAGCACGACGACTCCCAACAAGCTGTCTCAGGTACAGCATGCCCCCAAGGATGTGACCAGGGAACCCTTTTTTGGCAGGGCATGCCTCAGAGGTTGTTTCCAGAAAACTTGGGAAACGCTGCTCTGTAAAACTACACTGATTTTCCCAACCCTACTAACACACCAACAAAACAAAGGCTACTAGTTAAGGCTTATACTTCCTAAATATTCTCCAAAGAGTAAAGCTGCTGCCATTCCTACACCAAACGGACACAGACGACTCTTGTTACGGGAGCCTCCCGCTCTGGCCGCAGCTCTGAGGAACGCTGTGGGGCCAGGTGCTGCTGGAGTCTGCCTGTGGCAGCATCCGGCTCTACGTGAAGCTTCCTTCTTTCTTCCAAACTGTACGCATTGTTCTGTACTGCTCTCCTTATATATTTTCCTTCCAGCTCTGTTGTTTTGGCCTATGTGAAAAATAGTCAGACAACAGAACTAACAAACAAAAATAAGTGAAGTCAAGAGACTGAAAACAACAGAAAAGATGATGAAACGGGGAAATGTCACAAAAATCCCTTTCTCTGGAAATGCAGTGGGAAGTAGAGAACGATGTGACAGGAGAGGCCTCGGCCTGGACACCCCCAGACCAGCTGGGCAGAGCGATCGCGGGCAGCGTGAACGACTCGCAGAGACGGTGAGGTGATCTGACTGGAAGAGGGCTCCTCAGCGGGTCAGGCCTTCATGGTGCTCCGCAGCTGCGCTGTCGACCTCACAGGCACTGCAAGTCAGCACGTCTGCTCTACTCATGTGCAGACAGGAGGGCTCGCCAGGAATCTCCCACATGTTAACAAGAGTGGACTGTGCCACCCCTGGGCCCACAGCCAGAGCATGCGCCTTCCTGTCCAGCACATCTTCCTTAGGGGTGAAAAAGTCAGCAGAACCAGAGGTTCTCTCATTTTTTAATATAAGTCACTCCACGAAATAACTCGTACAAAGCCACCTCCGAACCCAACTGAGGGCCCTGGGACAGTTACTGGAAGCAGAGACAGACACAGAGGAAGCAAAGAAGAGGTGGCAGTTCGTAGTATGTAAGGCACGGCCCCACAAGCCCTGGCAGGCTCAGAGGCCCGTCCAGGGAAAAGCTGCCCCTGGGAAAGGAACCTTCTGGGGTGCGTGGCTTCTTGGCCAGTGAATCCTTTTTGAAAGTCCGGTGAGGAAGCTCTGAGTAGTCAGCGTCGGTTCTGACATTATTGACGTTAGCCGTTCCCTTTCCTGCCTTTCCAAAAAGCTCCCCAGTCCAGAGCATCTGATGACGATGGTTAAAAACAAAACCACTCTCCCAATTGCTGCTTTTCCTGTGGTTAACTAAAACACGAGTGTGTCCCAGCACTGAAACTTCACAGTGACACATGGGCTTACAAAGGGGACCAGCCTCAGTGCCCTTCCACTGTCCTCCCTGGGCCCCACGGGTTCCTCTGAAGCGCCGAGTCGCACCTACAGCGAGCGCTCAGCTATGCAGCATCCGACTCCCAGGGCCCTTCTTACCTGTAGGCCTGCGGTGAGGGCACAGAGCCTCCTGGAGGAACATTCTGTTTACTGTCGGCAAAGTGGAAGCCCTTCATCTCCATCTGAGAGGACTAGAGAGACCAAGAGGTAACCAGCTGTCACCTGATGGCCCTGGAGACAGCCTGACCCTCGCGGAACCACCATGGGCAAAGCCAGTAAGAGCCCCTGAGAATTTCTGATAAAGAGGCATCTTCTAAGGCAAGCTGCCCTCCCACCCCGTTTCGTTAGCAGCAGGAGCTGTGACGTGTCTTTGTTCTATTTTGGATGGGATGGGACAGCGGACTGTGCACCACCACAGGGCACTGGCAGTGCTGTGAACATTACCTCCTTACCCCAGAGGCCATCCTCAGCAGAACCCCTGGACCCCAGCCCTAGGCTTATGCTAACAGGATCTCTGGGACCTGATCTGAGACGGCCTCCACAGATGCTTCCCAGGCCGTGCTGGCCCTCGGGCGTCAATCACACACACCTCCCTTTCTGCCCTGCGGTTTCACACACACCCGAGCTTGCACACATTGCTAGCATACCCCCGAACCCTGTTCCTGTCATAGGATCCCAAGAGGACTTTGCAACAAGTAGGAAATCAGTGGCGTGGTGAGGCCAGGAGCTTGTACCCCAGACCTCTGGCATCTTCTGCCATAACAGTGGTTCCTGACTAGCTAGAAAGGGCTGATAAGACAATGACTGTCCCCAGGATCACAGCGGGATGACGTCATCCTTACCTCTCTGCTGGTGTTAAGGACCGAAGGCTGGGACCCAGGTGGAAGAATTCTTCGGGGGGCCCCGACAGAGAGGCTCTGCCCCTGCGGCAGCTGGATAGACTGTGGCAGAATCAGGGGCTGCTGCCCAGAGCCATACCGAGGCAGGGGCAACTGGGAGCCTGGCAGCGGCATCGTCAGCTGCTGGACGACAGGGACAGTCAGGAGGAGGAAGAGACGTTGGGGAGAAAGCCACAAACCACTGGTTATACATGCATCCAAGAGTGACTATATGTTATACTTCAGATTCTTATTTCAAAGGAATGAAAGCAGGGCCTTTGCACAACAGTAAAGATCCTAGGTCTCTATTAGAGTACAGCAGAGATGACCCTAGATTTTACACTCTCGATGGCAGGGGGCAGGTCTGATCACGGGTGTGTAGCAGGTGATGAGACAACGGGCAGGCGCCACACTGCAAGGAGTTCACGGTGTAAGCGTGCGGCTCCTCTCTGAGTTCACAAAGGGTCGTGTCTCCCCGGCCCCTCTTGCTTTCATCCAACAAAGGTTTACTGAAGGCACGCTATATGCTGGGAAGCACCAGGACACTGTCAGACCGGGAAATGGTGATGACAGCGCAGTGACATGATGGACACAGAAACGGTGCCGGAGTGTGGGCAGCAAACCCTGTGCGCAGGGGGTGGGGGGCGCGGGGGAGAAGCGTCAGGGAAGGTCAGGAAGGCTTCTCAGGCACTAACATCTAAGCTGAGAGCTGCACAGGAAGGGCATCTTTGCAGCCCTTTGTGTAGCACAGAATGGGAAAACACCTTCACTGTTTCGTGTCTAAGGTGGGAGAAAACACGACGCAAGTGGGTTCTGGGATTTAGGGAGCCTCCTGGATCCTTCTGAAGCATGTTACGACAGGAGAACGGGGGGACGCCCGCAGGCCTAAGTGACCACTTCTAAAGTCCAGAACAAGACGGGTGACAGGAAGGAGGGGGGCCTGGAGACCCTTGGGACAGCGGAACGGGGTGGGCCACTTTTAGTCTCTCAGTCACTTTCCTCTTCATCTCCCTGCTGTTGAGCCCACAGTGGAGGGTCAGAAGGATCTATCGGAACTGCATCACTGAGACATGCGGCAGCCAGAGCCTCAAGACCCCGTGCTCCCCCCTGCACACAACATGGTGCAGGATGCAGATGAGGACAGTGCTGCCACCCGCGGAGCGCAGGCTCTGGGTATAGTATAAGCTGACTTGTGTTTTAAGGGGCACCCTGCCTGATGCGTTGAGAACAGACGGTCAGGGCCCAAGAGCAGAAGCAGGATCATCAGGCAGGAGCTCCTGCATCACCCAGACAAAGTAGTGGGTGGAGGGGATGAGAAATGGCTGGATTCTGAATACTTTCCAAAGGTAGAGCCAACAGGTTCTGCTGAAGGAGCAGAGAGGGTGTGAGGGGAAGTAGGGCCCCAAGATAGTGTGGCTGGACAACCAGGACTGCGAGGAAGATCACGTTTTGGACATGATGTTTGCACATGCTCAGTGTGAGATCCCACAAGACATAACAATAGTGATGCTGGGCAGCCCACTGGTCTGGAGTTCAGGTCCAGGAGGCAGATCTGGGCTGAAGACATAAATTTGAGAGAAATGGATCAGACTATTTCTAGGCCGAGGACAGAACCCAGGGGGAACATGACATTACTGATGGGGCGGGGGGCGGCAAGGAGGAAAGAGCCGAGGAGACCAAGGAAGAGGGCTTCAGCGGGGCAGAAGGAAAACCGGGAGCAGAGTCCTCACAACCGCGAGAGGAGCATGATTCAAGGGGGAAAGGGTGATCAGCGGTCAGATGCCGCTTATGGGCCAGCAGGAGGAGTGGGAAGAACGAACCATCGGATTTGGCAACATAGAATCTACTGCATCCTTCAAGTTTTGCTTTTTTTAAAAAGAGGAAGGATAGGGGTAGGCAGGCATGTAATCAGAGACTCTCATACCAGGAGGGCAGCACTGTAGCACATTTGTGTGCTGACAGGAAAGGACACTGAGGCAGGAAAGAGGGAGACGTGCTGGAGCCTGGCCCAGAGCAGGTGGGAAGGAGGGGTGCCAGAGCAGAGCGCACAGCTGGCCTACACCGGATGCAGGGCAACAGCCCACACGGGTAAAGAGAAGAGGCGGTGGGAGCTTGCAGAAGTTCTCTGGGGTTTTTTTTTTCACTACTTTTATTTCCTTGGTGACACAGAACCAAGATCAGTGGGGTAGAAAGCAATGCAGAGAAAGCTGCGAGTCTGCACCAGCCACCAAGAGGGCAGGGGACTGGGCCCGAGTGCAGGGAGGCGCCCAGACCCACTTGAGGTGGGCTGTCGGAGCAAGGTCGCATTCAGCCCGAGTCCAGCCTAAACGAGGGTCTGTTTTCTCTGGTCAGACAGCTGGAGCAGAGGCTACACGGGATTTAACCAGGATGAATGGAGGTGAGGGCGGGGTTTGGGGCAAATGTGGAGGGGAGGCTCTGCTGGCTCTGGTAACCAGGCCAAGGAGGGAAGCGAGCCCACAGTCAAGGGAGGGACGATAGAGAGGTGGCTGGAGTTGGGTGAGCAGAGAAAGCAAGTCAGAAAACTCAGAGGTACTGACCGGGTAGGACCCTTCAACTTGAAATGATGGAAGAGGTACAGCTACTGGCAGTGACCGGTCCAGACGGGAGTGTGGGCAGAGCCAAGCCCCGGTGGCGAGGCCACATAACTGGGGGACAAAGCCAATGGGGACGGAGACCCGGGGGTGTCATCTATGTAGACATCGAAACTACCGAGAACCAGAACAGGAGCCATGCTGGAGAGACTGAGCCAGGGCTCAAAGGACTGAGGCGAGTGACCCTCAAGCCGTCCAACACTGCCGACGGGTCAAGGGAGAGGAAGACGCAGAACCAAACACTGGACTCAGAACCGGGTGCACAGGAACACGGAGGCCAGCTCGGTGTGGGCTTCAAAGCTGGGGTCTCAAGGAGAAGGGAGGGAGAGCGGTCTAGAAGCATCAGTGAGTATGCCAAGAGGTCACTCCCTGCTTCCCCTAGCCCCACGGTCTGAGAGCGGGGGGAGAGGCTGCAGAGGCAGCAGTGCTCTGAGGCGACAGCCTGTCCCGGGGTGAAGAGGTGACGTGACTATTCTGAACAGGTGGAAGATCTAGCCCTGGTTCTAGCAGCCCGAGGACCAGTCAGGATTACAAACAGCATGAAGGAAAAGAAGTCTAGTGTCTAGGGGGCAGTGACTGTGTTCCCGACCTGTGGGAGCTGGGAGTCCAACATCTGTGAGGCACCCAGACCGGCAGCCTGGCCGAGCTGGCCCTCGTAGACCAGGGCTTGGTTTCCGCTCAGGGGCTGGTAGGGTGAGCCAGACTGGGGCTTCACCATCTCCAAGGGCTGCATGCCTGGGAATGCCGAGTACGGAGGCTTCAAGGCTGTACCTCCAGAGAGGATCATGGTGCTGGGCGGCGACAGGCTAGGGTGCATGTACACCTGAGATCTGCAAAAGCCAGACAGACAGTCGGCGTCAGGTATGTGAGTACACAATGGATCTCAAACGTGAGCACGCATCAGAACCCCCGATGGGCTTGCTGAAACACACACTGCTGGCCCCGCTCCCGGATCCCGGAGATTGTAACTCGGAAGGTCTGCGACGGGGCCTGAGAATCTGCATTTACAACAAGCCCCTAGATGATGCTCATGCTGCTGGTCTACGGAGCACAGTTTGCACATCACAGGACTAAACACATGGACACATCCAGACTGCACAAGGACAGGAAACCCTATGTGATGCCAAACCACAGGACGCCAGACACACTGAAAGAGCACGTCCCAGGTGGGAAGGAGGAAAGAAGGGAGGAGGGGGAGAAGAGAGGAGGTGAAGAGAAGGAAAGGTGGCAGAAGGACACAGAAAGAAAAGCAAGGCCCAGTCGAACCCATGGCCGCTCCTGCAAAACAGGGAATAATGAACCGTAATCACTGAGCTCCCCCAGCCCCCGAAAGCAGAGCGTGCACAACAGCAGCAGGACAAAAGGAACAAACCCACAGGCCACGAAGGTCTGAACCTCTGCGTGCAAGCTGCCAGCCCCGAGCGCTCGCACCTCACCTGAAGGGCTGTAAGGAGCTGAAGATCTCCTGAGACTGGGAGACGGGGAGCCCGCCCCTCAGTCCGAGCTGCGCTTGAGCCTGAAGAGACGTGTGAAGGGAGATGGGGATCTGCGGGGCAGCGGCAGCCTGCGGACGGGAAGCCAGGGAGCTAACGACCGTGCCCTCCCAGCGGGTTCTCCGTCACCCACCGTCCACCGCCCCGGCCCCTCTGCAAGGCAGCTGGAACACTGCCCAACATGCACATTCGGGCACATCCTGTGCTTCCCTTGCTCTCAGGAAAAAGCAAAACATTGGTAGCCATCCCAACCACAGCATGTTCCTCTACTGGACTCTGCGCAGCACCAAAATGGATCCTAGCTGCGCTCAGCAACAGAGACGGGTTTCAGGAACACAGCCGTCAACAGACGCGTGCACGGGGAAGAGCACACGCAGTACTGCAGTACGAGCCAAGGACACGAAGATCAGAATCTTGCACAACTAAACAGGCAACATTTAAGAAGATGTTTTAAAAAGGGCTGAGGCCAGGCCAAGTCCTCTGTCCCTGAATCTGCACTTGGAGCAGTGCTCCTCCCCGAGAGCTCCACTGTCCTGGTCTGTGCAGGCACACGGGTCTGTGGGGGTGCTGGACCATTTGGAAGGCCCTGCACCAGTTTCAGGAGGGAGACTTCCAGAAATCAACCCCTTGCAGCACAGAAAGTATGCCAATCCTGCATAAAGACAAACACCTGCTGGTTTCTAAAACTACCTCTCTCTAAATGCATCCATGCCTGGGGGTCTAGGCCTTTCTTCTTTTCATCAGAAGGATACCTGACCACCAAAGAGAACTCCATTTCAGCTAATTCCCCAGCTAGGACACAGGAAGGGGAACTTTGAGAAAGGAAAACCAGCAGAGTCTGGAGTACTGAGCTCCATTTATCTTGTCTCTCGTTTAGTCATTCAACAAAAATGGACTGACTGCCGTGGTGTGCCAGGAGCTAGGTGTTACACGTGAGAAACACAGAAAACGAAACAGACAACGAACAAATAAATGAAGACAATAATCACGCTGTGTGCTGCACCCCCAACCCCACCGGGCCCCTTGCTTGCTGTCGTCACCTGTTGGTAACTCTGCTGCTGAGGTATCGTTTGAGGAACCAGCCGGGGCTGACTTGCAAACACATGGCCATCTAGGTACAGAGGTGGCAGGTGGTTGCCTGGAAACAGAATCCGAGAGGAGGTACAACAGGATCAAGTCCACTGCTCCTGAGTGACCCTTTAGGGGACATTCTACAAGTGCACGTTTTCCTGGGGAATCAGTGGGAGGGAAGGAGCGTGCACAGTGTGCTCAGTCCCCTGCTGCTGGGCCTGTGCTCCTGCAGCACCACGCCCGCCGCTGACACCCCTACCTCATCCCTCAGGGAACCTGGGGAGGCAGCGGCTCAGGGGCCAAGGGTAGCGGGCTCCAGCCTACCCTTCTCAACCAACCACTGGCCCCCTGCTCCGCACGCTCAGGAGGGGGCCGCACTCTACTTGAGGGCTGCCTTGGTCTCTCAGTCACTTTCCTCTTCATCTCCCTGCTTTGAGTCCACAGTGGAGGGTCAGAAGGATCTATTGGAATTGCATCACTGAGACTTTGGCAGCTGAGCCCTCAAAAACCCCATCTTCTTCCCTTGGGGCACCAACAGAGCAATAAAAATGGCTATCAATTGTGGAGAGCTCGGTGGATGCAAAGCACTCTCTAGGGACCACCTCCTCTCCTCAGCGCGGCCACCACACAGAGCGCCACCACCGCCCTCTTCCCATTTAACAGAGGGAGCCGCAGCCCAGAGGGCAGACACACTCGCGGGCAGGAATGAGGCGCACAGCCCTGCACGTGACTCGGGTCTGACTCAAAGCCAGGTTTCTCCAGGAGCTGGGAGCACCTCGCCCAAGTCCCCTGGCCCTGCTTCCCAGAGTAGGGAAGCAGGAAGTGCACATTATCTGCAGAACAGGGGAAGCTAGAACCACCCAGCCTAGACACAAACTCCCACTTCTTCACACTCCTTAAGTCAAGGCGGGGGTGATGCTCGGGCTGTCAATCCAGGGTTTCTCGCGAGAGGGAATGGAGAAGGCTCCCTGAGCTGGCAGGGGTAGGGGGAGTGCAGATACCTGGAAGAGAAGCAGAAGGTGCTACAGAGGCCACAGGCATGGGTGGCATGGAAACCCCACCGAAGGAGCTGTAGTTGACCCCGCTGGAGGCTCCCACAGAGGACGGGGGCTGGAGGCCTGAGCCAGCGCCGCCTGGAGAGCTCTGCTCTGGCAAACTGGGCGAGTTTTCCCAAGCCTTGCGTGCAGACTCCATCTTTGGAAGCAAGGGAGGGATGAAAATTACCACCAGGGAGGCGGTGGACAGCACAAATCTAAGGCCAGGAGGTAGGCGGGGCTGCTCGCTCAGGGCTGGTGTTACCTTCAGAGTGAGGTCAGCAGTGGGGAAGGACATTTGGGAGAGGCCGATGGCCCGCTGGATGTGATGATCGCGCCGGAGGATGGGAATACTCTGTGTTAACCCAGCCTGGGGGGAGGAAAAAAACCATGGAACACACACAGGCACAGAGGAAACAAGACAGCACGTCACAATGCACCTTCCGTTGTGGCCGCATGCACTCGAGACCACTAAGATGAAGCTGCCAGCAGCAGAGACCACAGCTTATCTCCTCCAAGCAGGGAATCATAGATTCCCTCGACTGAAGTCCCTGGAAACCACCTCCACACCACAGCCCAGGGAGCGCTCCAGCAGGGGCAGCCATGTCTCGACAACATAAAAATGACTGGCTACCAGCACGCAGGAACCTGCTACCTGGCTTGGATTCCCCCAGTCCTGTGTCAGCCCCTCAGGAAACTGGAAAAGAGGTGCCAGGTAACATATGTTTGAAAATGCAACTGCTAGACCCTCCTCTTGCAGATGCCCAGCACCCATCAGCATATTACAGGGACTCTAAGAAATCTCAGAGTAAACAAGTGCCTTTAGCCCAGCATTCTCAAACACATGCTTCCACAGAACTTGGAAGACTGTAAAATCAAAGAACACCAAAGAAACCAGACCTTAGCAATCACATTATCCCATTTTAAGGTCACAAGATCAGGGCGTGGAACATTCAAGCAACATGCCCGAGAACATGTAACTAGCTGGCGACTGCATCAGGACTCAAACCCAGGTCCGCCCGACCCCACAGCTGGTGTTGGTTCGGCTTCAGAGCCACATAAGGCTCGTTTCGCCCAGGGCCTGCCAGCACGGGCCCAGCAGAGCTGGAGGTGGAAGCACAGACTTACGTTACTGGCCAAGGCCTCCTGCAGTTTGACAACTGGATTCCCTGCAGGCCCAGATGCAGAACCAGGCGGCAGGCTGAAATCGGAGTCCTGAGGAGAGGGGAGAGAGCCCAGTGAAATCATCCGGGCTCGCCTTTCGGCGGAGACGCACACTAATTGATCTAGGTATGGTCTGGTCTCAGTGACTCAGAAACTCCACTAAGCAGCATTCACCACACGAGCAACATGGCCAGATGTTTCCTTAGGGCACATGAGCAAGATGACCACCCCCTCATCCTCTCCCACGCCCATGCCCACTGGCTGACCCAACAGAGAAGGGAGCATCGCCGGCCTGCTCAGCCTGAGAACCCGGCTGGAGTCAGCAGGACAATCTAGAAGGCTGCTCAAGCGCACCCTTGTGCACAACTCCACCCCAACATAGCTCCTCCAGCAGTGTGCGGAGCTCCCGTCTCGCTGCCCTAAGAGACACCCTGTCTAAGCCCCTCTTTTTTCTCCAAGTACCAGCAAAAAAACAAAAAAGGGAGGGAAGAAAGCGAACAAGTCAAAACCTCACTTTTGGATTGACTCCAAACTCGATGGGTGGCACCGGGAGCACAGAGTCCACGTGAATCTCTACCCCGTTAACAGGCGGGACGACGGCCCCTTGAAGCCGCTCGGCCCCCTCCGAGCCCTTTCTGTTTTTCAGAGAACGCTCATTGCCGATGGGTCCTGGTCTGTGTTCCTTGCTCTGTCCTGAGCCTTGTTCTGAATCCTTGATGGAGAAGCAGAGAGGGCTTAGACACACAGACTGTGACGACCCCAATTGCTAGCTTCTAAGCACCCAGGAATAGAAGAGGACAAAAGACAGGGCCCCTTCTGCCCAGGCCCTGGCCCTGTCAACAGGACTTGCAGGTTACCTTGTGCTCAGATGGCTTCTGAGCCTGCTCCTTGTGGCTGTCGGTCTTGGGTTCCAGACTGGGCCCACTCATCTCCTCGGGTTTCAGAGTGCCATACGGGGAGCTGCGCTGCGAGGAGGTCGCAGATGACTCTCGAGACTCGGCGCTCAAGTCAACGCCACTATCTCCCTGGCTGCTCTTAAAACCCTGCTGTGCACAAAATGGGTTAGAGCCCTGACCCCAGGCTCAAAAACGCGACCATCCAAAAAGCGAGGCTGAGCGCGGCCCTGAGTTGGGTCTCCCCGACTGCCGGCCCCTCGCAGAGCCTCACCCTGACTTCAGTCCTGACCTGCCAGTGGTGCCTGACAACTGAAGACACATGACCAAACAGACCAACCCTGCCCGAGCTCATAACTGTGAGACACACGGTGCCCTGGGCCGAGACCGCAAACTCATCTTGCTCATGACCCAAACCAGGCCAAGCGCCCACTGATCCCAGGTTCGGAGGAGAGGCCCTCATCGCTCACCCTACCAGGGGGGTTTCTGTGGGCATCCTTCTCTTCCTCCCTCTCCCACAGGTACCTCACACAGATCAGAAATCAAGGCTGAAGACCAGCAGTGAGCCAGGGCCTATGGAAATGGCCTCTGACCCAGGCTCCACCGCTGTGGCTGAGGGAGAGCTCAGCGGGTGGCTGGGATGAAGGGGGCCCGGGACAAGCTAGCCACGTGGACGGTAAGCACACACTCAGCACTCGAGAGGTACAGCAGCCACTCACCTCGGCAGAGCCAGACTCGGTACTGTTGAAGGCAGTGGCAGCTTTAGTCCAGGAGTCACTGTTCGAGGCCTGAACAGGGAGGGCTGCCAGAGGGAGGAAGACAGAACCAGAGCATCAGAGGACCAACCGGCACGGGTGCAGCTTACACATCCACCCCAGCCCAGAACCACCCTCCCGCCCTGCAAACACCACGCTAGCGAACAGACTGAATACACAGGAGCCCGTCTGACAGCTTCACCCAACCTGCCAAGCCCCGCAGACGGATTTCAATAATCGTGTTTCTCATTATCTCATTGAGTATATGCTCTAGTAAACAGACCAGCAACTTCTCACTCACACCTGTTAGAATTCTGTCACCACCTCTGCTGTGGCGAAGCTTTCCTACACTTAAGTCAACTACTTCTACAGAGACTTCGAAAGATCCAAGCCAGTGTTCCTCAACTTTCATTAGCTCACAGGCCACTCTTGAGATTCCCACGAAAGCCACGGACCTTGTGTACGTACACAAAACCCTACACGCTATTTTAAGGTCCAGGAGCCCTCTGAAGCCACAAGGGAGAATCCTGGAGGGAGAGGCCTGACAACCCAGGAGGACTCAAGTCCAGGCTGCTCTGCTTGCCCACTCCAGCGGGTGGGTGCTTCTGGACATTTACATAATGATAACCATCGCTCTCACACACCACCCAACTGACCAATGTCAATATTTTATTACAGGATCATCATACTTTCAATCGGAGTTGAGTATTTTCCAATGTTATTTTGGCAATTGTTGGAAGCAAGGTTTTAACCAGGAACATGAGGAGAGGCCATGTGATTAAAGCTGAAAGAATCAAGGTCCAGAACCAAGAATCTTGGGAGTTCGTCATGTGGCTGTGGGGCCAAGTCACTTCACTCTGGGAGCTTTTGCTATTTCATATAAAAATAAGCCAGAAATGGAGGACTTCTCCAAGCTCCTCCTTTGAGGTGTCACGTGTCTTTGTTTTATGCATCTGTGCATCCTGCAGGGCCCTGCCCCAAATAGGCATTAAAGAAGAATCTTTTCAATTAAAACAGCTTTGTACTTTATTTTTTTTGGTGAGGAGGATTGGCCCTGAGCTAACATCTGTGCCAATCCTCCTCTATTTTGTATGTGGATCCCCACCACAGCATGGCTGATGAGTGGTGTAGGTCTGCGCAGGTCTGTGCCTGGGATCCAAACCTGTGAACCTGGGCTGCCAAAGCAGAGTGTGCCAAACTTAATCACTATGCATAGGGCTGGCCCCCAGTTTTGTATTTTAACATGAAAAGTTGGCAGAAAAACAGCATTGGATATGAATTTTTTTTTAAAGTTTAGGGACACAAATTTTCCAACAAGTAAGGTCCCCCTTTGTCCCAAGGCTGTCTTTCTAAGAGAGCGTTTAGGGAGGAGCCAACAGTCCCTTCCCTCTGGGTTAGGAAGGGTGCAGAGCACAGACAGACAGCCTCTGGGCTCTTGCTCGTCCCCCTCACAGTCACCTGTTGCTCTCCCATAAGGTACAGAAAAGGGACAGCTGACATGGGCCAGGTCAAGCCAACTCTCCGAATGACCGTGGCTGGGTGGGCGGGGGGCTATCCTTCTCCTGATCACTGCACAAACAGAATACTCTGCCCTTCCAAATTTCAGGCAGAGAAGTTTACATCCATTCAGGGGCTGTGGCAGCAAAGGGTGCCAGGATGGCACCTAAGTCCCAGCAGAGAAAGCTGGGAAACAGTAATGCTCCATCTGTACTCACAGCCCTCAAAGCAGGCTGTTCCTGAAGAACACACCCCGGGCCTGTGAGGTGGCCACGGGCCAAGCAGCTGAGCTCCGCTCCCGAACTCTTACCCTGGCTGCTGCTCTCCCAGATCTCAGTGCCCAGGCTGCTGCCAGGCACAGTCACGTCACCTTGCTCCAGGCATAAGTTGTTTTGCTTTTTAGCAAACCGAGGAGGAATCCGGGAGGAAAGACTTCGACCTTTGACAGGCACCTAGGGAGAAATAAGGCAACGTAGCCCAGCCTAGATGTCAGGCATGAAGAATAACAAGTTCTCCCCGGAAGAGTACCCCAGACACCAAAACCACACCACCAGCAACTGCTCCAGAGACGCTGGAACACTCGTCTCAAGACCTCAACCACGTGCAAACTGCAATGCCAACCAAGCCACCCCGGAGAAGGGGTGACAAGACTGCGATCTGAATGTCGACAGCAGGAGCAAGCATGCAGAGCCCAGCCCTGACTCCAGCTGAGTACAGGGTCCCTGACCCCCGTGACTCCCAGGGTGACAAGTCTCATCCCACTCAGGCGGGAGCAGTGGAAGGAGGATGGACTTTGGGGCTGATGGAGGTCTCCAACCTGCTCAGCCATATTTCAGCTATTGTCACCCAGGACAAGTCACCCTCTTTAAGAACAGGGACACCACCACCTAATCCCACAGGGCTACCAGGCTAGTGGGCACTGGGTAACAATGCACACTTAATAAACACTCCCTTCTTCCTCTCTTCTCTCTCGGGCTCCACTCAGGACTCCCTCACCTCTGCTCTGGGTTTCTCTGCACCAGCCTGCCCTCCCGCTCCAGCTCCCTGCTCACTTTGCAGCCGCTTACCTGCACGGCCTGCTCCTTCTTTCTCCTCTCTTCCTCCAGCAGGCGGCGCTGCTTCTTGGTCAGGACTTCAATGAAGCCTTCACCCACCATAGAGCCCACCTCACTCTCCTCCCCGGGGCTGGACCCGCAATTTTCAATGATGGCATCTGAATCAAGATTCCACAAGAAGGACAGTGTTTCCATTCATCAGAAGCCAAGAATAACCCAACCCTACAGGCACATGACGGCTAAGGATGGGCTCAGTCCAGAAGGCTGGGCAATACCTGGCTTGATACCACCAAGAAGCTGCACTGCATCCACTGGGGTCTACAGAAACCGGCTGTGATTTCTACACCCTTCCACACCCCCTCCAACACAATGCCATCTCAAACACAAGAGGCCTGAGTAGCACTACAATTAAGAAAACAGTTTTTGGAGACAGATGCACTGGAGTCCCAGTTCTGCTCCTAACCAGCTGCGTGACCATGGACAAACTAGTCAACCCCTCGGGGCCTCAGGTTCCCCCTCTAAAAAAACTGGGACACCGCAGGGCTGCTATGAGGGTTCGCAAGGCTATGAGCGACCCGAGGGCAGGAATCGTATCTGTTTTGCTCACTGCTGTAGCCCCAGAACTTTAGCCCAGCAGCTGCCCAGACGCTAAGATGGTCAGCGAGAGGGCAAACTCAGGGCCCTGAGGAGCTGCGTGGACCTCACTTTTGCCTGGGTTCTTCCCCACAAAGATGTGAGGGGACAGACTCACTTCCATAGTTCAGGTCAAACTGCTTGATGGTCTCTCCCTGCTCGCCTGCCCTCTGAGCAGCCAGCTTGGCCTCCTTCTCTGCTTTCTCACAGGTGGCTTCAGGGATGTCAGAGGCGGCATGGGCTGCTCGCTCTAGGGTGTAGTGGCCGCTCCCACTGCTGCAACCAAGACCTCCAGGCAAGGCCTCATCTGGGGACCTATAAAAAGAAGGAGGATCCTGAGCTCAGCAACCACAGGCTGGGGGAGGAAAGGAAAGGAAAAATCACACATGCACACAGCACGCCAACACACGCAGTGCCCTGATCCACCTCCAGTTCCTGCCACCGGCCCCTTTGTTCTGTAGACGCTGCTCACCAGCAGCACCGCATCATGTGTAAGCCGAGGGGGAAGGCCACCCCCAGCCTCACTACTATAGCAGCGCTCCACCTGCTCATGGGGAAAGCTGGTCTCTCCCCGACCCCATTCCCAGGGCTCAGTACTTCTGCTCCTTTCCACTGTGTGCCTAACTCAACGGGGCTGCAGAAAGGAGAGAAGGAAGGGGGCACACTCAGAACAGAGCTGAACCTTCTGCTCCTATCACAGGAGACTGACCAGCAAGGAGCCCGGGCCCTGACCTACTGCGAGGCTCTTGGGGCAGAAATAGAAGCAAAGCCAAGTCTTGGCATCTGGGGCCTGGAAAGCTAGGCTAGACCGATACTTGAAAGCCTCAGCATCCTCCTGTGACTCCTTCTTTGGGGGTATGACAATTACACCCCACATCTCCGTACCCTGGATTCTAAGGAGGATGGAAGGTGGGAAGCAGTCTTCCTCAGCATGCTGGGGCAGGACCTGTGCATGGTCAGGGACGCGGGCTGCATGAGACATGCCCTGCACGTGGGCTCCTCCCTCCCTGATTCTGGGGCAGCCTGTGGGCAGTGAGCCGACACCGAGCACAGACCATCCACCTCGAAGCCTCTAATTCCAGATAAGAGATGCTCGCCTGGCCTCAGGCAGCCCGCTTTGTTTTGCTACTGCTTGGCCCTTAACCATGCCACAGTGGCAATCCCCAAGACGGTGCCACATCTCCTCACTGCTGAGAAGCAGAGCGGCTCGGAGAAGAGCCGTCTCTGCAGGGCCAGGAGGCCAGCAATGCGCCACCAGGACACTGCCCAGCAGCAAGCCTGGAACAGAGGAATCTGGTGCTCCCCAGGCTCCACCCACGGGTAACGCCCCTTCACTGCAGCGGCCCCTGGCGGAGCTCCGAGTACACATGTGGAGGCTGAACTGTTGGGACAGGTGCTAGGACAGCTGCTACAGGAGGACCATGGGAGTGGGGACTCTAGTTTTGGTTTTCAAGCCACACAACGACAACAACAACACGCCACAAGAGAAGCGGACAAGCAGTGCAAGAGCAAGTGATGGAGAGGCTCACACACAATGGCCGTGGTGGGCAGTCGCCCACCTGGAGCACAACAGGGAGAACTGGGGGCACCTGACACATGGCAGGACATGCATGCATGAAGTGCTGCTTACAAAACTGGCTTCATAACAGAACAGCAGCAACAAATAAGAACCTGGGATTTTGTTTCTGTTTTACCTTCTGGATTTCAAAGGCGTCCCATTCTGTTGGCTCTCATAACGGGGAGAAGCTTCACCACCACCTGGCCTAACAGACTTCTCCCCAAACCCTCCCGGCTCCAGCTTTCGGCTCTGTCTGTCCACCAGGGGTCTCTGGCTGGAGAAGCTCCTCTTGGCCAACTCCTTCTTCTCACCCAAACTGGCCCCAGGCAGGCTGCCATCCACCTGGGAGTCGGGCTCGGCCCCGTGGCCTTCTCGCCGCTCCCGTCTCTCGCTGAAGTCGCTGCTCTCGGAGGCTGTCTCCCACTCTTCGTTGGCGTGATCAGAGGAGTTCTGGTACGAGAGCTCGGGGGACCTGTGGCCCACAGTGCTGCTCTTGTCCCCAGGACAGAGTTTGGACCTGCCCAGCCACTGACCTGCCAGCAGGTGGGGCTCCTCCTCAGGTCCCCAGAGACCCAAGGATTCACGCTCCTGCCTGAGGCGCCTGAAGCGAGGGGGTTTGTCCTGGCGCGGGGGGCGCCTTCTCCTGAAGGGCCGGTTCTCTGCATTTTCAGAATCTGCCCCGTGCTCATCTTGGAAGAAGGACCTCTTATCCTCCAAGCGGCTGTCCTCAAAGCCCCTGGTGCCAAAGGAGTCGGAATGTCTGTAGGCATCTGGGATGCAGTCTCTGTCCGCGGGTCGCCGGGACGGACAGGCGTCAGGAGAGCTGTACTCCTGCCAGGAGGCGCCCGGACTCTTGCTGTGCCAGGGGGCTGACTCTCTGGACACGAAGGCTCTCCGCCCGTACCCACAATGGCTGAGGCGGGGAGGGAGGGCTCGCCCAAAGGCCCGAGGGCCTCGGTTCTTAGCATCCAGACCGCCGTGCTCCTCAGAGTACACCTTGTTGGACCGCCAGGAATCTTTGAAGTCGCCTTTCTTCAAGGCGCTCTCCTCCCTCTCCAGGAGCGAGCCTTCGTGCCCGTTGTCCGAGCCTCTCTGCCGACGCCGCTTGGGAAGTTCTTCATACTCGGAGCCCTCGCTGTGGGTCTCGCTGGCAATTCTTCGCCGGGGCTTGGCTCTGGGGAAGTCCTCGGGCTGACCGAACTCGCGCAGGCCCCGGCCGCGGCCACTTCTCTGGCTGTTGCTGTAGATGCCCCGCGCCCCAAGGACCCCACCACCACAGATGCCGCCGCCGCCCACGGGCCTACCGCGGAAAGTGAACTCTCTGAAGCCGCGGCCGCGGCCCCGGGCCTGCCCTCTGCCCCCAAAGGCTTGCTCCTCATCAATGAAGATCCAGTTATTCCTCTTTGTTGGGGGTGTATCGCCGGACTCCCGGGAGGCTCTGGTCTCCCAGGCCCTGTCCATCTTCTCATCCTCCTCAGACTTGCTGGGCTCGCGGCCCAAACTAGCGCTGGGAGAGCCCTGGTCTTCCAAGGCAGACGGGGAGGAGTTGGCCAGCGCGGGATCGTTCTCTTCATCCTCGTCCTTTTCTGCCTTGAGAATCGGCCCCTTCTCCTTGGCCAGGCGGGCACTCTCCTCCCCCAGTTCCTGCTTGATCTTCTCTAGTTCCTTCTCCTTGTCTTCGACCTTGAGGGCTTTCAGGACAGGTTTCTTGATGGGCCCCGACCTCCGGGTCCTGCTGGTCTGTTCCTGGTGCTGGCCTCCAGAGCCCCGGGGGTCGGGAGTCCACGCAGGCTCCAGGGTCGGCTGTTTGTTGGGGCTCCCTTCCTTCTCCCAGGAGGAGACGTTACAGGACGGCTCCTCTGGGGGCGCCTCCTTCTCGACACCGCTGGCTGTGTCAGTGGTCTTAGGCTGCTGGCTAATGTCCCAATTGCTATACTCTGGCTTTTTGTCTGCCGGGGCAAAGTCGGGCTCCAGTGGGGAACCCCTGAGGCTCGGGGTGTGACCCCCAGGAGCACCTGTTTCCTGAACGTTTTCTTGGGGTGCAAACAAAAGCTCCTGGCCTATTCTTTGAGAAGAGACACAGCTGTCAAAGTCTGCTTGGGCCTTCTTGTCAAAAGCACTCAAGTACTCCTCCCCTCTCTCCTCAAGGAGATCGCGCTGGGCACTTACGCCCCCTGACCTTCCAGGGGAGGCAGAGTAAGAGCTTTCACTCCTGAAAAGGAACCAGAAAAATCAGTCAATGCGATTGGAGCCTGGTTCCTGGTTTCCATGCTGAACACAGAGCTTAGTTTTAAAAAGAAAAAAATTACAAAAAAGAAAAAGAAAAAAACCTAAGCACCAACACTTGCTCTATCTTTACACAGGTCTCAGAGGTGCTGGGCCATAGACTGGTCGGTGGCCCCGGGAGTCCAGAGAGTGAAGAACGCAGTGGCTGCTGGTGGACTCAGCGTGCCACCCTGGAGACAGAGAGCAGCTGGGGATCCTCGGGTTCAAACAACAAGCTGGAGCCTGGAGTCCGTGAAGAGTCTGGGGCACTGGGCTGGCAAGGCCAGCTTGCTTTACTTTCACAGGAAGGAGCCACAACCCACACGCTGGACCCCACCTGCCCCGCGAGGGCCCCACCCCCTCATCCCCCGCCCAAAGTCCAGCGAGATTTGCCTTTGACCCCAGGATTTCTCCTCGGCCTTCAGTCCTGCCATCAGACAGGTGCCCCTCTCCCAAAAGCATTCAAGCAACCCTTCTCACACCCTTTCCCGGAGGGCACCCTGTCCCTCAGGCAATGTCTCCTGGGACAGTGCCTCCTCCCAGAGCCCCTCTCAATTAGACCTGGAGATTCTTCCTTCAGCGGCAGGTCAGTAGGACCAAGTTTCGTCTCACCTGACATGCATGTCCATGGCCAAAGTGTCATTCGATTTCGGGTGGGGGAGCGAATAGCCCTTGCTCTGCAGTGCCATGTAGCCCTCTGGGCTCCACACAGGGGCTGGATCGATGGCAGTCACTTTTCTTTCTTGCAGTGGAGGCACACAGCTCTGATCCTCAGAGCGACAGCTAGTCCCACTGAGGGAATCTTGGGGCATGATAGGTTTCATCAGTCCTGAAGAAGGCAAAGAACTCATCTCTATCATCTCATTTAGAAAGCCAGGCTCCAATCTCAGGGTCAACCAAAGGCTCAAAGGAGACAATGGTTACCCTTGACTCGACATGGACACAGCACCTTCCTGCTTAATGTCCCTGGGCTCTTAACCTTTTCTGACCACAGAACCTCTGACAGCACACACGCATGCAATCTGAGGTGCTGAGAGACCCATTCAAAGACCTGTGGAGTGCAATCTGTTCCCAGATTAAGAACCGGTGTTGAAGGGTATATAAACCTGGCAAACAGAAACTGGAAATAGCCAGTTGGCGAGTTCATCAATGTCGGCAAAAGGCTGGAGAGGCCAATGGGTCAGCAGCGAGAACCTCTGCGCAAGCTGCAGCGCCGAAGGTTTTCTGCACAGACACGGGGAAGACGAGCCACACACCACAGCCTGCGCAGGGCAAGCTGAGGTCCACCTGCTCCAAACCCGTGCAGGGAGACTTAGAAAGGGATGTTGGGGCCCGGCCTGGTGGCACAGCGGTTAAGTGCGCACATTGCACTTTGGCGGCCTGGGGTTCGCCGGTTCGGATCCTGGGTATGCACATGGCACCGCTTGGCAAGCCATGATGTGGTAGGCATCCCACGTATAAAGTAGAGGAAGATGGTCATGGATGTTAGCTCAGGGCCAGCCTTCCTCAGCAAAAAGGGGAGGACTGGCAGCAGTTAGCTCAGGGCTAATCTTCCTCAAAAAAAAAAAAAAGAAAAGCAAAGGGATGTTGGTTTTAGTTCCTTTTATTTCTAACCCCAAGAGGGACAGCAACACTTCTCATTTTTGTACAGGAAATGGGGATGGGGGACCACACAAATGACAGTAACTGTTAACTGGCAGGAGGAGATTAGGATAAAGATGACAGCTCGGCCCTACCAGGTATAAACTAACTGGAGAATGTGTACCCCCTCCAGGGCCTCTCTGTCCGTGTCTATCAAAGGAGGGGGTGGGTTGGTGCAGATGATATTCAAGGGCTCAGTGGGCCTAAGCCTGTGGAGGAGAAAAGCTCTGATTTTTCAAACACTTTCTTCACAAAGCTTCTTAGTAGTCAAAAATTTTGTTGTGCCCATCTTTTAAACTGAGACAATCTGGCCAGGAAAATGGTTCTGCATGAGGCCAGTGGTTTTAAGCTTTGTTTTAGCTGTGGGGTGCTCTGTTCAAATGCTATTGCTATATGAGTCCAATACAAAGATAGTCTGAGTCAAGGAGTGGTGGGGACCCTCTCTGGAAGCTGAAAATGACATAGCATTCATTAAGTATTGATTATAACCATGCTAGACTGCTCAACACAGTATACTGACCTATTTTTGGCAATATGGCAGCCCTCATTATCAGAAAAACTCTCCTGCCACACATACTTCTTGCCACAAAAACGCTGGACAGGATACAGCAAACACAGCACTTGCAGAGCTGTATCCCCAAAGAAATGGGAAATCCTCAGGGAGCTGAAACCACGGCCCCAGGCCAGAGCCACGAGGGGGTGCTTCCTGGAGGGAGCAGGGGGAGCAGGGCACACAGCGTGAGGAGCCCGAGGGCTTGGTCTTCAACACCCTCAAGGACAAGGAGGGGGCTTTTCTGCACAAGGCAGAGTTGCAGCTGAGATGCTCATTAAAACAAAGACCCTCGAAGGGCTATGCCCTCAATTAAAAGGCGGATTAGAAGAATGCATGCTCTTCACTACAGGACAATGACTAAGTCTGTGTGTTGGCCTGGGCCAGGGTAGGGAAAAAATAGTCCCCACCAGGAATTCATAGCCACACGCTGGATTTCATGCAGGTTAGGGAAGGGAAGAATGCAGATTTATAACCCAGAATGGTCCAGAAACTTCCCAACTTCAAGTAAAAGGTGGTTCTAGGCTGGCAGAAAAAACTGTAAAGACACTCGGGAGGGATACACTCTCAACCCAAGCCATACCACATCCCTGCAAGAAATAAAGCGTTGTTGAAAACGAACTTGAATCTGAAATCACCAGAACACAAGTGGAAAGCAATCCACCAGGAGTCCACAGCAAGTCCCAGGATTATACAGCTTCCCAAGAACTTGAGACAACAGAATCATCTGTTAAACACTAGAAAATCATGTTTTTGGTGATTAAAAGCACAAAAGAAGGAATTTAAAACTTAAGAAAAATATAAGACATAAGCAAAAATAATGAATTTGAGGAAAAAATTCTAGCAATAAAAACAAAGAGTCACTGAAATTAAAAACCCACTAGAGGGGGAGGAAAAAAAAGAAAAAAAGCAGATTAATCACAGCTGGTGAGGAAACTGAACTGGAAAGTAGTTTTGAGGCACTTCTCCAGAAGGCACCACAGAGATAACTTCTCCTATATGTCTAAGAGACTCGGAAGACAGAAGGAGGTATAAAATAATTTAAGTGGAAGTCCTAGGCAGAAAGGATACAAAGAATGGGGAGAAGGAAACATCCAAAGCGATAACTAGAAGAGAATTTTCTAGAAGTGATTAACGACTTACACCTTAGAGTTGAGGAGGATGAGTTCCACACAGAATAAAGGAAGGACAGACATAGGGATAAACCTGGACACAGCAACTGAGGCAGAGCTGCAGGAGACCAAAGACAAAGAGGAGACTTTAAAGCAGCCCAAGAGAGCCCGGGAGATGACCCAGACACGACCCCGACTTCCAGCAGCAGCAGGAGCCAGAAGAAAACGGAATGCTGTCTTCACAGTCCTGGAAGCAACTGCCCCCCAGAATGCTACACCCAGCTATGCTACCGTTCAAGAGAACGGGCGACAAAGACCTCCAGGCAAAGGAAAGCTACTGCCGAACCTCTCCTGGAGGACTCGACGAAACGCACTCCATGAAGTAAGCTGAACTCAGATGGAGGAAGACGCAAGGAAGAAAAAGCAGCAAAGGAACTAGCGAACACACGCAAACCCGAACAAGCACAGGCTGGGTGCGACATCTCAATAATAACGACTAGTCTGGTGGGCATAAAACAAGACAGGACTAAAATTCCCAGCAAAAACAAGCAAGACTGACAAGGAGGTGGCTAGAGTTCAGGTTAAGAGTAAACACAGAGCTCAGCCTTTCTAAGTCAAGGTTGCATCTTAGAATTTAATGTAACCACTAATATAGCAGAAACAGAATGTAGAAGAAAAACACACAGACAAAAAGAATAGCAAAACTTTTTTTTTTTGATCCAAACAAAAGAAGAACAGGAAAAGCATAGAAAAAGATAAACAGAAAGCCTAACACTGGAGAGTGGGAAACTGGAACATCAAATCCCAACAAATTTAAAGCGCCCAATTTTGGCAATTCGAGTCAGGGATTTCACAACGAGTAAAACCAAACACACCATCGTGTACGTCAAAGACACACTCCCCCAAAAAGGGCTCAGAGAGGCTGACAATAAAGAGTTGGAAACAAGATACCAAATCAATACTAATCAAAAGAAAAACTGGCATGATGATAGTACTATCAAACAAAGCAGAGAGTAAAGGCAGAAACACAATTAATGACAACAGGGGTGCCATATGCAGATTAAAAGCCCAGACAGAGTGAAGTCCAAACCTGTATGCTCCCAGAGAGAGAAAGCAAAGCTGACAGGCCTCGAAGATGTGACACATCTACAAACATAGTGGGGGGTTTTAACACACCTCTTAGTAACTGATCAAGGAGATAAAAAATTGTGATAATATAGATATTCACACAGCGCAATTAGCTAGCTCAATTTAATGGATCACATCCCATTGGAGAACATACGTTCTTTTCAAGCAAATACAGAATGTTAAAAAAAAAAGGGCCGTGTAACGGTCCACAAAGAAAATCTCAACAATGTCAAGCAATCCCGATCAGGGGTTGGTTACCACATCATGGCCCTTGAGTGAAATTCGATCTGCCACTTGTTTTTAAAAATAAAGTTTTACTGTAAAGTGACTACATTCACTCATTTACTATTGTCCATGGCTGTTTTCATTCTACAACAGTAAAACTGAGTAGTTCAAAGCCAAAAATATTTAGTTTCTGGTATTTAGAGAAAAAGTTTGGGGCTGGCCCCATGGCCGAGTGGTTAAGTTCACGTGCTCCACTTCGGCGGCCCAGGGTTTCACCGGTTAGGATCCTGGGCACAGACATGGCACCGCTCATCAGGCCGTGCTGAGGCAGCGTCCCACATGCCACCACTAGAAGGACCCACAACTAAAATATGCAACTCTGTACTGGGGGGATTTGGGGAGAAAAAGCAGTTGTTAGCTCAGGTGCCAATCTTTAAAAAAAAAAAAAGTTTGCTGACAGCTGGTCTATATCATACATACCATATTATCTGACCACAAAGCATTCATGTTAGAAATTAACACCATAGAATACTTGGAAAACATACAACATACTATTAAAAATCATCAATCAAAAAGATAAATTACGTGCCAGCCCCATGGCATAGTGGGTAAGTCTGGTGCATTTCACTTCAGCAGCCCAGGTTCTAAGGTTTGGATCCTGGGCACGGGAGTACACGGCTCGCCAAGCCATGCAATGGTGGCGACCCACATATAGAATGGAAGAAGAATGACAACAAATGTTAGCTCAGAACAAATCTTCCTCACCAAAAATAAACAAAAATCAAGCTAACATTTAAAACTTCACAATAATACAAATGTCTCTTTTTTAAATTTTTTTATTTTATTTTTTTGAGGAAGATTAGTCCTGAGCTAACATCTGCTGCCAATCCTCCTCTTTTTGCTGAGGAAGACTGGCCCTGAGCTAACATCCGTGCCCATCTTCCTCTACTTTATACGTGGGACACCTACACTTGAGCTTGCCAAGTGGTGCCATGTCCGCACCTGGGATCCAAACCAGCGAACTCTGGGCCACTGATGTGGAACATGTGCACTTAACTGCTGCACCACTGGGCCAGCCCCCAATGTACCTTAAAACTCAGCAGCTCAGAGCGCAGGTGATATTTACATACTCACATCAGGAAAGAAATTAATGAGCTAAGCATCCAACACAATTAGTTAGAAAAAGAACAGAATAATTTACAAGGAAACAGGAAAAAAAGCAGAAATTAATGCAATATAGAGGAATTAAGAAACCCAAAAGCTGCTTTTTAAAAATGGCATTAGACAAACCATGGGAAAAACTAATCAAGGGAAAAAAGGAGAGAGAGAAGGCACAAAGAACATCAAGAATGGAAAGGGCAAAGCCAACACAGCAGAGAGACCAACATTAACCAAAGCAATTTATAAAGCGTGGTCTAAGGACTTTCCCCAACAACTCTGACAGGTGTTGTTATGAGACCCTCATTTTGCAAACAAGGAGGTCTCCAAACAGACTGGTCATGTGACTTGAGGAAGAGGTCAGACTGGAATCCAGGTGGCTCCACCTCTTGAGGCAACACCCTTAATGCCACACTGTCCTGGCTCTGCAGCTATGGCCCACTAGACCACCGTGCTTACCCGAGGGATGCAGGGCTGAGGGGTAGAAATCCACTGGGGTCCGAGTGGGCGTGATGCGTGGGTCCATGTAGGAAGGCATCATCATCCACCGGGGATCGAAGCCCAGCATCTGGGGATGGTGTGGGTAGAAGGTGCGCTGTGGGTGGGAAGGCGGAGGGTACACCGGCTGCCAGTGCTGCATCTTGTACAGCTGCTCCTGTCCAGCAGGAGAGAGGCCTGGTTAGACAGGGGCTGGGGGCAGAGGCCCCGCAAGCATGTGTGCATGTCCACTCATTCTTCCAGCTTTCCATGAGGAGGCACAGAAAGCCCACCCAGAACAGAGGACCAAAGAGGGAAAGACGTGCAGCTGCTTGAAGGCAAGACCCTGGTGCATTGCAGCTTTCTGGCTGCGGTCCCTCTCCCACAACTGGATGGACAGTCATGCCATTATCACAACTGGGGCCCATGTGCTCCACTGCTACCCAAGGCAGACTGGGCTTTCACTCAGACCAAACCCTCTCTGGAACTGACAGCTGACCTGCACACCTGGATGCTGGCCGCTTCTCTCTGGATCTACAGCCACCACCCGAGGACAGTCACCATCCTTTCCTCCTCACTGCTGCCTGCTGCAATCATTCTCCAGCTCTAGACCGATCGACCTAACAGACTGATCATCTAACACACACACACACCCCCGATCATGTCCACACATGCTTCACAAGAGCCTCCGATGGTTCTCTACAGCTCTCCGTCTAACAGCCCGAACCCCACAAGATTCCAAGTGACCTGCAGGGTCCTGTAGGATCCTGCCCCATCTGCCTCTCCAGCTTCACCTCACGCGACGGCTCTCGCCCTCTGCTCCATATGCCTGCTGCCCGCTTCAGGCCATGGTGACATACTGGGCTGTCTGTCTGGGAGGTTCCTGTTCCCTCCGCCCCCAAACCCAGCTCCCCCATCTCATTCCTTAGGTTCCAGCTTAAAAAGTACTTGCCCTGGGAAGCCTGTTACAACTCCCTAGGCAAGATCAGGTCCCCTGTCTGCTCTCACAGCACTGGTATTAGTTTCCTTTGTAGCACTAACAATATGCTCTTATTCTCTGTTGCTGGTCTCCCTCACTAAATCATAAGAGACCACATGCCAAGTTCACTGTGGTAGCCTTGCCTCCTACCACCAGACTTGCTATGTAGAAAATCCATTGCACAAGGATGAACATAAAGCTTGACAGAATATTCAAAATCAAGGACTGGGACCCAGTGAGGGTTCATCTCAGACCATGCTCCATCCTGTCAGTGACCTCGGGGCTGCCCTCACAAGTGTACCCAACACCAGCAATCCAGGAGGACTCGGGTGCAAAGTCAGACGAGGACAGCCAACCCAGCCACACGCTTCCAGTCTGCAACCAAGAGGCCGCCTCACCAGCCTGCCTAGGCTGGGTTCCCCGGACAGCTCCGTCAGCGCTCCAGGCACCTCCTAGGAGTACTCAGAACTCACTGAATAGAGCTCTCCCAGCCCACACAGGAGGCTGTGGGCCTCTACCCACAGCTCCTCCTCCCATCTAGACCCTGGGTCCCCAGGGAACCTGATCAGACGGCCTGTTTGCCAGACTCCTTCAGGCTGCCCTGGCACTTTCAGACTTCTTTTTATTCTAAAGGAAGGATTTACCCGTGACTATGCCCCAGATGAATTACCTAGAGCAACCGTTACGGCTGTGTCTGGCTCCAGTTACTCTGGATATCTCCCCACTCGGTAATTCTCTGCCAAGCCCACGAGCAGCTGCATCGTGCTCACTTACACTACAACGCTATAAAAGCCCAACGAACGTACTTCCTGTTTACAGCACAGGACCTGGTGAGCTCCTGCAATGCTTCCTAGGAGCTCAAGGAAAGGAGCATCTGGGGTGTAGGTTTTAAAGGAAACTAAAAGAGATGCTGGGAAAAGGCTCAAGACCTTGATTTATTTCTCCAGGGCACACACATTTCGGAACATTTTTGGTTATGATCAACAATTTACCACACACCCAGCTGTGGGGTAAGTAATGTCCAGGTATCATCTCAGTTTCCCACCAAAATGCACTGCTCATCAGTAATCATTTGTTCCTTCGTTTATTACCCCTGTAAGATGCAGAATCGCCAATGAGTGGTTCCAGTTGGTCAAGATGACCAAGACTACAAGAAATTGGTATGATTACAACCATTACCCAACACGACTTTCAGGGCAAAGAGTCGGTCCCTCTTAAGGTTTATGACCCACCAATAAAGATGATACTGCTAATACTGACAAATCAGTTTACAGAGCGTCATGAAACACTCACTGCCATGCTGAGAGGCAGGTGGTCATTCTTCCTGGTTTACACTGATCTGTCCAAGGCCATACACGACTAGATAAGCTGCATCACTAGGATCAGAACCCACAACTGTCCGACTCAAACCCGACAAACCTACGTCTTACCCCAAAGCTAACAGGCCTCTCTCTGACAGCTCTCCAAGCAGCTCCCAGGCCTCCCTTACTCCTTGAGAGGATCCCAAGGTGGGGCCATTCTCAGTCTAAGGAGTGGCCACAGGGCGGTGCTCTGAATGAAAAACCACTCTTCCAGCTCAACTACAGTGAATCCAGCGCATACATCACCAACTCTTCCTGACCAATATTTGACAGCAAGGTCAATAAACTACCAACAAGGGTTTTTATTCATTCACAGGAGAAATAACTTGGGAGAAACAAATAATGGCAGGGCTGACCTACCAAGGCCATAAGTGTCAGGTACAACTTCTGACATCCCTACGGATGACTGTGATATGGGACAGTAGATTTTTGGTGTTTGTTTTGATTGAAGGGGGCATGGGGAAGAGGAGAGGGGGCATCACTCAGTACTCAGGTCTGTTTACAACAACCTTGTAAGTTTCTTCTTTGTTTACCTGTTGTTGCTGCTGCTGCTGGCGCTGGAATCTGGGAGGAAGCGACTTCTGGTACTTGTTGAACTCCTGTGCAGGGGACCCCACCTCCCTGGCCCCCTCCTCACTGCTGCTGCTCTGAGTCACAGCGGGAGGAGCTGTGGGGGCTTCTTCTGAAAATGTGCTGGGGGCTTCCTGGGCAGGGAACTCAGGGGAGCCTAGGGAACAAATAACCAGAGAAATGGCTGAGGTGAGCTCACAAAAGCTTGGCCCACCAAATGTTTAACAGCAAATGCTTTTTCTTGTTGGCACTTACATCCCACTGCTGGACTATTCACATCCCCGAACCCTGGCACTGTGGGAAATGCTTCACACGCACAAGCTCATGGAGCCCCCACGTCACCCAGCGTCACTTTAGAGATGAGAAAACTAAGGGTTGAGAGGGGAGGCAAATTGCCCGAGATCACACAGTCAGCAGTGCAGCTGGGGTCTGGCTCCAGGTGGGAGAGGTTTTATTAGAAAGGACTCCGGTAAATCAGAGACAGCCAGGAGCTCGAGGACAACCCACACAGCCACCATCCAAACAGCATGAGTCAACACGCCCAAAGGTGTGTGACCCGGCAAGTCACTGAGCCTCTCCTTGCCCACTTCTTCACCTGTAAAATGAGGATGACGACTGTGCCTGCCCCACGGGGCTTCTGTGACAGTGAAATGAGATAATCCACATAATGCACTTACGACAGCGCCGCACAAGCAGTAAACACTCCACACAGTTTCTCACCATCATTCCCTCTGAAATTCCCTTCTTTCTTGCCTCCATCCCAGCTTTGCATTTTTTTCTGGCTTTACTGAGGTATAATTGACATTTGCATTCTTAACTCTACTGCAAAGGGCAAACAAACCCTGAGGCACAGCCTCAGGGACTCTTCACGGCACAACAGAGGGATGCTGCAGAAGGGCAGTGACGCTCCAGTGCACACAACACCCAGGCCCAGTATCGACTGACCACACTCACATCAGGGCAGATGGAGTCTGCCTGCGCCATCTCAGAGAGTAGTGGGAGACCGGGCGCAGGCTTCACTCAGACTTCAGTGACAGGAAATTTACAGAATGACCGCTGTCAATTTCTCTGAGTTCCTCAGCCAGAAGGGCGCTGACAACACATCACCAATAAGACTCCCACCTGAGAAGCTCTCAGGGACTGACACTAACACCCAGGCCCTTCTCTTCTCAAGAGTTGGTTTTAGTTGATTTAAGAAAATCATGAAGAATACAGCTGATCACATTCTCTAAAACTGCTACCAGAGACTCTCAGCGCTGTTCAGTGTCTCTTACATAGCTATGTGATCCATTCCTTTTAGAATTAAGGCCAGGAAAAATGTACTCTAACAAGGACTCACATGAAAGGATCCTGCGCTTTTAGTAAAGTCCCCCTGCGTGTGCATCTTTGTAGTGGTAACGATAACAGTATTAATGACGATGACAACAAAACTGGTAGCATAACATAAGTATATGCGCGCTTTCTATATCCAGAAACCAGGCACAGTGCTTTACGTACATGATCTCATGAGGCTCCTCAGCGTATGGGGAAGTACACACTATCATCATCCCATTTTACGGATGACAGAACAGGTTCCAGAGAGGTAAGGTGCAGCGGCCAGCTAGTGCAAGGAGCTGAAACAGGATGTGACCCAGGCTAAAACTCTGACTGATGCTTCCCGCTATCACTGACTTGCAAGCCACAAGTTGTGCTGAGAAGCCAGGGAGGTACAAGCAAGTGAAAACAGCCCAGGGCTTCCAGTTAGTGGCACGAGGGCCCATCGCTTACCTTTGCGGACAGCAGGGCCGTTCTCCTGTAGGGACACCTTCTCGGTGCCCGGCGATCGAGGGACTTCCTTCTCCACCTGTTTCTGGGCCTCGCTCGCCTTCTGAGCCTGCTTGCACTTTTGGTCCAGCTGTTTGAGTTTGGCGGCACAGGCAGCCAACCGCTCTTCCCGGGCTCGGCGCTCCTCCTCTTCCCGGCGCTTCCGGGCTCGCTCCACGGCCTCGGACATCTCTGACTGGATGAACTTCTGCCGTGGGGGTGGCTTGTCCTCTTTGTCCTCGACAGACTGTTGCCGGAACACGCTGCCCACTGAGGACTTCTGCCAAAAGAAGAAAGTCTGATAAAACGGCGGGTGACACCCCAGGAGACAGGGCCACTCCCGTTACACGATCAGTTCTCCTTCCCAAAATCGTGAGCACCTCTGAGAGGCAGCACAGTCAGGCAACAGGCAGACCTGGGTTTCAATCCCACTCCGGCCTGTATTATATCTGGAATGAGGTTTGGGCATGCGCCAACGTTCTATAGCTTAGTTCCTCATTTGTAAACTGGGGATAATAAAGGAAGCCCTTGGGACTGAGAAGTTGCAATGAAATGTTTGCAAAGCGCTCAATGCTGTGACTGACACATGGCAAACACTCAGTGAACAAGACACTCACCACTACTCAGAGGCACACAGGGTTAGGGCCTCCAGAGCTCATGAACAGGAGCAGGAAACCACATGTTCCTTATTTCTGCTCCACCCCTCCCCCTCATGAAAAAAATATAAACCTCTAGGTATAAAAAGCCACGAGAAACTGAAATTCACAGTCAGACATATGCTTTTTCAATGTGATCTTTAAAACAAAGCATCTCTAAAAGCTTGTCTTTTGGATATTTCATCCACTTCTGAGTCTCTCACTGGTTGCCAGTTACTGGACAACAACCAGATGTCAAATATGCAGTGTGAAAAATGCTCAGCACTGGGACTTTCTTACTGATCTTCAGGAAGGTGCATGCAGAATATATAATAGCACAAATGATGGGCAAGTTTAACTGAACCTCAGCCACTGAAATCCCAATGATATGTAACTATCAAAAAAATATAAAACTTCCTGTTTTGAGTGGTAGTTACACAGAGGTAATAACTGTCAAAAGTCAACAAACATAAATAACCAAGATTCACGCCTTTTCTGGTGTATTAATTATACCTCCTCAAAGGCAATACGCAACACATTTACTGTAATCAGAGAGTTTTCTCCTAAAAATTAACTTCTCATAATCCAGAGACAATTGCTATCATCATAAAAGACCAGAAACTTGCAATTTAGAAGCACGAAGGTATTTTTTACATAATATAATTGGGACCGAAGTGCGTGCTTTCCCTTCACTTTGCCTTTGAATACGAACTTCTCCATGCTCTGTGACAGCTGGGACTGCCTCAAGCACAGCTTGTACCACAGTATCTACCAGACCCCTGGTGTTCAATACACTCTTGCAGATAACCCTCAATGCATACCCCTGATTATTTCCTTCAGAATTTCCTAGAAACAAAATAGCAGAATCAAAAGGTATGCGTACATTGTCAAGACTTTCAATGTGCCTTTCTAAACTGCCCTAAGATTAGCTACCATTTCATACACTAAATGTTCTGCAAAATATTTGAACTGCAACAATCTCTTCAGAAATTTGGATGCATAAAATTATACAGGTTTCATCATTGTTGATTCTATTCAGCTAATTCACAGTGTTGTTATGAGCAGATCAAAGTGAAACCTTTTGAATACTGAGCAACCTCAATATACGAATGAAATTTGGACTAATTGCAGGGTGGAGGCAGAAGTGGGAGACTGGTCACACACAGGGGAGCTGACCGAGTACGTATAAACATCGGGAATGACCGGGGACAGATTTCTTGCTGCTGGAGAAAGGATTACAAATATGAAATGGGAGAAAACTAGAAAGAATTCGGTGGAGTCGGAGATATCACTGCGAACTCGGGGCTCTCTATAGAGATACAGAAATAATAAAGATGTGGGCATGTGTGTATATGCACACACATACAGTAACAGGGCACACATATCCAGGGCCCAGGAGCAGTGACCCCCCAAACAGCAGCGAGCACTCCCAGTGCCCACAAACTGGTTTCTAAATGTCCTAAGGGCTGATTCCACGCCTAAGGCAGCGTAGGGTGAAAATGAGTTTGGAAAAGCTTGTTCTATCAGAAAGCAAAGAACTGCTCAAAAAAAGGATGAAGACATGTACAAGACAGCTTGAAGAGGCTCCTGACAGCCAAATCAAAGAAAATTTGAGCTTCAAAACAACGAGAGTAACAGATTATAACCCATTGATATAAATAAAGTCAACGTTTCATGAGAACAGGATATTCATGCCCTCAAAGTACCTCCCCACAGAATCCTCATCAGTTAACACACGCGCAGGAGAGTAATTCCACAGTGTGAAACCTGGCAGACACCACCTTAATCAAGAGATCAAAGTCAAGGCTGTCAAAGAGGGACAGAGGGGAATCACGGTCACCTGGCTGGATGCAATGACAAGTGTCAGTGTCATTTCTGAGATTCTAGCCAAAAATGGAAACCTTGAACCTAAACACGAGGAAGGAGCAGACAAACCCAATTTGAGGTGCATTCCACAAAACAATTGGCTTGTAATCTTTAAAAGTGTCACAGTCATGAAAGTTAAGGCAAAGCTGAGGAGCTGGGCCAGACTGCAGGGTACTAGAGACAGGACAACTACGGCAGCATGTGACTCTGAACTGGATTCTTCGTATAAAGGACATCAATGGGACAACTGGTAAAAGTGGAAGGGGGTGAAAGTGGAAAAGATCAGATGCCAGGGATGTATCAATGCTAATTTCCTGGTTTTGATTGTGGTTCCCTAGAAAGGAATGTCATTTTTGGTAGGAAATAGATATCAAAGTGCTCTGTGGTGAAGGGACCTGATCAGGTAGGCAACTTACTCTTCAAAGGGTTCAGAAAAAAATATTCTTTGGATTGTATTTCCAATTTTTATCTAAGTTTGTGACTGTTGCAAAAATTTAAATTTTTTAAATTAAAAGAAAAAGAGGGGGCAGCCCCATGGCCAAGTGGTTAAGTTCGCACTCCACTTCAGCGACCCAGGGTTTGGCCGGTTTGGATCCTGGGTGTGGACGTGGCACCGCTCATCAAGCCACGCTGAGGCAGCGTCCCACATGCCACAACTAGAAGGACCCACAACTAAAAATATACAACTATGTACCGGGGGGTCTTTGGGGAGAAAAAGGAAAGATAAAATCTTTAAAAAAAAAGAAAAAGAGAAACGTCCACCAAGGACTTTTCAAAAACCCAGCCACCGAACTCAGTAAAGTACAAACGCACGGGGCAGCCAACTAGACGGCCAGTTCTAGTCACTGTCTTGGAACTCTGGTCAAATGAACGTGAAAAGAGCTTGTGTGTGTGTTCCAGCTAATTACAGGCACAAAACCCCTCCAGTGCCCATGGTACCTGGTAGTCAGGGCCTGACGCCCAGCTGTGAAGCTTCCTGGAAGGTGGCTGAGGCTCTGGCACCTTCCGGATGACACGGGTCACGCCTACTGTTTCGCCCCAGTCCTTTCCTTCCTCTTGGGTACGTTTGGCATCAGCACTGTCCACAGAGCTCATTGACAATTGCCGCTGCCTTCTAGGGTCCCAACCGTTCCTAGGACAAACCACAGTGAGTGTTAGTTTTCCCAGTCAGTGGTGTGATCTTAACCAGCCAGAAGCACTTAGGAATCCCAAAGCCAGCTGTCTATATACCAGTTTCCTTCATCAGAACACACCTACCCAACCTTATGGCTGACAGGACATGCCCAGAACACCGAAATTCAGTACCAACATTCACCAAGTCACTCGTACACACAAAGCTTCAGGCAGGATGTTTCACATGCATTTCTCCATTTACTGCAAAAAAAAGTCGTTGCTCCCCGCATTCTAAAGAATAGGCAGCTGAGTCTCAGGGTGGCTGGGAGCCCCTCTCCAAGGAAGGAGCTAACAGACTGGAACCCAGGACTCGAAGGTGTAGGTCCTTCTCCCTAAATCACAGCTCCTTCCCTGTGCTTTCCATAAAGGAGGCACTTAATAAATGCTCCTCCAAACAGTGAAGTATGACGCTGTGATACAGAGAGCAAGAGGAGAGGAGCACACACAGCAAGAAAGGAGAGAAGATGCCAAAAGGAGGCTGCAAGAGGGCTCGTCAACAAAGGCACTGGGGCAAAACACATATGTGCATTTGCTGAGCACCTCTTGTATGCAAAGGAAGTGCCCAGTAAACACAGCAGAGTTCAGAGAAAGGCAGGGAGTCGGGTCTGGCTAATATCGTGTGTCTGCATGTGTCCACGCACACATATGTACATGGGGCGGAAGCAGACAAGGTGCATGAGGAGACCACGACAAGGCAACAACCGCTAGCGACTCCTGCCTTCACTCCGAGAGACATGGAGACCACACCTGATCCTCCAGAGAAGACTTCTCTTTAGAAGACGACTAAGGCACAGTCACTGATAATACGAAAGGAAGGAGACAAGCTGGCTAACCTCTGAATGGTCCAGGAAAGAAAGGATGCTGGAACCAGTGGTCCCTGAGACAATCAGCAGGAAAGCATGGAGTCAAAGGAAGTTTCAGGCACCCATCATGGATGGGGAAATAAAGATGTCAAAGGAGGCTTGGGGGCATGTTAGTCGAAGTGTCTGGGAGTTGGAAATCATCAACCAGCTCAGAGAACATTGGAAAAAGAGCAGGCTTAGGGAGGAGGTGGTTAGGGGACTCTCAATTTGAGGGGGTCCTCGGTCATAGGCAGTAGCGAAGTTGGGTCCAAAACCCATATCTAACTCTTTCAGTTGAATATTCAACTCACATCAACTGAAAAGACAAGGAACAGAGTGTCGTACTGCTCCAATAAGTCTGTAAAATTTCATGTGTCTGCCTTTGATTTAAATTCTTGATTACCTCTCCTTCTGAGCTTAGTGTTCCAGGAACTGACTGATGGACATTTCCCAAGTGCACCCAAAGCTTCGGTTAAAACCAAACAGCATTAAAGTAAATTAAAGGGGTGGGCCCCATGGCTGAGTGGTTAAGTTCGCATGCTCCACTTTGGCGGCCCAGGGTTTCACCGGTATGGATCCTGGGCACAGACACGGCACCGCTCACCAAGCCACGCTGAGGTGGCGTCCCACATGCCACAACTGGAAGGACCCACAACTAAAAATACACAACTATGTACTGGGGAGCTTTGGGGAGAAGAAGGGGAAAAAAAGACTGGCAATAGATGTTAGCTCAGGTGCCAATCTTTAAAAAAATAAATAATTAAAATCAATTACAGAAGCCTTGATTAGTTAATTATTTGTGTATCATCAGAGAGAGTGGCAGAAGATGGTGACCAGCTCCCTCCAGAAGAGAGGGAATTACTTCAAAAGCTTTGAAGCAAAAGATGAAACAAAGAAAATGTCTTGCAGACGCACCTATATAAACATTCAATTATTGACAATAAAATAGACAAAGGGAAAAATATTGAAGCATTAATATCTAAAAATTATAATGCATGAACTACATTTTGAAGGAAAGCGTAATAAGTCCAATAGATAATGTACAAAGGAAACAGGCAATTCCACACAAAGGAAAGCATTCACATTTGCTAGTACTCAAAAAAATGCAAATTAAAGCAAGCATAGGTCCTATTTTAAAAGTACTAGCCACTGCTACTGATGTCATGAGAAAAACTAGACGGACCAGAGTACAATGAAGTATTTTCCAAAGAGCATTATGAGTAAAATTAGTCCAAAAAACAATCCAAAAGAGAGAGAAAAGATTAAAGTGGTCCAATAAGGTTAGGGAATCTGGCATGCTCTGCTTCCTGCTTCCCCCACATCCCCAGAGAGTCCCCACACACTTCAGGACACTCCAGGCTCTGAGCGACCTTGCAGGAAAGGAGTAAGTTGAGCCCAGGGTGGTTTCCCGAACTTGCCTCGGGAGAGAAGCCTTTCTGGGCACAACACCCATAAGCAACCTGCAGAACCACACACTCAGGAAAATCCTGGCACAGCGGTTAAAAATCACCAGGCCTCACAAGCCGCGCCTGGATGCAAATCCTGGCTCCTTTCCTGAACAACTGTGCTCAAGAGCTATCGTCCGCTCATCTGCCAAACGGGAACAGCACCTGCCCTGGAAGGTTGCTGGGGTAACAGGAATCGCACTTGGCCTGGCGACCAGCACACGGCAGCGCCATAAGCACTGACGCATTTACCTCCTGCTAATGCCAAGTTCCAGGGGAACGGTGTAGGAGCAGGCAGGGGGATCCTTACCACTTCGGCCTGCCGTCCTTCACAACTTCTTCCTCCTCTTCATCATCACTGAACTTCAGTTTCTCAGAATAGTCCACTTCCTCGTGGAGGCCTACAACAGGAGGAGGGCCAGGAAGAATGAGAAAAAATGAGCATCTCGACAGCGCTAACAGCACCACTGGGGGCTGCCTCCCGTCAGGCTTGATGCCAACCCAACTGGGGAGTAAGGCTAACCACCCAGCTGCCACTACAAAACAAACACTGCAGATAAAAGTGAAGGACAGTTCTGGCTTCCGGCAACAGCAATGCAGCTGGTTAGACTAACTCTCCCACAGACAACGGTTCTTAAATCTGGACAGGATATTCCTAAAATTTTTATTAGAAGGGGCAGGCGAGGGAGCAAAAGCAGGCAGAATCTATGAAGGAGTCTAGCTAGCAAGGAGGAAACTCAACCAGTGAGACTGCTGGCCACCATTCTGCCCCAGGGCACATTCCAACCCCTGGGGGAATCGGGCGGCACTATCACTGAGGAGTAGGTACACAACATGTAGGAGATCCAGACAACGGTACAGTTGGTGGCCAAAAAAATTAAAAAAAAGGATGAATACTGACACAGACTCTAATATGATAAATCTTGAAAACATGCTGGGAGAGGCCAGATACGAAAGGCCACACATCGTGTTGTGTAATTCCATTAATATGGATACAAATCCACAGAGACAGAAAGCAGACTAGTGGTTCCCAGAGGACATGTGCCGGGCGCAGGGGGTACAGGGGTCACTGGGAGTGACTGCTAATAGGTACAGGGTTTCTTTTGTGGGTGATGGAAATGTTCTGGAACTGGAGAGTGCAGATGGTTGCACAAACTTGTGAATGTACTAAACATCAATGAACTGGAGACTTTAAAAGAGTGAATTTTAGATTATACAAAAATCAGTTATGTGAATTAGATCTTTAAAAAACCAAACAACCAAAGCCCAATCCAACTAAAGGCAGAGCTGGACTGGATCAAAGAGCAAGTGCAGCTGTATGCCGTCTCACAGAACATCACTTTAAATATAAACACAGACGGTATAAGGGGAAAAGGGTGGAAAAAGACAAACCATGAAAACAGTGGACAATAAGTTAGAGCGAGGATCCGAACACAGGACAAAACGGACTCCAAGACCAGAAGCATCACTAGAGATACAGGACACTTGAACAGCACAAAGGGTCAGCATGTCACAGTCACAAACACTGTGAAGTGTACATGCCTAATAACAGCTTCAAAGTAAGTGAAGTAAAGACGGATAGAATTCAAGGGGGAAACTGACAAACCCACAATTACAGTGGAGAGGGTAGCACTCGCTGTCAGTAACCGATAGAACCAGACGAAAATATCAGGAAGCACCCACCGTCTGAACGACACTCCCAACCACCTCGACAAAGCTGCTGCTGACAGAACGTCACACCCAACGACCGTACAACACACATTTTTTTCAAATGCACTTGGAATGCTCACTGAGACAGACCATATCCTGTTCATAAAACAAGTCTCGGTAAGTTGAAAAGAACTGAAATCATACAGCACATGCTCTTGGGCTATAACGGAATTAGAAATCTAGAAATCTCTGATAATTAAAACGAACAAATCAACGAAACACAAAACAATCAATGGAGAAAATTAAAGGCAAAGTCTGCCTCTTTGTAAAGGCTAATAAAACCAGTAAGTCCTTGGTGGAAGTGACAAGAAAAAGAGAAAAAACACAAATTACCTAAGTATCAGGAATAAAAGAAGGAACATCACTACAGATTCCACAGATATCCAAAGGAAAAGGAGTGTTATCAACAACTTTACACCAAGAAATCGAACTCGAACAAATTCTTTCCAACGCAACTTATCAAAAACTGACACAAAATGACATAGGAAATACAAGCAGCCCCATCACTAATCAAAGAAATTAAATTTACCATCACAAATGTTTCCACAAAGAAAACTCCAGGGCCAAAATGTTGCATTGGTAAATTTTATCAATTTTTTAATCAATTTTTATTAAGCATTTATGAAAGAACTAATACCAATCTTATGGAAACTCTTTCACAAAGCAGAGAAGGAGGTGTCCTGTCCTGTCTATTTTCCAGCTCATCCTATGAGACCAGCATAACCCTAGTACCAAAATCCAAGAAAGATATTAAAAGAAAATTATAGACTAATATTCACCACGAACACAGACACTAAGAATCTTAATAGAGGCCGGCCTGGTGGCGCAGCGGTCAAGTGCGCACATTCTGCTTTGGCAGCCCAGGGTTTGCCAGTCCGGATCCCGGGTGTGTGGACATGGCACCGCTTGGCAAGCCATGCTGTGGCAGGCATCACACATATAAAGTAGAGGAAGATGGGCATGGATGTTAACTCAGGGCCAGTCTTCCTCAGCAAAAAGAGGAGGATTCGGGGCCGGCCCCATGGCCAAGTGGTTAAGTTCACACACTTCACTGCGGCGGCCCAGGGTTTTACCAGTTCAGATCCTGGGCGCAGACATGGCACCACTCATCAGGCCACACTGAGGCGGTGTCCCACATGCCACAACTGGAAGGACCTGCAACTAAGATATACAACTATGTACCGGGGGTTTTTGGGGCGATAAAGCAGAAAAAAAAAAAGAGGATTGGCAGTAGATGTTAGCTCAGGGCTAAGCTTCTTCTTCCAAAAAAGAAAAAGAATCTTAATAAAGTATCAGCAAATTGAATCTAGGCATACAAAAAAGGTGGCGTTTATTCTGGGAACGTGACATTGGTTAGCATTAAAAAAACAATCAATGAAACCATCAGATTACCAAAATAAAGAGGAAAAATTATACAACCACAAAGAAAGAAAAAGTATTTAACAAAAATTCAACATCCATTCCTGATTTAAAAAACAAAACATTCAGCAAACTAGAAAGAGAAGAGAACCTCCTCAATCTGATAAAGAGGTTCTCCAAAAACCTACAACTAACATCACATTTAATGTTGAAACACTAAACACTTTCTCCCTAGTACCAGAAACAAAGAACTCGAGCACAACATTGTACTGAATTACGACAGTGCAACACGGCAAGAAAAAGAAACAAAAGGCATATAATCTGAAAAGAAAGACAGGAAACTGTCCCTATTTACAGGTGACATGATGGTTTATGTAGAAAATTCTAAGAAGTCAACAGAAACGAGTGAAACCAATAAGCGCATTCAGCAAAGTGCTTGGTACAAGATCAATAGACAAAAATCAACTTTATTTCCACATAATAACATCAAACACTAAAAAATTAAACCATAAAAAAAAACAATGCCACTTAGCATCAAAAAACATAAAATACTGGGGCTGGCCCCGTGGCCGAGTGGTTAAGTTCGCGCGCTCCGCTGCAGGCGACCGAGTGTTTCGTTGGTTCGAATCCTGGGCGCGGACACGGCACTGCTCATCAAACCACGCTGAGGCAGCGTCCCATATGCCACAACTAGAAGGACCCACAACGAAGAATATACAACTATGTACTGGGGGGCTTTGGGGAAAAAAAGGAAAAAATAAAATCTTTAAAAAAAAAAAAAAACATAAAATACTTAAGAATAAACTTAACAAAAGATGTTCAAGACCTCTACCCTGAAAACTATAAAGGACTGCTGAGTGAAATCAAAGACCTAATAAAGACATTCATCAGCTTCCTGGATGGAAGATTCAAAATTAAGATGTCATGTATCCAGAAATATATTCAAACACAATCCTAACCACAATGCCCACAGGCTTTTTGTAAATACTGACAGGCTGATTCTAAATTTATACAGGAATGAAAGGAACTCAGAATAGTTAGAATCTTGAAAAAGAACAAAGTTGGAGAACTTGCACTCCCTGACTTTAAGACGTACTATAAAGCTACAGTGTGGTGTCGGATGAGGAAGAACACGCAGATCCAGAAACAGCCCCACCCTTATATGGTCAACTGATTTTTGGCAAAGGTGCCAAAGCAATTCAATAGCAGAAGGAAAGTTTTATCAACAAATGGTGCATTTCCAACAAATGGAAAAAAAATGAACCTCGACTCCTACCTTACCCCAAACACAAAAATTAATTCAATATGGATCACAGACCCAAAAATAAAGAATTAAAACTATTTAAAAACATAAAGGAATTTCTTCACCACCAAGGAGAGACAAAGATTTTTGACAGGACACAAAAGTAATAACCATAAAAAAACACAAATTTATAAATTAAACTTCACCAAAATCAAAAGTTTCTTACCAAAACACAGTGCTAAAAAAATGAAAAGACGGGGGGCCAGACCCCCGGCCAAGTCGTTAAGTTTGCGAGCTCCGCTGTGGCAGCCCAGGGTTTTGCCAGTTTGAATCCTGGGCGCGGACATGGCACTGCTTATCCCAGGCCATGCTGAGGTGGCATCCCACATGCCACAACTAGAAGGACCCACAACTAAAACCATACAACTACGTACCAGGGGGATTTGGGGAGAAAAAGGAAAAATAAAATCTTTAAAAAAAATGCAAAGACGGGGCCAGCCCTGTGGCCGAGTGCTGAAGTTCGCACGCTCTGCTTCAGTGGCCCAGGGTTTCACCGGTTTGGATCCTGGGCGCGGACATGGCACCGCTCGTCAGGCCATGCTGAGGCGGAGTCCCACATGCCATCACTAGAAGGACCCACAAGAGGAATATACAACTATGTACTGGGGGCATTTGGGGAGAAAAAGCAGGAAAAAAAAAAGAAGATTGGCAACAGTTGTTAGCTCGGGTGAAAATCTTTTAAAAAGAAAAAAGTGAAAAGACAAGGGAGGTACTGGGAAAAAATATTTGTGAAATATAAGCTGCAAAAGACTTGTATCCATGACTTACATTCTAACACTCACAACGAAAAAAAAAGATATACCAGTAGCCAAAGAGCACAAGAAAATGTGTTCATCATCGTTAGTCATCAGCAAAATGCAAATTAAATGAGATACCATTACACACCCACTACAATGGCTAAAATTAAAAAGACTAACACAGAAGTGTTGTGAAGACGCAGAGCAACCAAATTCTCACACCTTGCTGCTGGGAATGCAAAACAGCACAACCGCCACGGGAAAGGCTGGGGTGATTCTTACGAACCTAACCACGCACCCACCCTCTGACCCAACAATTCCACTCCTCGACATTTACTCAAGAGAAAGGAAAATGTCACTCATCATGGAACTTCCGAATAGATAAACAAATTACAGTATATTGATACAATGAAACATATTCCAGTAAGTAAAAGTGACTACTGATATATAACGACATTGTTCCATCTCGAAAACATTACCTGAGAGTAAACGCTGCATGACTGCATTCGTTGGTAGTTCTGCAACAGGCAGAACTAACCTACAGTAAGGTCACGAGACGAGGGGGAGGCCCTGGGCAGAGCTAGGGCTGGGGCCGACAGGATCCGGGGTGCTGCGGGAGGTTCTCTATCTTGATAAGGGGTGTGGCACACAAGTGATCCATTTGTCAAAATTGTACCAATAAGATATGTGCCTTTCAGTGTAATTAAAATCTACTTGAATACAAACAAAAAGAATTTTAAAAGAAAATAACAGGGTTGGGGCAAGGGTGAAGATAAATAAGAATGGCAGAACACTGTGTCCCTGGTGACGCTGGATGGTGGGGAGCTGGGGGTTCACTGTACTATTTTGTTTTAACCTTCCCATTATAAAAGCTCTTTTTTCAATAAAGTTAACAGCAAAATCACCCATAGCTCTAAGATCAAGACCAAAGACCAAAAAGAAGATGATGGCTCCATCAGGAAGCAACCACTGGTCTGACCACCAACGAGGATCCGAACTCAGGGCACAGAGGCTGCTCCCTGGCCCTGTCTTCATCCCAGCTTGCCGAGGGAAAACACGTTTGCGTCAGAGGGTTTTCAACGCTGGAGAGCGGAGACTGACTTCAGCCCTGCCTTCCTACACTGCAGTGATAAACCCATCAGGAGACACCATAACCCACCTGCCCAGCCATCATCAGCATCAGTGTCCAGATCATCAAGGCCCTTCAGGTTTTCCGCATTGATGATGGTGGGCCGTGGTGCCCGTTCCACCAGCTGCCTTAGTGGACGGATAGGGCGAGCCATTCCCAGTCTGTTTTCTTTTCTGATGAGGGAAAGAAGAGTAAAGATGCTGGACTCATGTCAAGTACACAGATGGAAGTAAAACCAAATACTTTTCCAAAAATAAGTTCTACATTGCAAAGGTTCTTGTTTGCATTTAATATTTACACATCATCTCCTTTTAAAAGAAATAGACAATGAACAAATACCTCCCAGAGAGAAGTTCTGCCTCATTCTCCTGTTTCATATGCTCAATGCAAATGCCTAGTAATAAGCACATGCCAAAACTTCAACTATGCCAGGAACCTGAAATTGTAACCCAATCTCTTGGGCAGCCCCAGATCCCAGCCATCCCACACACCCTGGGGTTTTGAGCTCATTTTTAGGTTCACTGTGGTCTCCAGAAGGCAAAGTACTTTCAAACATCAGCTTAGTATCTTGTCCAATATCACCACCAGGGGTAATCACTACATATGTGACTACAATGCAATAGCCTTACCCATCTTGGTCATTCATCTGGAACTGTCTAAAAGGAACACGGGGTTCAAGGCGGAGCTGGGGAAGGGGGAAAGATCCTCGTTCCACTGTACCCTGGTTCTCTGATGACTGTGGCGCACACATCTGAAACATAACACCAATGAACAGGATTTTCTGGTAATTCTAAGTTCCACTTACATTAGAATTTGTCTTGGAAAATAAAACACGGGAAAAAGAAACAGGAAAGTCTTGGGGTTTCCCAATTAATCCTACCACCATCTCCCCCATTTCTTTCCTGCTGTCAGTAAGTAAGTAAGGGACCTGTGTCTTGGGGAAGACCTGCCTCTCCTTTTTCTAAAGAACCAAGGCTAAAATAATATCCACATCACCAGGGAAAGAAGCCAGAGGCCCTTAAGATATGAAAAGGGGAGAGAAAATGCAAAACTAATGGGAACCTCCAGAGCAGGGTTTTCAAGGCAAAGAGTGAAACTGGGAGGGAGAAGCCAAGGTGGACATTCAACCATGTGAAGCAGGTTCCACTGGACATGAACAATCCGACTTCATGGGAAAAAAGGGGACACTCTGAAGACTTACAAAAGCAGGAAGCATGTCATGGTATGTAGGTGGGTGGTATACATTTCCCATGAACTGTGAAGCCCCTTTGCGGACAGGCTGAGCCGGGCGGAGAGAGGGGTCCTTAGAATCGCTGGTACATGCCGAGGAGGGGGCTCCGTCTCCTGCACTCGAGTTCCTGCTGCCCAGCTCAGTTGGGGAGGCGCTCAGAGACGTGGCAGAAATTATGTTTCGCCCACCGCCCTCCCTCCAGCTTGTCACATCTGGAAATTGAAAGGGGGCAAAAGGGGAGAGGAAAGAGGAGGGGGAGGAGGGATTGTATGAGGTTCTGAAGGTCAAGGGACCCCCTCATTCACCAAAAAAATAAAAAACAAAAAAAAACAAAAAGTGAAGAATCGAGTCAACTGGTCAAGTAGGTCAGGGAAAGTGGGGGGCAGACACCTGGCCAATGAGTATGAACTTGCTGAGGGAAGTCTGATCATAAGGGAATACAAAATGAGGTCCACTGAGAGAGAAGACAAGTGAAAACAAGACACAGTCTTCACTGATTAACAGAAACCACATCAGCCACAGATCTAATGCCCCCAAGAAATTAAGACAGCCCTGATGAATAGAGCCTTGCGTGCTTTATTCCAGAAATACTGACCTGGCCCCGTCAGGATCAGCACTGTGCCTGCGCGGACGTTTACATTAAAACCACTGAGTTCCCGACACACATTTTCAAACTCGGTTTAGCAGTGGCAGGGCTAGTCAAAGAGACTGCCCAGGTCATAAGACAAAGCAGAGCTGCCCCTACTCCAGTGGGGGTGTGGAGGGGCCTGAGGCCCAGCCCACCAGGCTTTTGCCCCCGCTTGCTGCTGCATACATCCCGTGGAGCCCTTCCACAGGTCATGATAAGAACCTGCCAACCTATCTGCCCATCTTTTCACAATGATGTTCTCCACTGCCAAACGCACACAAGATCTGGCAGAATTACAGGCCAGCAAGAAATCAGATGAGCCAAAAGACTCCTCTTTTGAGTCAACTTTTGGTTAGTGGTTGAAACATGAAAGGTCCCTAAGTATGTGACCCTTAGGAGAAAGAGACCCAGGATGGGAGCTACAAAATCCAGGTCTGCTCCCAGCTCTTCAACCACCTTGCGTGTGATCTCAGGCAAGCCCTGCGGTAACCCCTCTGGCCATCTGGGGCTTCTCGAAGGAGGATGGAATTGATCCCGGAAGCTTCTCCTAGTTTTAAATTTTTATAGTCCTACAAAGCAGCTCATCTTAATTAATCCCAGAAAGTTACAATTCTTGGCCTAAGGAATTTAATTACATATTTGGAGCAGACAAAATAACCCAGCTTAGGCTAGTGAAAAGCAGTATGTTTTATTAAAGAGTCACACAGTGATCATTTCATTTACAGGATATCAATTCTGACTCTGGAATACTTCAAGGATTAATCAAGACAAGCAAACAAAAATCCCTCCTATTTCAAGACCTGATCAAGCTCCCATGCCCCCTAAAAGAACAGGAGCCATTTCAGAATCCCCAGTTAGAACAGAGAGAATGTCTCATTCCCAAACAACACCCCAACCTCTGACCACCCAAGGCCACTAAGGAGAAAACATTACCAGCAAGTATCACAATACAATCCTGCGGACTCCTTGGCCAGACCCCAGATGAGGAGACCATGGAGACTGGCGCTGGGCCGGCTACATAACAATCCCCAGGGGAACGCGTTTAAAAAAAAGATTCTAATTTGGCTCGGGGAGAGAGCAGGCTGGGAATTAGACGTTTCAACAAATTCCCCAAGTGATTCTGATAGGATTCAGCTAAATTTAGGAATCACCGGTTTAGAAAACAAGCTCCCAAATCAGGAACCAAGGTAACTGGCCCTTGGCCCATCCATCCTTGCCATGACCACGCAGGCATATCAGAACTAACATACGACGACAGCTGGGAAGGCGCACAGGCCTGGCCCAACCAAAAAGACAAGAAATGACCTCCAGAGCAGCCTAGGAAAGAAGTTCAACAGATGCAGAGGTCAGGTGGAGGGTCAATAACCACTTCCCAGGCAGGAGCCTGGACTCAAGGAGCTCTGGCCCTTTGAGAACGAGCATACTTCTTCTAAGAGGGCAGAGAGAAGAAGGGAAATTCTGCTGTCCCACATGTGTGCAAGGTCACTTACTCTGTGGGCGGAGGCTTGGTCCTGGCCCATACGACAGATCTAAGACGCCCTTTTCTTTGCCAGCCTTGTCCTGCCCTCCAGCTGCTTTCAGCGTCGGAAATTCCTCGGGAGAGAAGGATAATAGTCGGCTTGAGCCCCTTAAACCTGCCAAGAAAACCAGGAAGACTTATGGAGCAAGGGAGATGGGCATCACCAGTTCTCTGCCCCACCGACTCCACGCACCGAAAGCCACAGCGCCCTGCAGCCGGCTCATTTTAAGTGCACCGTGCAGAGCAGCACAAGGGTTCCCCAAAGGTGACAAGGAGAGCTGGTCACAGACTACATCAGGCCCCCTGCCAGCTAACCTGCAGGAGCTGGTTACCAAGTGCACGGGGCAAGATTCACAGCTGCCCCAGCCCAGATCCTTCCCAGCTCCCAGAAGACGACAAAGAAGACAGTAAGGTCCTTCTGGCAGCCCCGGGGGGCAGACAAGAGCCGTCTTCCACAAAGTCAGCCCAAGGAAGTCAACCGTTTTCGTGTGGAGGTAATTGCCAACAGGTCACCCCTCGTGCCTCCCCAAAGGCCTCCATCCTAGATTTACACTCCTGAGTACCTCCTCATTGTCCGTTTCAGTTTACCACTTTCTACAAAGTTCCTCAAGCCCTACAAGACCAAACATTTTCCACTTGGAATCCTGGGACACTTGCTTTCTTTGTTCTTTCATTCATTCCCCAACACCATAACCTCCTTTAGAGAAGAAGCCTTTTTTTTTTTTGGGAAGATTAGCCCTGAGCTAACTACTGCCAATCCTCATCTTTTTGCTGAGGAAGACTGGCCCTGAGCTAACATCCATGCCCATCTTCCTCTACTTTATATGTGGGACACCTGCCACAGCATGGTTTTTGCCAAGTGGTGCCGTGTCTGCACCCGGGATCCGAACCCACAAACCCCGGGCTGCCGAGAAGCAGAACGTGCGCACTTAACCGCTGCGCCAGCGGGCCGGCCGTAAAGAAGCCTTTTCTTAACTTGCTCCTGTCACTCACAGCACGCAGCACAAAAAACCTGCACTCATCTTCTGGATGAATGGATAATGACAAATAATGCATTTTAGGGTCGAGAGTGGGATCTGGTCCTTTTAACTGGAATGCGCAGCACATCTCCAGCACCATATACACCTAGTAACAGGAAGATCACACAGCACAATGTCGGACTGTGATATGTCTTGCTCCCTAGACAGAAGAGCCAAATTTTTCTCTAGGCAGCATTCTTAGCACCACTGATTCACGGACCTGTAACCAAGGAAGACTTTGCCAGAAAGATGCAGTGGGATTAGTGTCGATGCACAACACAGCAATTCATTCACCATCCCACTTAGTAAAAAGGTCTAGGGTCAAACAAAGCTGCCAGAGTAATCAATGGACACATTATTCACCAATGATCAACCTGAGAGACAATTTCCAAGTGTCAGGAAGGGGCTCTACTGCTCTGTGAAGGGGGACTTTGACGCATCATATAGTCACTTCATTATGCTAAAAGGTCACTGGCAAGAATGAAATACCGAAGTCACACTTCAAAAGTATGGTAGATTAGGGGGCCAGCCCCGTGGCCGAGTGGTTGAGTTCGCACGCTCCACTTCAGGGGCCCAGGGTTTCTCCGGGTCGGATCCTGGGTGTGGACATGGCACCGCTCCTCAGGACATGCTGAGGCGGCGTCCCACATAGCACAGCCAGAAAGACCTACAACTAGCATATATAACCATGTACTGGGGGCTTTGAGGAGAAAAAGAAGGAAAAAAAATATGGGCAATAGATGTTAGCTCAGGTGCCAACCTTAAAAAAGAAAAAAGTAGGGTAGATATTGGAAGTTTAAAGAAAAATGTCCAGTACTTTTTTTCTGCCTCAACAGTCATGAAGGTATTATTCTAAGTATGAATTAAACTTACCCTCCACGGATTACAAGGATAAAGGGTAAAACTCAAAATCTCAAGCCAAAGCAGCCGTGTTCCTAAGGTCTCAATGCTCCGTCATGTTCGCCCACCAATCTCCCATACCATGTGTTCTCCGCCATGAGAAAGTGACACAGTAAAATCAGGGAGCTTCTTCCCAGGGCCCAGATCAAGCCATTGGTGGTGCTGCTAGCACCAGAGCCCATGAGACGTGAGCCTCTGCCCGAACCACAGAATCGGGCCTCCTGGGTCTGTTCCAGGTGAAACAGACCGATGGAACATCTTCCAAATGGAGAGTCTATCAACTCTGCGAGAGTCCTTTTGATGCCAAAGAGTCATGAAAATGTTTGTGGGCAACACCCCCAAGTCCTCAGAGCCCTGATGGCACCACAGACTTGCGCCTCTGGCACAAGGGGAGGAACCAGAGCCTGATGCCCACTGCAGCCCCACCTGGGCCCGGGGAGAGTGCGTTCTCTCCTCTTGGGATCCTGGGTTCTGCCATCTCCCAGGTGAGCTATCACATGTTTACAGAGCATTTTACTGTGTTTCAGAATTGTTTTCTAAATGCTCTTACTTTTTGCTAAGTAATACAATCACAAGGTCCAAAAGAAAGAAGCCATGAAGAGCTTTCCTCCCATCCTTGTGCCGCATCGGCCCACTTCTAATGCCCTCAAAAAACAGGGCCTTTCCTGGTTGCTTCCCTCCTCCTTTCATGTGTTCCCTTCCAGAGATTTTTTAATGCATATACAACATTTTTCAGAAGTGGATTCTCCCTCATCCCAATTTTCTGCATGAATGGTAACATACTCTATACATTATTCTGTACTTTTTTTCATTTACAAATGTGTCCTGGAGATCTTGCCATTATCAGGAGAAAACTGCTTTTTTTCCTTAGAGCCAAAAAGTATTTCATTAAAGTACCATAATTTGTTGGATATTTCAAGCGATTGTTTCCAATCTTTTACTAGCACAATGTTGTAACCAATGATCTGGTATGTATGTCATTTCATACACAGGCAAGTGTAATTTACAGAGTGATTTCCTCAAAGTGGAACTGCTAGATCAAAGAGTCTAAGTGTTAATATTTTGAGAGGGAGTCCCAAACTGTCCTCCACAGCGGTTGTGTCCATTTACACTAGCTTTTTTTGAATCTTTGTCTTTTTTTTTTTTTGCAGGGGAAGATTTGCCCTAAGCTAACATCTATTGCTAATCTTCCTCCTTTTTCCCTCCTTTTCCCCTGCCAAAGCCCCAGTACACAGTTGTGTATAGCTGTAAGTTCATTCTTCTATGTGAGCCCCCGTGACAGCACTGCTGCTGACATACAAGTGGTACGGTTCCATGCCCAGGAACCAAACCTGGGCCACCAAAATGGAGCACAGTGAATATTAACCATTATGCCATCAGGGCTGGCTTTGTAATTCTTTTTAAATAAAAATTAATACATTTAATTAAAATTCTAACTTTACAGGGGTTGGCACTGTGGCATACAAGTTTGGCACACTCTGCTTCGGCAGCCCAGATTTGCAGGTTTGGATCCCAGGTGTGGACTAGTACCACTCGTCAGCCACACTGTGGCAGCGACCCACATATACAGTGGAGCAAGAGTGGCACAGATGTTAGCTCAGGGCTAATCTTCCTCAGCAAAAAAAATAAATAAATAACCTAACTTTACAGAAAGATAAGCTGTAGAGAGCCAAAGAAGCACTGTCAACAGTTCAGCGAGTGCTTTTTTTTTCCCCCAAGACTGGCACCTGAGCTAACAACTGTTGCCAATCTTTTTTTTTTTTTTTCTGCTTTATCTCCCCAAATCCCCCCAGTACATAGTTGTATATCTTAGTTAGAAGTCCTTCTAGTTGTGGCATGTGGGACGCCGCCTCAGCATGGCCTGACCAGTGGTGCCATGTCCGTGCCCAGGATCTGAACTGTCCAAACCCTGGGCCGCCGCAGCAGAGCATGCGAACTTAACCACTTGGCCGCGGGGCCAGCCCCTGTGAGTGCTCTTTAAAGACTTGATTCTAGGGTTGCTTGTCACTGCCTCTCCCTATCCCTCTTGCTCCCTCCACTTCACCCTCTGGGGACTCCAGCATCCGTAAACCTCTCCTATCGACAAGGCCCAAGCTTCCCCTGCCTGTTGTGACATCAGGAGCGCCTGGGCTCTGCCCACAGCTCCAGTGGCACATTGACTGATATGCCGTTCCCCACAGGAGACTGAGGGGAACGTCCTCAACCACACAGTGGTCCCAACCCAGAGGGGCACTGGGGTCCTGGTGGGCCGGGGAGGGTGGATACGGAAGGCTAGACGTCTAGCTGTTTTCTAATATAAGCTACACAAAGTAAAGTCTGGCAAAGCCTTGGCTGGCAGGGACAAGCAGAAGGCAGAGGGCGATGCCAGGGCAGGGGGTAAAAAAGGCAGCCAGTGCTGCTTACAGAAGCAGGAGCAACTGTGGGTTAACCACTCACACCACTGCCCCTCACCTTCCAGCTCTGAGGCACCTCGTTTGGTCTGCACAGTGGGTTAGAAACATTTAAGCTAACATTGAAAAATTAGAAGAGTTCACATAAAAAAATCTGGATTTTTGGTTTCTCTCAAAAATGCCCCTGACCCTGGGCCCGCCTTTCAGAGGGCTCCAGTCACTGGAGGGGAGCCTGGTTACCCTCTGCTCACGCCCCACCCTCACCCCAAAGGATTCTGGGCCTGCCTTGGAAGCCATTTGAATTTGTTGTTCACAATTCATTTAAAACTCTGACCCATTCCCTTGGGCTCACCTCTCCCATCACCTACCTCATCACACCGAACTAGCATGGCAGCAGCTCAGCCGACCACACTTCCTGAGCACTTCCTGAGGGTCAGGCAGGCACCAAAGGTGACAAATACCACACAACCCTCTCAACGCTCTGGTGTTCCGGTCCCCCAGCAGGCAGCTCAGGTGCCTGGGCTGGCTTCTTTATAAACCATGCTAAAGTTAGCAGACCGCGCAGCACCTCCTCCTTGCGGTCCCAGGAGAGGAGGCAGATGTGTGCGGCAACACTGCTGAGCAGGTATTAACTCCATCAGCAGCACAGCCGAACTAAACAGCAGCAGGGCCAGCTGCCCAGGTCTCTGTACGCCTCAGGAGGAACGTCTTTAGCAATAACACTGAATGAAATCAAAGAGTCGACAAACTTCCCAGAATCAGCGCTTCCCCTACAGGGGCAATGGCAAGGGCTCCACAGAGCAGTCTCTCTCTCAGGGAAGAGAGTCCACAAAGACTGCCTAGACCCTACCAGAACAGTCTAGAAAGGTCCTCATCCCTCCTAAACCCCCACCCCAACGCCACACGCACACACTTACCACCTTCGTGTCCTACTGGCTTTCCATTCAGCTGTGCCCATGACTTTGGTCCACCTGGCGCTGAATTTGTATTCTGAAAGAAGGAAGAAAATTAGAAGAGAGCCAGCCCAATCGGTCTGCAGTCCATCACTGAGCAAGTTAAACTAAGGTGCCCACAGGCCCGCACCTTAGGTTCAAATCCCACACCAATATATCCACTACCACCTGCTGAGCAGCATCTAACCACGTGAGCTTCCCACTGCAGATCCCACTGGGTCCAGCAGCCGAGGAGTCAGCAGCTGGCCAGCCCACGTTACAGATGAGGGGAAGTGACCAGCTCAGAGTCACACAGCTGGTTATATAACAAAGCCAGGACTCAAACCCATATCTGCTCCAGAATATTCTGTCAAGTTGCCTCTCCTGCCCACACAGAGCTACTCTGTCTTGCTCCAGAGACAAAAAAACAAACCCAATTCTAGCATGTGTCTCAAAAACTGTGTGCCACTGCTAACAGAGGCGTGCAAACATGGGAAAGCCAACACGCCTGATCTTTCATTGGATAGACCACCACACCACTTTCCATAATTACAGTCACGTGTTGCTTAATGATGGAGACACGTTCTGAGAAATGCCAGGCGATTTTGCCATGCAAACATCAGAGTGCACTTACACAAACCTAGATGGTATAGCCCACTACACACCTAGGCTGTATGGTACTAATCTTATGGGACCACCACCATATATACAGTCCGTCGTTGACTGAAACGTTGTGATACGGTGTATGACTGTACTGTCGTTCTACAAGGCACAACTCCCCAGGCGAGACGCCTTCCCCTCCACTCATCTAGACTGCCTGGCCTGGACTCCAGTCCTCCTGGCTGAGCTCTGCTGAAAGCTCACTAGGGGCTGGGCATGCTCTGCCTGACCAAGTCCTCCCACACCATGGGACGGTTCTAGTCGTATCTCGACTGAGGCTCAGGAAGGAGTGACTAGTCCCAACTACAACAGCAAGACCAGGACTTGTCCCCACTCTACCTGCATCCAAAGCCCCTCTGGGTCCCCAGTCTCTGAGCTCACCTGCCTTTCTCAACAACATTCAACTTAGCCTTCCCCTTCTAACTGAAATGAAGATACAGAAAACAAGCCTGATGCAGCATGAAGCTTCATCCCCTATCGGATCAGATACCAGATTAAATAATTATTCTTTCCTAACCACATCTAGCCCCCTTGCCACCACCACTAAACACACTCAAGGCAGATGGCTGCTCTCTTGCCTTCAACGCAGAGCTGACCAGGTCTAACGGTCCATTTATTTATCAGGAGTTGCCCTGAGTGATTGACACGGGTGGCCTGAAATGCCCACGGGTCTCCCCAACACAGACCATAGAAAAGATGTGTCAGCAACATAAGGGGACAGTACAGCTGGGGTTGGACAGTGCCTCAGGGAGGAGGGAGCCTCAGAGCCTGCAGGAAGCAGAGGGCACCAGGGCCAACCCACAGCCTCCCACTTGCTGTCTGCAGCCCAAGGAACGCCACCCCGCCCTCATCCACCAAAGGCGCTGAACTGGAAGAGAAGGCCTACAGGACCAAGGAGGGGTACCAACACCGCTGGCAATCTTCCCCCCAAGAGTAAAACTGCTGTCATCTCTCTGGGGTGAGGTTTGAGAAGGTGGAAAACACTGGGAGCCCCTTCTCCCCACCTCTGCACATGAGAAAAAACTAGGGAACAGCCAAGAAGGCTGAACACTGGGCCAAGTGACCTGTGTGCTGGCTCCAGGATGGGGCGTCAACCCTGACTACACACAGTTCCCTCGGCATTTATTTTCAACAGATGCCCAGGACTGTACTCAGGCCCCAGCTCAGACTCTCCAGTGGTGGGGTACAGGCAGATGTATGTGTTTTCACAGGTTCCAAAGGTGAGTGGATGTACAGCCAGGGTACAAATAGTTTCAAATTCTGGGAAACAGATACAAACTCATCTCCACGTCCTCTGACTGGTTAACAGGCCCAAGTGGATTTAGGCCAATGAATACGGAGTCTCACATGAATATGGATTTTTTTTCCTTTTTCTTAAATTTCAAAAGCACAGTTCAGTGTTGGGGAGGAGGGGTGCTCTTCTGGCAAACTGGCATCCCCCACAGATGGGGGATGGCATCTCTGATCTCCTATTGCTCAGGGAGCAACAAAAACTAAAATAAACAGTAATTCAAGTTGTCTTCAAGAGAGCAGGTGAATGCTAGGTATCTACATCTCGATTTCTTTTTGTCTTCTAAAAGATTCCCAGACCTCTCATCTAGATTTCTAGCTCCAGCTAAGGACACCCTCCTGTAGGTCTCTGTAACCCACAGACTCCGAGGGACTGAGGCTATTACCAGCTTTGCTTAGTTAAATCATGACCTTCTGCTTAGAAAAGCATTTTAAATATATCAACAAATAAAGGATTACAGCTCAGTACTTCCCAAAGTGTGTTCTGAGAGAACAAGACCCTAGACACATTCAGTTAAAAAGACTTCCTAGGACAAATGAATTTGGGGAATGCTGTTGCTTGTGTCCTGTTCTTAGAGTCACAGGACACACTAGCATATTAAAGACACTGAGAAGTCTAACAGTAAAGGAGCTTGCTCAAGTCTGTTTTTCAAACTCACCTGACTACTGACCCTTTCTGTGGCCACACTTTTTGTCTTCGTATGGCACTAGTTTCCAGGGAGCACATCCGGGGGAACCCTGGTCTGGCCTGTAGCTGGCCTGAGTGACCTCACCTCAAGGTAAGTCAACAGGAATCAAACTAGGTGTCTGTATTCTAGTCTATATTTGGGGTCTTTTTCGAAAAGTTGCAGATTAAAATCGCTCTTCAGTGACTACGACAATGTCTATGCTCATTTCCCAAAGTCACCCAACAGGTTTGCCTCTAGGAATAAGCAGGTCACGCAAAGCCACCCTTCCCAGTGACGGCTCCTACCAGTCCCCAACAACAGAAGCATTTAGGCGCTCTGACGCCTGGGCCACAGTCAGGACGGGGCCCCCAGCACCTACCTCCTGACTGATTGACTGTGTCGGTTTCTGTAAATTGGAGACAGATTTCTGCAAACCCGGCTGCGGCAGCGACTCCGGCGGCTGAGAGGCCGTCGCACTGGAACTAGACAAAGGCAGGACAGAGTGGAGATTAGATAAGACACAGGCCATGCAGACAAGGTCCCTCTGCATTTCCGAGAGCCACAGCTGCTCAGCTGCTCACTGCGGGCAAAACTTCTTCTGACCAACACAAATAAGACCTTCCCCAGTGGACTCTCACGCTGGCAAAGACAAGGAGAACTGATCCAGGCTTGAGGTCTCCTCGCTGACATCTGACAGGACAGACAGTCCTCTGCCTTCTTGCAGAGTCTTCTGTTTGCAAAGACCAAAAGCTCACTGTAAACACTGAAGTGATGGAGGATTTGCCAAAGGGGAAACTGAGTCACTGCACAGAAGGGGCTCTGAGTCCCTCACTCCTGACCAGCAGCTCACAGCTACGCAGGGGGCTGGATGCCTTGAACCAGGAGCAGATGTTTTTACTTTCTCCTGGCTTATAAAGAAATATATGCTCAAAGTAAAACTAAGTTTATAAATATATATAACACAGAATTCATCATCTCCAAAGAGAAAGTCCAAGCAGATTCTTCTATATATATTAAAATAGTATATTTTTAACACAAATAGAATAACACTATATACACCATTCCAGAACTTGTCTTTTACTTAACATATTTAACACCTTTTCATGACAACACATATGAATCTACCCCTTTAACGACACAGTACAACTGGGTGGGCCATAATTGACCAATCTCCAATTTTTTTTCTGTTATAGATAAAACTGCAATGAATATTTCTGTATAAATATCTTTGCACACTTTTGGATTACTAATTCAGTAGTGTTTCAGTTCTTGGAAATAACATTGTTGGATCAAAAGATGTTCTGGGGCCGGCCCCATGGCCGAGTGGTTGAGTTCGCGCACTCTGCTTCGGCGGCCAGGGTTTTGCCAGCTTGAATCCTGGGCACGGACATGGCATCGCTCATCAGGCCATGCTGAGACGGCATCCCACATGCCACAAGTGGAAGGACCCACAACTAAAAATATACAACTATGTACTGGGGGTCTTTGGGAGAAAAAGGAAAAATAAAATATTTAAAAATAAACAAACTAATAAATTAAAAAAGATGCCAAACTGCTGTCCAAAAAATGTTGTGTCAGTCAATTTACACTTCACAGGTAATCTTTTGAGAAAGCAACAAGAAAGGATTCTGAAGGAAGGTTTCGGCTGACTCAGCAGCTTTCTGGCCACTCTTTCCATTCAACCTTCCACCCAGTGAGAATCAAGGAGGACAGCGATCCACTTGGCCAATTTCGGTGGCTCATTTGTAAGCTGAAGCCAAATTCCACACACACATCCTCTTCCGAGGCTTACTTAACCCAAGTAACTCACTGTTCACATTCACGATCATTACAAAACAAAGGCCACTGACGCTCCCTTCACATCACCTCTGCCTAAAATGGAAGCTTCCAGGTAGTGTCACTTTTGTGTTCTCCAAACCTAAGCAACAAGTCCCAGCAGTTAGGGGCCCCCACTCCAACACATCCCTCATACCCCGCCGGAGGGCGTGGCCCAGGGCAGCAGAGAACCAGCCCCTGGGGTGTGCTGCCCTCTCCAACACTCACTCTTACCTCTTCCCTGGCAGACGTGCAGCACGACTGGCCTCATTAAAGCTGCCTGATACTTTCTATGCCGATGCTGAGTAAAACTGCATAAGAGGAAGGAGCAATGCTTTGTCTTCTCTCTCAAGAATTTGATAGCAGAGGCATTTCAATGCTTACATTGAAATGTGTAATATCGGTTTCCTTAAGAGTTCGTAGTGTTTACCATTTGAATAGAATGATGACAATAATGGCTGACATCTTCCAGGCACTTCCTCCATGCCAGGCCCTGTGCTAAGTACTTGACTCGTGCTATCTCAGCTATTTCCTGTAACCACCCCCAGGAGCCAGCTGTTACTTCTACTTCACAGGAGGATGTAGAAGTTCAAAGTCAGATAATTCTCCAGCTTCCATAAAACTAATAAATGGCCTGGCTGGAAATCACGTACATGTCTGTCTGATTCCAAAAGTCATGCTAAACAATCAACCAGTATGATCCCTAAGCAAACAGAAAATTTTTACAACAGCTTTAAGACTCGACTCCGATTACTACTACTACATGATCATCTGCCTGAATTACCTGCTGTCTACATCCTGTCTGAAGCAACCACAGGGAAGTTTTACAAAAGCTACTGCGGCCACTTCCAATGAAAATAGAACACTGGTTCACCTTTCCTTTCTGGATCCCGAGTCTCAGCAGCCAGACCACGAGGGATGCAGGACAAGAAGGTGCACGAGAGTGGGTTGTTGTGTTTTCATTCCCCAACAGGCAACCCCAGCAGCGGGTTTCTGCCTGCAGCCTTAGCAAGGCCCTGTCCCTCGCTAGACCCCTCCCAGCACAAATCCTCTTTCCTCAACACTGGCTGGAACCCAGTCAGAGAAGATGACTGAAGGCTCAGAGGTCAGAGGGAATCGCACAGGCTGTGTGCCCCGGGCACGAGTGGAACAGAACCGGCCTCGTGCTTTCAGCTCCACCACGCAGGAGCAGCCACAACAGTTGCTCTGTTTCTCTAATGATGATTTTTGTGCCAGACCCTGGGCCTCTGAAGGCTTCCTAAGTGCTGTGCTGGCAGAGGGGTGAGCCTCAGGGAGGCTGCGTACTGACTCCGGGTAACAAGGATTCTGGGCCGTTCTCCTTCGTAACTGGGTCTGTTTGGAGCAACTGTAGCAGTCTGCGTGGGAAGCTCCTCAGCCCACAGTGGGGAAGGCTGCCTTCTCAACCTGGAGCCCAGCACACACAGACCACCACCAGAATCAAGGGTCCAAGACCAGCTCTGTCCACAGTTATTGCATAAGCTCCTCCAGGGTGATGATGCCTTTCCTAATAAGGCACAGGGGACACTGGTCTCTGGGGACAAGGCAGCCCACAGAAACACTGCAGCATCAGCTCTAAAAGCCACACAAAATGAAGGCAGGGAGCAAGAAACAACTCAGCAGCAGCAGGAGTGGGGCGAAAGCTTCCTCTGGTATCGCCCCAGTTCTCCAACTCTGCCGCTGCGAGGCTCCCGCCCGCCCCGCCGCCCTCACCTCTTTGGGTCTTGCTGATCCTGCTTGTTTGCCCATCCCGTTCCGTCCTTGGGTACTATCACGATGTTGGGGTCGTTTCCTTTGTTTTCAGACTTCAAGCTTGGCAAGTTTGCAGGTGGTGGCATACGCCGGGCTGTGGCAACTTTCCCGAGACTCTGTAAGCCATGTCTAGGAATAACTGTAGGAAGACAGGGGTGGAAACAGATGTGGCACAGGAAAGTCACAGAAGGAAACAGGCTGGATTCGTTCAGCCGCTCTTTCAAACTCTGAGTGACAACAACAAAGGCAGCCGAACACAAACAAGGAGCAGACCCGCCGCGGAAACAAACGAGAAGAGTTTGGTGGTCACTCCACAAGCTCTTCACCGAGGACCTAGGAGACACGGGAGCCGCTGCGATCTGTGCAGAGGCTTCCATTTTACCAGCGGGCAGGAGAGGGCTCAGAGAGTTTACAACATGGGTGAGGAGCCAGGCCAGAAACCTCCATCCCACACAGCACCCCCCTCTCTGCAAGCTGAGACTGCTCTGACCTCACTGCAGCAGCACTGAAAGGACAGCCTCTGTCTGGACCCGAGCCAAGCCTGAGCCGCGCCCCGACATTTATCAAATCCTCACAGGGTGTGGAGAGTATCAACAGGAACTTTTCCCACCAAATTCCAGAAGACTGGAACCATGAAATCTAAAAAGAGTAACTCTGATGCAAATTAAGTTCCATTCTACTCATCAAGCTAAAAATACCCACGGCTTCAATAAAACAAGTGAGACAGAGAAATAATCCCACTGCAGCAGTCAGGATACTGCAGGCTCGGAACAGAAGCAGGGGGTTCTGCTTCCTCAGAACTACTGGGTGACCACTACCTACCCAGAAGATGGGTGTGCATGGACCCCATCCGCCTAACGAGACGGGGGCTGCGGGTCTTCACAGGCCTTCACCAAGAGGTTCTCACTGAAGGGAAAGTGTAAAGAACTGGCCTTCATGCTTGGTTCTTACCTGAGGACCTGATCGCGTCTACTGATTTTCCTTTATACTTATCAAACAGGCTGAGAGTCGAATACTTGCTTTTCCCATCCTTGCCCTTGGTTATTTGCCCCAAACGATCGGACATTGCGATGAAATGTCATCTAGTAAGGAAATTTTTCTCGGCACCGCTCCCAATCTGCCTTTGAAATGGAAAAAGAAAAAGTGTTAATGCACCAGAACCTCTGACCCAGTGGATTGAATCCTTCAGCGTGGGTCTCCTTGAAGATCTGAAGAAAGTTTTGGAATCTGTCCCTAGGAAAATGCCCTTAGCACGCAGAGGCAGTTGTGCACACATTTAAAGAGCATTGTGCAGATAGCCCCAGCCCCAAGCGTTAAGAACTCTCCCCATGTGAATCACTGGGACCCACCGCTCACCAACTACATAGAAACATAAACTTTTCACACACGCAGTCCTCTTTCTAAGTCAAGGACAGCTCTTCAAGATGGAAAAGTAAATGTTCATCACTTGCAGTACACGCACCAAAAGTAAGGCAGGCATAACAGGGGAGGTCCACAACCCACTTACACAAGGCTGCTCATTTCAAGGACGAGCAAAAGCAAATCAAAGGGAGCAACCAAGGCCAGTAAATGATTCGGGAACAGTCGGGTGCCCACACTTTTCAAAATAAAAGAACCAGCATCCAGAGAGAAAACACCTGCTTGGGCAACGAGGGCAGGGCTCTCTGAGGTGCAGACGTGGAAAACAGAAAGCAAGTGCTCCCCAGGGAAAGCCCACATGGGGCTGCACCGCCAATATGTGCTCCCCCGACTTACAGAAAATCTTGAAAAGACCACCAAGAAAGAAGCTTCTTCCCTGTGCCACTTTCTAATTTTCTACAGGTATCTACGAGTCCGTCAGCACTTTCCTCATGAGTTCATTCATCTACTCACTCACTCATTCATCTGAATACTTAGTGAATACAGGTCAGTGAGTACTCTGGGCCAGTGCCTTTTCTTACGCTCAACCTCGGCTACAGGTTCTAAACTTGATCACGAAAAAGAAAAACTTGTCTGAGTAACCAGTATTTCTCACTGGAATTAACGTATGGAAAAGAAAGCTAAAGCATCGATTTACACATATTGATAATGTGTCTTTAATGACAAAATGGAGATAACTGTAAAAACATCCACTAACAAAAGGCCTCAGTGGTAGCTGCAGCAGTAAGGTCTGCCATTTCACCCTCTTCTGAAGCCACACAGGCCAGAAGGCACACATCAAGTGTGCTGGGGAAGCATTTTGCACACCCAAAGACAATTTTAAAACTCTATATATTATGCTCCAAGAGCACAGAGAACAAAGATCAGTTACAAACTGAGGCCCAAAAAAAGCAGAACAGGAGATGCTGACAGCACACCCCTCCACGCAGCCCAAGCCCTGCGCCGTGCCAAACGTGTACAAAGCCTGCTCTCATACAACACAAGGTACATCCAGCTTTCATTCATTTCACACATCTTGACTGATATCCAAGATCTGCCAGTCAGCACCTCAGGCGCAGGAACAGATAAGCACGCAATTCGTATCAGGAAACGGTCATGAAGAATGCACGGAGATGGAGGCCAACGGGTGAGCCTTGCGAGTGGGATACATAAGTGCAGGGGTCACCTCCCAGGTGGTCACCTCTTCTTCAGGGAAATGCTCCGCTCCTCACCACACCATTTCAGCCACCCTAGTTGGATACTTAACTCCCTTCCTCATCCGGATCCCAGTTAAGTCAGCTCCCGCCTAGGAAGGAGGCTCGCGTTCAGTGGCCAAGCTCCAGGAAGCTAAATGAACCAGAGCGTGCCCGCACGATGAAGCGACAGACCGGCAGAAACCCTCACAAGGGCTCACTGTTCCCAAGGTTACTCGATGCCAGCAGCACCCCCCAGGGTCTGTCCCATGTGCCAGGAGCAAAGGACAGTAATGACCACGGATGGGAATCAGACAAGTGTCCAAATCCTGACTTGGGTGCCCAAAGGTCTACAACACACCCCTTTCTCTTTAAAGCCCCCTCCGAGCAGCCGGCTGCAGGAAGTTTCTGCCCCACCCCAACAGTCGTCACTAATTACAGCTTCCTTCCCGCCGGCAGGACTGCAGCCCCTAGGACTGCAGCCCCTCCCGGCAGGACTGCAGCCCCTCCGGGACAGGAACTGGATCTCACCTGGGTCACAGTGACTGGCATTTAACAGGCTCTCAGATGTGCAACAACTTGAAATTCTCCATTAAGTCTAATTTTTAGACATTTCTGTCAAATCAAACCAACAGAAAACACCACTTGGGTAGGAACCCTAAGCCCCCCCACTACTCACACACAGGCACACACACACTCACTATACTATTAGTAAAGCCCTTGAGAATGCCACCATGGTGACGGCCACCAGCGGCCCCTGCCTCATAGAGCTGACAGTTTAAAACAGGGGTCAGCAAACAGTGGTCGGCCCCCCAATGGCTTGTTTCCCTAAGGCCCTCAAGCTAAGGACGATTTTTCTTTTTCTTTTTCTTTTTTTTTTTTTTTTTTTTACAACTTCTGTATTTGTTTAAAAAAAAAACAAAGAAAATGCCACACGCAGTTTGCTGACTCAAGGTCTAAAAGGAAAAGCCCCAAAGAAGCACTTTCAAAGGTCTCCAGGTGGGAAACAGACGGGCAGCCTGAGAGGACCGTGCCGAGGCCTCGCAGCTCAAGCAGGGGTCTGCGTGGGGCCCGTGACAAGGTGGAGGGACAAACGTGTCCTTTATTCACTCGGAGACTGTCGGGGAGAGGAAATCCCCCCTTCTAGCCTTGTGTTCTCATGGGTCGACCAATAATAAAATTGACACAAGACCAGATTAAGAAGAGAAAACCCAATTTAATATGTACGTATTGAAGATCAGAGAGAAGTGATGCTCCCAGAGTGAACACAGCACGCAGTACATACATCTTTCTACACAAAGAAACACTAAACTTGTGAGGAATGACAGGACAAAGAAACTTGGGTTTGAGGTATGTAATTAGTGAGAATTTCAACCGAGTTCAGGCAGCAGAGCAGCACAGCTTCCTCACACAGCTTCTCGGGCCCAAATCCCCAGCTCTGGAGAGGACGCGAGGAGAGCCCCTCTCACACGGGGGATCTGTTTCCTGCTTTCAGGGGGACAGAGACAGGAGGTGCAAGATGCCCTTTTTGTTTCTCAGGTAACTTTATTTCAACGTAATCTGGATACCAGTGTGGGATATTTTCGGGTGGCTGCCCTGGGCCCCAACGAGACTATTCCGCAGACTATGGTGGGATCCTATCTATTTAGCGCTCTTTTTACAAACTCTGTGGCATGCTGAGTAACAAAGATGCTGACGTCCCAATGCCCAGCACCTGTGACTATATACGGGCAGAAGGGATCCTGCAGGTGTGATTAAATTAAGGATCTTGAGATGGGGAGATGATCCTTGATTATGTACGTGGGCCTAATGTCATCACAAGGGTCCTGAGAAGAGGAAGGCAGGAGGGTCAGAGTCAGAGAGGTGTGACAACAGTGGCAGAGGTTGGAGTGATACTCTTTGAAGGTGGAAGAGGCCATGAGCAAAGGAATGTAGGCGCCTCTAGAAACTGGAAATGGCAAGGAGACAGAGTCTCCCTCTAGAGCCTCCAAGAGGAGTGCAGCCCTGCCGACAACTTGATTTTAGCCCAGTAAGACGCGTTTCTGACTTCTGACCTCCAGAAGTGTAAGAGAATAAATTTGTTTTAAGCCACTAAATATGTAACTTGTAACTACAAAATACAAAACTAACACATTTATTCAACACACCGATTAGGCACCACCCTGCACTGAGCCGGGTCTGGGATATAGCAGAGGGTCAGGTGGACACAACCCCCAGCGAACGTCCAGCCTACAGACAGGACAGGACAGGACCCACCACAGAGCTAATTACACGAAGTGCATTCCAGAATCTTTCACGGCCGTACAGTGATGAAAAACGCTAATGTGCAGCTCCATCTCTGCTGTCCCCGACCACAGCTGTCACCTGACCCCTGAATCCACCAACATCTCTGAAGGAAACCAGCGGTGCCTCCTTCCCAGCCACACACACACTTACCGAGACACATACACACACACACACACACTTTGCAGGATTACAGATTTAGCATGGTTAATCTAAATTCAGATAACTAGTTCTTACTAAATTAAAAACCACATCGACAAAGGCAAGAGAAGGAAAAATTATTTACCAGCCACTCTGGGCCATTAATTTTCCACATTAAATCTTAACATGCTTGTTTTTAAGATCAAATGTCTTTTAGTTCTGAAACTTGACCAGAAAATACTTGTTTCTATAGATATTGCTAAAAAGTGTTCTTAAAATCTGTTAGTCCAAACTTCTGCCAGTTCACTGATACAAACAGATCTTTCTTTGATTCGGCACCGCCCAGAGCCTGAGGGCAAAGGTAACAGTGGACACACAGATAGCTCTCAAGGGTCTTCCTGGTGACACTATGCTTCTCTGAGAACTAACCAGTCCCCACCCCACCCCTAGGAAGCACTGGGCACCAGAAGCCTGACCACAACCCCTTCCTAGCATCCCTGAAGAAAACTTTTTACAAACTCTGGGCAAACAGGAGCCATTCTTCTCCTAGAACTGTGACTCTGGGGGCGGCCCCGTGGCAGAGTGGTTAAGTTCAGGCGCTCCACTTTGGTGGCCCAGGGTTGTGCCGGTTCAGATCCTGGGCGTGGACATGGCACTGCTCATCAGGCCACACTGAGGTGGCATCCCACATGCCACAATTAGAAGGACCCACAACCAGAATATACAACTATGTACTGGGGGGTTTTGGGGGAGAGGAAGAAGGAAAAAAAAAAGAAGATTGGCAACAGATATTAGCTCAGGTGCCAATCTTAAAAAAAAAAAGACCTGTTATGTCTGAGAGACGTCAGTCAGGCTGCAACAGGTGCTTGGGCTTTGTCCTCCCAGTAAATCCAACGACTCTGTGAATAACTGAGCACTGACGATGTTCCGGGCGGCACGCTCCCCAAGCGTGTGACCAGAGCCTCAGCAAGCCAGGCAGGACACCTGAACCAATGCCTGCACTAAGCCCGCACGCTGTTTTTGGAGTGCCCCTCCTCCCATTTTTAAACTAAGTTTTGCACCTGTTGGGCACACCATTGACCTCTTTGGACCTCAGTTTCCCCGTC